CTACTTTCAAATCTAGGTTCCTGCACAGAACAATGTGCTTTATTCGTCGGTGCCGGTTGGATCACGTAGATGTGGGGCTTTCCGTTCTTCACTATTCCTATTTGACTCTAAATTTATAAAGTTACTAAAATTATTACGTACGGTACTAAAGTTAGAAATGCTATCAAATGGCTATTAAAATAGAATATACCAAAGATTGTATGGAAGACAATTGATTTTGATTGAACAATATTTTTTGAAAATTTAAGAAAACTTGAATTTGAAAGTAAACCGCAACATAAAATGCTTTGTTCGACTGGAACAACTACTGACATACAATGTCTATAGTAAAATATACGATACAAGGTGTTTCATAGGTAATTACATTAAAATGGTAACGTACAAGAGCTCAACGATATTAAAGGAAATAGTATTTCGACCTCCGGCTGTGCACCATATTATTCTGTCTATATACCCATTTAACATACGGTGAAGGAAAACATCGTTAGTAAATGCATCGGCATACTTTAGACCCAAAATAACGGCCTGTGTCAAATATTTAAACAGAAATGTTCACGAAACAGACACAGAAATCTGAGGCCTAGATCTAAAAGGTTGTACCGACATTGGTTTCTTTTCTGTACTTGCGTCATATTAGAACTGATACGGTTCAGTCGGTTCATAAGTTTACGAGACTTTAAGGATCTCTTTCGCTACTCAAAAATGAGAACAAGAAAGCATCATATCAATCATTTGACCTATTGATACATGATAGCTCGAGGTGTAGGTTAATCTCGTGTTTGATGACAGCGGAACCTTGTAAGTAGAACTGGTCACGGGTAATACAATCCATCACTGTACAACTGGGTGAACTGTATCGGATATTAGGTCCAATCTGGCTTGTTATCCAATTTTACATTTGTCCTACTCTCGTATGACCAATACCGTAACATCAATATATTCATAATAACTTCATATGGATCGGCCAACGTCAATTCGACGATTAGATGATTTGATGCACAAGTAGGCTTCACAGCTTAGGTCAATACACACACATCTTCAGTTAATTTTTACTCGGAGCCCTTCAAATGAGATAAAAATTGTTTCGCATAATGTCATATTAACTTTTCCTTACTTACTCAGAAAAAAGTGGAAAAAAGCCTATGGAAAAGACGCGCATTTCAGTCTACCAATAGGCTTAAGAACTGTCTTTCCATAATAGCCTCAACACAATTTGTCAGAGTATTATTTTAGCAAGTGTTCATTATGACTCATATTCATATTCACGAAAAAGGGGGTACATAGTGTTATATGTATAATATGCAAATATTAATCATTTTGGATTTAATAATCTCTAAAGCTAAACCAATCTTAAAAAATTCTCACCATTATTATGCTACATTATGCCTGAGTAACAAGGATTCATTATTTTTAAAATATAAAAATGATAAGCACAAAGTCGGGAAAAGTCCCTGATTTCTAAGATGCCTTTTCATAAATCAGCGTAATGGTGTACCGATAAAGTTATGGATCAGGCATTAATCTAGGTCGAATCAAAATGCAAATCGGGTATGAAATAACGATAGTTGCAAATTCTGATTGATTTATTCGTTTACAAAAACAGTTAGGTTTGCTAAAGCTCCCGTTGCGATCGTTAGCACTGGCGGTTACTGTGCCCTGCACATCTTAATGATCTAAAAGACATCAGATGTACTCGTTACGGAAAACTGTTCCAGTGATTACTTTGTTGTTGGTAAAAAGCGGAACAGGGATCGTGACGTTAAGATATTGTTTCGGAACCGTTATACTGAATTGTCACGGGAGTTGCGTAATTTGAAACAAAAGCTCTCAAAAAAAATAGTAAATAAACGTATTCATTTTTTGTGGGAATCCTCGAAAATGCATTTCGTTTTCAAGCATAGTCAATGTGTGGGTAATATGTGTATAAAAGTAAATAATTACTGTTGACGTAATCACCAATTAAGAAAATCAAAAAGACCCCCTCCCCTCTATGCTTACGTAAATAACGAAAAGTTCGCAGCTAACCTGAATGCTCATTTGACAACCCTAAAATCTCGAAGGTCTGAAATGGTACTCAATGTATTTAAAAAGAAAATAAAATTAACTTAAATTCTCGTGTTTTTGCTCGCAAGTATTGTGTGTGTCACATCCGTCCCCTTTACGCATTAGTGCCGTTTTATGCACTAATTATACGTATACGTAGGTGTTACATGCAACATATAATCGGGCAATAATATTTTATTTTAAAATAAAATGCTCACTTTAAACTTATTTATATTATATCTATGTCATATTTATGTCCTATTTAGGTTTTATTTTTTTTATTCACAGACATTCGAAATAGTTTTTACTACAATAGATGTTACATGTTCTCATGTAATCTATTGATGGTTAAAACTATTGCCATAATATTAAAAAAAAAACGATTGATGGCCATAACATTATATTTTGCCAATATCAACGGTGGTCAATGGACTTCGGAATCACGGATAGTGGTCATCACGCCAGATGTATTTAAATAAATTATAATACAAAATAATAATCCATTTGGCCTCAGACTGCATCCGTTTCTTTGATCACTTTCATTACAAAGTCAAGTAGGTGATCAGCCTTCTGTCTGACATGTCGTCAATTTTTGGATTTGAAACATGCCGGATTCCTCTATATGTTTGCATTCACCATATGAGCGATACGCACAAAGACAGAAAGTCCGTTGGCATAGCCTGGGTTGCCGTTCCAATATGACAGTCGCACGCTGAAGCTAGGCCAACACTGCTTCGTTTAAAGATAACTGCTTAGACAACAAAATACAGTATGAAACTATTTTTGGAGTTTTGTTCATAAAGAAACTGAAATCTCGCCGTGGTGAAACGAAACCACAATTTAATTATTATTTACAGGTCTATACTTCACGCAAAAGTCAAACAATTAATTTAAACGTAGATTAATAATGATATACAAGTGTTAAGAACCGTGCTAACTACTAAATGTAATATCCTAATGACTTATTTAAGAAAGAATTGGACACTGATTAAAAAAGCTTCTGATTATAAACGTAAATCTATACGCAGCATAGCTCTAATAAACGACTCTAGGGCAGTATAGTATAGCGTCAAGTCTTTTGTAAGTCTTAAAAGAATAACAATATATTCAAACGTGAAATCTTTATTAACTCTAATGTTAGTGAAAGAGTTAATGATGTCTGTCGAAAGTTTATTCTATTCACGGATCATTACATCTTCATTATGAAGGTCAATTGATGATTGTCTCATCAGTAATGTCAATTACGAATTATTGAGGATATTTTGGTACATTATAAAGTGGAAGAGTGTGGTGAACGCGCTAAAGACAAGTAAACTGAAAATTTTTGATGTTGGAATTTATCGTGGAATGGCATATGATAGATATACCTATGTACATATAATATTTTAAGCCGTATTATATCTTTTGTTTATTTATTAAAGTTCACCACATCATATATATCTAATAATAGCATTAGCTTGTAACATATACTGTAGATCTATGTTACAAGCTATCTTTTCTAAATTATATGACAAATATGGTAAACATTAAAGTTACAAAAAATAAAATACAATAAAAAATTGTATTATACAGATTATACAAAATTAAACAGTTTACATATAAAACCTCAATGGTTTGTTTTAGCAATACAGTTAGGATTGCGATTTAAATATTATTATCTATTAATACATATAGTAAAATTCTTTAACTAAACTTTGCAATACTTAATATGTTTTGAGGTAGTGATACAATAAAGACACCGATATATTTATTAGTGTTTTGAGGAGTATCATAATTTGGAAAATATAAAACAACTAACTTTTTAATTTATAAATATTAAAAAAATAATGTAAAAAGCGAATATGATACATTTAAATTAAATAAAGGTTATATAAATACAAAATGACCCTAAAAAAAGATATTTCGCACGTTTTACAAACGGCTTTTGACTTTTTAATTTTAACTTACGCTTAAATAAACGTAAGGATAATAAAATAATAATTGCTTTTTAATTTGTCATTTGTATAGACGTATATAGATTAAATGGATGTATATTAGGTACTTCATACTATGTAGTATTGTATTTTAGTTTATTTATATTACTCCTAATATTATTAATATTGAATTAATAAAAAGTCCTTACCGTCATCCGAACCAATTTCCGCGATTGGGGACACGAAGGTAATTTGAATAATTATCCAAAAAAATAATCTCGCACACAAACTCATATTTATTAATTTTTTTATTAAAAAGTATTTATCATCAAAAAATACTGGCTGATTAATTCGAGAATATAAATATACCGCGTTCGAAAGTAGAGAGCGGCACACGATAGCCTTCCCGCAGTCAGAGTTTGACTAACGCATAACGTTTTGTAAGCACTAAGGTGAAAAGCCCGTATCCGAATTATGAACCAAGACTAGTTTAAGTTTTAATTAAAATATAATTGTTTTATTAAACATGTTTTAATCTGGTAAAGTATCACTGGGGTTAGTAATCGTAGATATTTAAAAAATCTTTAAATTTTTACTATGCTTAGTGCGCTTGAAATAAGTTTTGAAATACGAGCCTGGCCTTTACGTGTGTGATTACGTGCCAAAATGTAGAACGCATTTGCAATTTTTTTTTAAATACCGTAAGATTTGTTTTGCTTCAATTTCGGAACTGAATTTCTTTTATCCAAATCTTTAGAGTATAAACATAGCATTCAAAAATCGAATGCATGTATAACATTTATGGCCACGAAGGAAGATAGAATATGAAATATATACGCAATATTCTTCCGGATTTTAATTTCATCCTAAACAAAAGCTGGTGACGAATCCAATTATCCTGGTGCAGTTACCATTTACGTCACGCCTTGCACTTGCCTCCCATGGAGGATATAATGCATTTTTTTATTTACAAACAAAAGACGCCGATTATTTGGCGCATGCGTTATGCAACGGCGCGCGCAATCCCCAGGAAAAGGGCACATAATGGCTCAAGTTCAAGGCTTCAGTAAAACATATCCCTCAAATCATATGAACGCCACGATGGAGGACCCATTTAAGCACCTGGCCTTAATCACTTTCATGAAAACTGTTCTGTTCGCATTTAATTTTATCTTTTGGGTAAGTAAGTGCCTCTATGACGTATCAGTCTTTGTTAACGTTACTAACGCTATTTTCGCTTTGTCCAGGTCACAGGAATATGTATTCTTATCGTGGGGCTTTGGGCGGAGTTCGACCTTTATCAATACATGAATCTGTCACCAGACTTTACTGGTGCAGCTCCTCACGTGATCATAGGGATATCCACTCTCATGGTCATTACGAGCTCGGTTGCATTCTCCTGCATCGTAAAAGGGCAACCAGTTCTTTTATTCATTGTAAGTTTTTCTGGATTTATGTTATTTATTTTTCCTAAGGAAGTTTAAGTATAATGTTATTTATTGCTTGCAGTACGGGTCTTTCATGCTATGCATCTTCATGATGGAAGTGGGGCTAAGCTCTTCAGTGGTATGTTTCAGGGACGGCTACGCGCAAGGGTTGTACGAGGGTCTTACTGAAACATTAAAGAACTACGACCCTATCAAGACCAATTTTGACTTTGCTCAATCCGCGGTAAGTCACTTCATAAGAAACAATAGCGAAAGCCGTTTTACGAACATCTGCTATTGTGCAGTAGAAATCTAATCATCCATACATGGCAATATTACTCATTTATAATATACTACGATTTTTTAGATGCAATGCTGCGGCGTCTCGAACTACACTGACTGGATCTGGTTTTCTCCACAACGGGTGATTCCGACCTCGTGCTGCATTAACACCACACACTGTGTTACTGCCAATTATAACGATGTCTACCAAAGGGTAACATATTTTTAATGAACTTGTTTGCAGTAAATACGTGTAACGTAGCCTTTTTAGAGTAGATAGACCTAAAGTTAGTGTGAGTAGGAGAAAGGAAACGCCTACATGTAATTTAATTGTAGTTAGCAAACTGAACTTGAACTGAAAACAATTTTTATTTAAAATAAAAAATACCGCCTTATCACAGAAACAAACAAAGAGAAAAATCAGTAAGCTATATTTATTTATTTATATTTTTAAAAATAATTGAATGTAGTTTAGTTTTCATTTCAATAAGACTGAGTAAAATTTGCTTTAACTAATATGTATTCTATATAAGGTAGGTATCGAGAAACTCTTGGTGTTAAAAATCGAACAATGTTTAGGGTAAGTTTCAAAGTCTAAAGCGCTAGTTGATTCCCGTATGTAGGAAAACGTATATTTAACATACGCAAATAATATAATATAATATAAACCAGGCTTAACGCTAAGTCGGGCACCTGTGCTTCAGAAATGTATTAGATTTTGATACACGGGAGTCATAGTTGATAGTGCCAATGTCATATTTTTGAAGTTATACTTCTTTAGGCGCGTTATGAAAAATTGATGAGAGTGACATTTTACGATGCGCGCGCACCGTGACACAAAATTAACAGAATGAAGTTGCCCACGGAAGATGCTAGGCATTTGACATAATTTAAAAACAACATTCGAATAAGAATAGAATTTATGTTACACTAAATGTAAGAGAATAATAATAAATATTTAAATACTTCTTTTCCAGTCTTTGATTATTTAATTGTAATTAATTATTTGCATGCAATCAAAAACTATTTTTATTAATGCCAAAAAAGTATAACTTCTTACGCGCGTACATAAGTACACGCACCATTTTTTTAGTAAGTTTAGGTCAAAAGGTATATATATAATCGTTAGTTATTTTATGCTTCAATTTACAGTAACAAATCTTCGATATATGAACATCGCTCTTGATTTTCAGGGATGCTATGCAGTGATTTACATGAACATAAAGGATAATATGGACAAGATTATTTCGATGGCTGTTATAACATCGGTTTTGCCACTCGGAGGCGCAGCAATGTCCTGCTGCCTCGGGAACTTCATACGGCGAACCAAATATGATGCTATTGGCTAAACCTGGCTCAAATAATGGCGATTCAATATTTACGAATGTTATCTTGAATTAAAATATCAATGTTACTACTCAAATGTTTAATATTAGCGTTGTGACTCCCTTCTATTTTGTCGAACTTTAAATTATATCTGAATGTGAAATAAATAGTTGGCCAACTAATAGGACTTTTTATTTATATGAGAAGCAATGTTTAGAGTTTCATTATCTAATCTTCACACAATTTTAAATTTGCCCACAAAATGAAAAAAAAAAACATTTTTATTAATAGATTTCCGTCAGTTTTACTGAAAACACACACCAGTAAAACTATCGCATTTTTATTTATTAGAAATTGGTAAATTTGCTGCACCGAAACAAAAATCTAATCAATTCTAATACATATGTATATATCAAAAGCTTGGGTATATATCAAAGAGCTACTAATTTTTATATATTATGGTTAATACATCGTGATTAGCAATCGGCTATTTAAAAAATATATTTTATTTTACGTCGTGATGGAATAACTTCCAATGTCATCAGTTAATTATTAATAATTAATGCGCAATATTAATAACTAATAAAAAGTAATGTCCGTTTTCGACTAGAAATTTTAGACTATCCTATCCTATGTTTTAAAACAACATATATTTATTAATAAATAAAGTATTTTAAATAACTTTTGTTTTCATATTTACTACAAATAAATAAGTCTATTCTTTAAAAAAAACTCAAATATATTTTAGAATGTATTAAAAAAAATAATTTAGTCACTATCTGAGCTATTTTTGTCATCTTTTGTTTCAACAGGGACATCTTGCTTATAATGTCTGTACTCTGGTTTCAGTTCCCACATATTTTTATGTGGATTCTTCAAGTTATAATTACATACTTCTTTTAAAATCTCTTTAAGGTATACAATCGGTTGTCTGGTTATCTGAAATAATAAATTTACTATGTATACCATATACTTGTAAATAGCTATCAATTGTAAGGAAACTAAATTGATTTATCTCACATAAAGATCACTACAACATATAGAAAAGGCCTTTGTTGGACCAATAGTAATAAAAGATTACCAGGAAAATGAGTTAAAACTAACTTATCACTTTAAACAGTCAATTGGTTATTTTTTGTTTGTTTAATAAATGTGTTTAAGACTACAGACTCAAGGGTGGTTAAGCTTTATAGCTTTCATAAATTTCAGTTAGCTATTGTAAAAAAAATTATAAGTAACTATATATTAAACTACATTGCCTTGAAAATTTTAAATACAAACGGTTTTAAATTGTGGATTTAGTAAAATTTATTCTATATTTTAATATTAGTATATCTAAACCCATAATTGTAAAGATGGAAATACCCAGTTTATGGGGATGGGTATTCAGACAATGTTTTTACCTTTTGCAAATCCTTGATATTGTAATATTGATGTTTCTCAAAGGCAGCAAATAAAACATTAAGCACAGCCTCCTTATCATCTCGGGCTTTCTTGCCCTCTGCTTTTTTCTGTTCTCGATATTCTCTCTGAAAATTATATATTTATTTTATGCAGAAAACTACTAATGGGGGGGGCAGGTTGGTGTTATTAAGCCACAGATGCTATTGATGACATGCCCCGTGCTCTATACATTTGGAGCTAAAAGAGCTCCATAGAGGCACCACAAACATCAAAATTATAAGATAAGTATTCTCTTAATGGAATTTTGTATTCTCTTATATAGTTGGGATTTTATGAAAATTATTATTACAGAATCTATATTAGTCTATATGTTCTAACTTAGAAATGTAGTACTTACATTGTGTTTATGATCTGAAACTGGTTTAAAGTTTTGAACAATTTTGTCTAATTGCTGTACTTGTCTTTGAGGCATTGAAGCCTTTCTAATAGATTCTGACTTAAGCTTATAGTATATTGAATCTGCAAATGGTTTACATTCTAACTTTTGTACAATCCTCCCTTCCATATACAACTTTTCAGATTCTGGTACCACAGAATCGGTTTGATTAGCTGCAATTATTAGTGTTAAAATAGATCATTAATTTAAATAAAACAGTATTAATTTTAATAGTCTAAGCACATTTCAATAAGTATTGAATTTTTTTTTATTTTCATAAATAATTATCTTATAATTGTATTAATATTCCAAATAACATGAAATACATATCTAGGTCACAAGTACTTACGCACTAAATGAGAGAAAACCCCCAAGGATTGTCTTGTTACATTTGATACATCCAGGCGATGTTCTTTAGGTATACTCTGCTCTCCAGGGTCCTTAAGACATAATACACCCTCCGACAATGATAACTGAACCTGAGGCTTCTGACGAGCTACGCGGGATATTTTCAATTTCCCAACTTCAATGTCTCCAGGAGCTTTATCCCATTTTGTTGCTATATATTTAGGCACTTTCACTAACCACACACCACGGCCGGTATTCGACAAATCTAGCTCTCGATCAACCTGTGGCACAGCATTTGTACTAGTCATATTTACCCAATAAAATGCAACGTGGTAGTAAAAAAATCCTTAATTATACACAGACAACTCAATGATTCTGAACAATGTTTTGAAAACTGAAATTGGTAATAAGTTAAAAAGTTAACTAATAATTCATTGTAATAAACAAATAATGTCAATCAACTAAGCGAAGTTCCTAAGTTATACTCAATTAATATACTATTTACTAATTAGTAAGTACTGACAACTGATCGCAGAATTGCTGATTATGTGAATTGTGAAATGTGAAAATTTAAACTATTTTCTATATCATGAATCATGATCAATGAAGCAACTATCCAAATTCCAAACTACGAAATGCGGTAGGAGACAGATAACAGATTATTTTCAATTCTCACATTATTTGTCGTCTTATATTACTCTGTTTTATATATTCTGTAAATTATTAAACATCAAATCATTAGGGTTGTCCTTCATTCAGATTTAAAACCAATTTTGTGCATTGTAATTTGTAACGTCTTTCTCTCGCATTTTCTCTTTCCGATTTTCAAAATTAATGTTACATCTAAAAACGTAACAGAAGTTAGAATGAAACTAAAATTCACTGAACTTAAATGTTAAGGCATTTGATACTGAACACATCAATAATAACTGACCTGATCAGTACTGAAACTTTATTTACATTTTAATTAGATACATTTCTTAGATTCTATCCAAATCTCAATGTTTGTATACGATACTTAAATATCAGAACGGAGTTGTTGAAATATCCATAGGATTATCGACGATCCGATTTTCAATAAGATCGTTACATCCGAAGTTCGTAACATTTAATGTAATCTGTGCATTACAATTTAGATTGGAAGTTAGAACGAGTCAAAAAGATTTTTGGCCTAAAGGTCTAGATACCAGGCCATAAACTCCAAAAAAAAAAATCTGTGAACAAAAATGAAAGAATTGTATTATTTGTAGAAATAAAATATTTGTTCGAAATACATAACCATTCACAGTAATTTATTTATTTTTCTATTTTTCAAACATATTGGTGCAATGTATTATTACATTATAAATTATTTTAACGGAGTGCATTTATGAAGAAAGAAGACGTTGCAGTTTTCTTTTTTACCGTTCTCTGCCTTACTTATTTACGATATTGATGTGTTTATTGTACAATGTTCGGGTATAGCAAAGAAGCAGTTCGCGTGAAAGTTAAGGTAACAATTGTATTTATATGATATTTATGGAAGCAATAGCAGAGAAAGTTCTTTAAATACCAACTATAATATGTTTTTCCAGAAATGTGAAGGAAAACTTCAGCCTGAATGGCGAAAGTTTTCAGTGGATCCTCAAATAACTTCCCTAGAAGTTTTACAGAGTATTTTGATCAAAGCATTTGATATCAAATCTGATTTTACTTTAACCTATAGGACAATAGATGACATTGCCCAGGATATTTATTTACCCTTGCTCTCTGATTGGGATTTGGATGCAGCATTTCTCAAGTAATATTATTTTTAATGTATTGACAATATTATAATATTTTTTATAACTCCAAGAACAGAAAATCTGTTTTATTATATTCACAGGTAAATGTTAAAAATTTAAAGAGCGAGTCTTAGGCGTATATGTATTTTCAATAAAGTTATGTAAATTATGTGAGTGTTCATAAACAATTTATACTTTTTTAGAGCACATAATACAGCACTCACACAGAAAACAGAACCATGTGTTCAATTAAAAGTGGATATGAAGCCCTTTGCAGAAGCTTCCGAGGATTGGGAGCCACCAGTGCTTTCGTCTGGATCTATAAGTCAAACTACCAAAGAGCCACCTCTTACTCAACCAAGTGTCATTCAAAACGATAAACCTGAAATACAAACAGGTTTACAAGGAATTATTATGAATCGGGTAAGGAACAAGATTATGAATGGTTTATCAGATTTCTTAAATATAAGCTAAGTTTCTGTGAATCTCATAGTAATATATTACTATAACATAGCTTAAGAATGATGCAATACATGTTGCCCATTGAAACATAATTGTAAAAAAATGATCAGCCTTCTTTTTAACTGTACCTGTAGAATTTATAGATGAATACATATATTTAAATATTGCACAATTTACATTACATTTTATAAATGCAGGTAGAAAAAACATTCAATATGGTATCAAGAGCGTTGAACTTGTATGAAGATCCTAATACACCACCTAGGCCACCCTTGAATGATGTAGAGTTTAGAACATTTCTGGATGCTGTTGGCCAAATTAACAATACAACTAAATTAAGGGAAGTTATTTACTGTGGAGGCATTGAACCAAGCCTAAGGTATTCTATCTAAGCCTTTAATCAAATCTATGAAAATCTGTTTTGTTTCAACTCTATAACAAACCAGTTTTGCTAATATTAGTGTAGGGAGTTTAAATTGTGTGCAGGAAGTGTTTTACATTTCCATATATGAAAGCTGAGATGATATTTTTATCTAAAGTTATTCATTTAAAAACTACTGATTTTTTTAATAAATCTTTCTTACAGAAATAGATAGTACATTGGAATGATACGATAGGCACAGCTGCACACATAAGTTTTTTGTTATATTGGTCCAACCAAGAAGCTACACACAAATAATATTGTATATATTTTAATTTAATTTTGTTGAACAATTTCTTATTTATAAATTAGTAAACTGCCCTAATGTTTTTCAGTTAAAAGATTATTTTTTTAAACAAGCTTTCAATAGACAATATTATATATTTTATGTCATATTCAACAGGAAGGTTGTGTGGAAACATATACTTAATGTTTATCCTGAAGGCATGACAGGAAAAGAGAGAATGGACTATATCAAAAAGAAGGCAAATGAATATTATACACTAAGGGCAAAATGGAAGGACTGTATACAGAATGGAAAGGTATGATTAATCTAGTCAGCTTCAGACAAGAATGTTCATTTTTGCAACTTTTTTCCCTTGTGGCTGATTTAAACAGAGTAAGATGAATTGTTTAAACCCTATTAGAATATCTACATATATAGTGTATTCATATAGGGCTTTTAACTATTGGCATCTGAAAACTTACTAAATTTTGATTTGTGTTCAATTATTGCAACACCTTTATGGAATCAGCTGCTTATAAAATTATTTGTAAACCAATTTAAGGTTTCTTTAATAAATCAGCTTGTTAAAAGTCTTATATGAAGACAATCATTGTGTTCATGGGCAATAATTTAAAAAATATACATTTAATCTTTATAATATTCAGATTAATGCTGATTTGGCATATGTTACCAGTATGGTGCGGAAGGATGTACTCCGAACTGATAGACATCATGATTTTTATGCTGGAAGTGATGACAATCAAAATATTGCATCACTCTTCAACATTTTAACAACGTAAGTAATATAATAATAGTATGTGACTTGCTCTGCATAAAACTGGTACAACATTCAGTATCTTATATTATATTATTTAAATTTATGCATGGATGACTCATACAATTTTTTTTAATAATAAAAAAATATAATGATGTTTCACTTTACAGATATGCTTTGTACCACCCAACTGTCAGTTATTGTCAAGGAATGTCAGATTTAGCATCACCACTGCTTGTAACGATGGGTGACGAAGCGCATGCATACATTTGCCTCTGTGCTCTAATGACAAGATTATATCCCAACTTTTTATTAGACGGTGAAGCTATGACTTTAAAATTTAGTCATCTGACAGAATCTCTTCAAGTTTATGATCCAGACTTTTACAATTATTTAAAATCACAACAAGCAGATGATCTTTTGTTTTGCTATAGATGGTTGTTACTGGAAATGAAACGTGAATTTGCATTTGATGACGCTTTACGAATGTTAGAAGTATTATGGGCTTCTTTACCCCAAAAATTGCCCAACCCCGAATTATCATTAATGGAAACAGATTTTGACTTGTCATATGAAGTTCCAATTGACCCACCACCTTCAAGCCCATTGCTCAAAGCACCAAGGGAAAATGCATATACAAAAGTTTGTGCTATGAGGAGACAAAGCTCCAGCTTCAGTTTGGCGAATGTAAAGGCACCTAAACTCTCTACAACTAAACCTACAAATCTCAGTTTAGATGAAAATGCTGTAAGAAAAGCACTGAATAATGCATCATTGAAGAATGCAAAGGGTTTCCAAAGTCTGGATGATGCTACATTACAGACATGTAAACCTAATCAGGAAGTCAAATCTCCAGACAGGGTCAAAGAAAATTTAAAAGTATTGATGAAAGAAGTAAATATTACTAAGCCAAGTATGACAAGTGTGCCTGAAGATGTTAAAACTGATAGTTCACAGGAACCACAATTAGAATGGTCAAGTACAGGAAATTTAGTCAATGGAACATCTAAAGAAACACCTCTAGGTAGCCAAATAAGGCTCCTACGAGATAAAATATCAGAACATAATAACAAATTCTTTTCATCTATAGATAAATTTGAAAACTCTTTAGGTGAAGATGGTGATAATAAACCCAAAATTAAAATGATAAAAAATCTTAATGAATTTTTAAACTTTGCAACTGGAGCCAAAATTAATAATATTAAGCCAGACACTAGCACACAACTAGAAAAATCGGATTTTAAACATTGCCCTAAAATCACATTAGCAAATACTTTACATGTATATGACAACCTCACAGCTAGGATAAAAAATCATACAACTTCAAGAATAAGTGTAGAAATTAATGATGGAAGTAGCCCTGATGATTCACAGGAATATTATCCTATGACAACTTCCATGACTAGAGAATTAAGATTAGAATTAGAACATTTGGATAGACAAGTATTTGGTCCATCATATGTCAATAGATGCAGTATGGTCTGTGACTCTCCATCTGAATCTACAAGCACAGATGAAAAACCATCCAAACATTCTGAAATTAATGATATAACCATGCAAAACTTAAAAGTTCAAGTAGAAGCAACAGACTCAGTTCAGACAATAAAAAAGTCACCTTTATTAGACCCTACAAAAATGAATGCACGAAGTGTAGAAGATATTTATCTTTGGGAAAATCCGCTTCATAGGAATACCTCGACAACACGAATAACAGCTAGCTGCCCTCAAACACCTGATGAACAAGCAGAGCTTGACTTCGATGGTGACACAGGAGAAATCTTCGAAGAACATTCAGGAAAGAAATCAATTACTCCCATTAGATTACTTAGAAAAAATAACTCCTTGGAACCTCAAGACTTAAGTCAGCATAAAAGTTCAAACATACAATCCAGTGAGTCTGAATGTTCTGATCCTGTGGATTCTATACATATGACACCAACAAATCCAGATGTTAATTTAAAATCACATAAGTTTTTTTCAAATATGTCACAGGAATTGGAGAATGCAAAGCGAAACTGTGAATCTATACTTAATGCTAGACAATCTAATTTACACAATGTTGCATCGACTATCAATAATTTTCAGAGAAAGTATGATGTTTTTAAACCACCACTAAAGAATGTGCCAGTCACAAACATTGGAGATAATTCAAGTAAAACCACTATAAACAATCTTCCTTCTCCCACTGTGTTTGGAGGTGGAAATCCATTCCTTATGTATTTATGTTTAACAGTATTATTACAGCATAGGGATTATGTAATGAGAAATCACATGGACTATAATGAATTAGCAATGCATTTTGATAAGATGGTGAGAAAACATAATGTTAACAGGGTATTAAATCAAGCTCGGCAAATGTATGCCATGTATTTAAAGCAACAATCACAAAAGACTGGTGATGTGACTACTTGAATGTAAGGAAATGAATGCTCAGAATTATGGGATCTAGAGTAGAATAATGAATTTATTATTTTACCTACTCAATATAATGCTTTTGCCAACTTATTTTCAATGGTAACTTTATTTTTACTGTCATTTCATTTCTTTTAATGTCAGCTTTTTCTTATTGTATGTTTTAAATTATAATATCTGTACTAGTCTCACAAAATCAACTTAGCTTGCAAAAAATGATCTCCTATTTTGTGTTGAGTTAAAAGCCTAATATTACCATATTTATAGAGATTAACGGTTATGATATCATAATGCAAATATTAATACTGTGGTTTTCTAGTCTTAACAATTAAATTAATACACGCAACTATCACAATAAAAATGGTAAAACATTTGAGGGGTTGTTGATACTCAATTCTACTTATTGATCAAGGCTCTCAATTTATAACCCATACTAAAACAATTAAACACTGAATTATAAACTAGCTTAATGGATGGTTATTGTATTAAGTCACTGACGTTGAGAGCTTATGATTTTGATGTTAAATATAGATATCTTAGTGTTAATGGAGCACCAAGTTGCCGCTGCTCCAACTTTATATTTGGTTTATTTACCTAGTATTGAAAAGCCAAAATTTTAAGTTGTATTATTGGACTTCCTATTGTGATATTATTTTTAAATACTTTTGTATGAATTTTAATGTAACATTCCAACTGCTACAAGACATAGTTTTCCAAAACTACGGCCTACCATAAATTCCGGAATACCATAGTATTAGGCAAGGGTTACTTATGCATTTTTAACAATTAGAGAGTATGAAGTCAAATACAATATAATTTCCTTATAATTAGGCCTATATTCGAGTGAAATAATTGTGCTTATACAAATATATTCAGAACATTCCCAATTTTACTGTAAATACAATATATTTCATACACTGTTGATTTTCTTTAAGTCCTTAACTTGAAGTCTATGTATTAAGGAAAATTTGACTGAATAAATGAAAATAATAGTGGCATACTTATTTTTTATTTTTAGTGCAAAAATTGCATTTTACACTGAACAGGTTTAAAGTTATTGATGATTTTAACTTAATTTTATCAAGGAAAGTAAATTTAATACTTAGTCATTCTTTTAATTATGCTACTTTTGCTTAATGTCACATAACACAAAACACTGCACATTCACTTGAACTTGACAATGGTAAAAATCCAATTAAATTAATGGATAGACCAACCACTGTAAATATTGAAATTAATGATATCCTAAATTCTAATAACGGCGCATACCAGGTGGTCCACGGCCAGGACCTCCCCGACCCATACCAGGTGGTGCACCCATCATGCCAGGTGGCGGACCACCCATCATCGGCCCACCTCTCATTTGTGGTGGTGCTGACATTTGACCTCTACCACCAGGCGCCATATGTTGTTGAGAAGGTCCACCGACACCCCTGGCGGGACCCTGAAGCCCTGGAGGTGGTCCCCCAAAACCAGCACCTCGCCCAGCAACCCGACCGGCACCTGGACCACCCATAGCACCAGGCAAGGGCACTCGGGGCAAGCCTTCTTCAGGGGGAGGCGGGCCTTCTATAGTTAACGAAACTATGTTTTCTCCTCTTAACAATACAAATCCAAGCGTCCGCTTCTCTTCTCGGTCTGCAGTTTTAGCATTTTTAGATTTAATTTTTCTAAATTCTTCGCAGTCCCCTAATATCAAATTCATATGTTTATCAAATGCCTTAAAGGTCCCTATAAATGTTCGAGAGTCTTGTAATATTACTCTCACTCTGTAATTAATATGCTGTTGCATTTTGTTGTTCTTTCCTATAGTCTGAAAACAAACAAAAATAACAAAAGTGAGCATATAAATAATTATAAGTTTAAAAAATCTCATATATAAGTATCTTATTAAATATATCAAATTACCATTTTTGCAGTTGATTATTTAAACAATCGGGGATATAAAATACAAGCAATAAACAAAACTTTCCCGGTTCCTAACAAATTACAACAACAAAAATTCATAGACAATTTAAGAAGAACGAAATCAAATGTGATTTGACATTAACTGTTGTTAGTTGACAGCTATAACCACAGATATCCTGTAAATCCATATGTTATTCGTTGCATAACTACTCTTCGCTCTCTGTCTCGGACTATAGCTTACTTAGGTAGGCTATTAATTATTTTTAAATTTAAACACATACATTATTTTTTATCTTTATATGAGTATTGTATCCATAATAATTGAAATAAATTACCAATCATCTAAAACCAAAGACAATTCAATCTACGCTGAGGGATGGGATCGTGATGTTTTTACTTTCTAGGGTCAATTTCAGGGATCATCAAATTTTTGAAAAAATCGACGTTTGGTGACATTGACTTACTTTACATTACAAACGCAACATAACTTCACACTTATACTAACAATCCTAAGCAACACTGAAACTATCCTTCTAGTTCAACAGATGTAAAGTTAATCAAATTTACGTGTTATAGGGAATTTGTTGCTTTGAGATGCCCACGACGCAGGGAATTCTTATGTGCATATTTCATTATATTATGGTCTAAAGGTTTTCTTTCTTTCATTCTGTTTTTTAGATTAATATACTTAAACAATTGAAGGAATAGCGTATCATTATACATATGAAGTATATTTGTCACTTTAATATTTAGCCTTCTATGAAGTATAGCATTAGTATTAAGATTTTAAACAACATGATCTTCAAAACTTTTCATGTTTTACTTTCATAAATCGTTTAATATTAACATATCTGCAGTACATTGCAAATACTAAAGTCATAGTAAGCCCAGAGGCTTGTTTGTAGTATGTTTACATAGATAGTTGACTAATACGTGAACCAAACAACTTGTTCAAGTAGCGGTGGGTGCGGGTGCGGAGGTGGCAAAAAAGAAATTGGAGTAATAGTCAACATTGAACTGAAAAAAATATCAGAACCGTGAGTTCGTCATTTACTTGCATGTCTTGTAAAAGTCAACTAAATTCATAGTAGGTACTTAATGAAATTTAACAAGGTAACTAACTAACAGCGGCAGAAAGATCAGCCAACAGAGTAAAGATACAGATTATTCGAACAATGCAGTTTCTTTCAGGGATTATTTTTGTCTTGTTTTTTGTTTGCACAAAATGCATAATATTAAATAATACAGAGTGTAGAATGAAATATAAACAAAAATTAAATAAAAAAAGTAGAAAAAATGTTTCAACATCTTAATTTCACACCCATCGCGTGTGCATCATCTGACGCTTAGGTTACTTATAAGTAATTCGAAATCTATTGAAAACAACGGCAAGCTAAACACATTAACGTAAAAACATTACTTAAAAAGCAACGCTAACTTCCAGACAAAATGTTCGGATCATATGATTCGATGCGACCCAAAACCGACGGCACGTTATCTGATGGTCACATCACTATCTAATTATCGATGTTTTATGATATTCATAAAAAGTCACACAAATTATTGAACATTTTGCTTGATCTCTCCAATTTGACAAAATCCTAGAACTTTGTCCAAAACTAAACATTTACATATTATCTTAAACGAAATATTACTCAAATGATCAGGTTTTTTTTTGTTTACGCCGAGGGTTTATGTATAAAGTTACAAAGTTGTTTTCTTTAATAATAAACCCATATAGAAAATATATACCTTGATGAAAAAATTCTTTAGGTATCTATAACCAGAAAAAAGTTGCAGCTCACACTGGCCTATCTAGAGAGCTTACAACCGATCTTTATTTCGACGTTTGACCTTACAGTGAAATGTCACCGCACCCGCCACGTGTGAGTCGATAGACCATTCGCTAGGGTCCTTGCAATGTACTAGAGGTGGAGTTGTAAATTTAATGTCATTTTCATTTAAAAAAAGATGTCACCTTCCCTTTACGGAACGGCTTAGCCCACGAGGCCATTCCTACGTATCTATTGTAATCCCAGTGCAGTTTAACGACACAACATTATTTCTTGGCTTTATCTAAAATCGGTGGAAGCAATTATAACCACCTATATTCCCAATGCTTTATTACTTTACAGAACCAGTAGATATAACATAATAAAAGGTTTAATACTGCCTTAGACATTAAATCTTATGATTTTTAGGAATTGCTACTCATAAAATTGTCGATATCTAACACCTTTTTACGTCATTTGATGAATGACAAAGTTACACTTTAAGCTAATAATTAATATTATTACCGCATGAATGCAACTGGCTCAATGCAACAATTTTTTTAATTTATATTATCTTTATATTTTGTCTTATTTGACCAAATAAAGCTTTCGACATATTTTACATGACATAATTTTTATAGTTCGGGACATTGGGACAGCTTAATGCTTCGTTGTATTCTTGTAAAGTAGCACCTGCCTATATTAATTACGCTACAGAGTAAGAAATAAATAGGAATAAGAATAAAATAATGTTTTTAAGCAATGTTTTAATTGTACAAACGTGACATACCTACTTACAGAAAAACTAGCCTTATAATTTACATTCACCTAAACAATACATACCTACGTTCTAATAATATAAAATATTATGCCTTGATGTTTTGGAATTTAAATATTTACACGACAAACATATCTTTACTCCGAATTAAAAAAAATGGAATCCGTTTTTATGTAATTTTATTAAATCATTCGTCGTGAAAATTAAAAAATAAATAAATACGATCCTACAAATGCAATTACAATAGATATAAGTCTTTACAAGCAAATATTATGACATGTTCCTAAACTATTCATTACGCTATTGTATTATGCTAAAGGAGGACATTATCTACGCCCCCATCCAACTTACACCTAATACTAAAAACCATGCAGTCAAAAACAGCCTTTGAATATTAAAGTAAGCATTATTGAACTAAGCTATTTTAAAAATTGTATAAATATTGCTATGATGTCTCCCCAGCAGCGGGAGCGAACTGTATAACAGACGTGTGGCGAACTGGCGCAGGAATATCTTCTATATTATGAGGAATAAATTTTCGTTTTCTAGGAGGAAGACTAGAAGGTGCTAATGTGTATTGCTGATAGTCTAAAAGCGCTGGCGGCGAAGGTGAAGGCGTCGGAGAAAGGGATGTTAATGTAACGGACGGCTTCATGTCAATCGCAGCAGGCGCAGAAGCTTGGGGAGATGGAGGAGAACACGGAGGTGTAGGTGGAAGTTGCTGCAGAGCTGCTTCAACAATATCACACATCATATTGCCGTTCACGACAGGCGTAGGAAGTGGCGCCTGTGGCCCTTGCGAGGAGTCGGCGCCATGTTCTTTATAGATATGGGCTTCCATTTGTTTCTTAGTATTGAAGGTTCCGTCACAGACGGTGCAACGGTAGCAACGCTCCCCGAAATGCTGGAAGCGGTGCAGTTTGAGAACGTGATTATACCCGAAGTCTCGCAAACATATCTCGCAGGTGTAGGGTCGCTCGCCAGTATGAGTTCGGGAATGGACCTTCAACTGTTTCGAACACGTGAATCCCTTTCCGCAGCCAGGCGCCGGACACCTGTACGGTTTTTCACCTGTATGCGTCCGTAAATGAATGACCAATTGCCCTGATTGTATGAATGTTTTGTGGCAATGTGGGCAGGCATGTGGCCGTTCTCCGGTATGTATCCGAGCGTGGCGGTGTAATTTTCCGGAATGTTCGAAAGCAGCCCCACATACGCCGCATCGGTAGGGTCTCTCTTTTGTGTGGATGCGGCGATGAACCTGAAGATTCTCCTTGACGCTGAACATCTTATGGCAATACTCGCATTCGAATGGTCTCTCGCCAGTGTGGGTGCGATAGTGGCGCACCAGACGGGCAGGTACCGCGAATGTTTTATGACAGACGTCGCACCGGTGGGCATCGGCAGCAGCGCGATGCGACCGCGTGTGAGCGGTCAAGGCACTCCGTGTTGAGAGTATCAACCCGCATTCTCTGCATTGATGCACGCGTTCCTCTTCACCTATAGAATAAAAACACTGTTTTAATAAAAATTCCTCACTCATTTTTCATAAGATACTCTTAAAGTAGGTAAAGTGCAAATTATTTATAAAAAAAATGACCGTTCGCATTACTGAGTTGATTATGGGTGGTAAACGCAATCAAGAATACCAGGATGCACAAGTGCGGGCCCTGAGGGAGGCGGCAAGGGGCGATTGTAATAAAGCGAAGTGAATGTCCTCTGACGGCACGTGGAGGCCCACCTCGGTTTCGACGCAGAGAAACCGCGGTGCGCCTCCACGTGTTTGGGCCAGCGACCTCGTATGCCTACAGCCACGAGCGTATTGCACCCCTCCTCGCCCCGCGCACACCCTATAACTTTCCCTGTTTTCGGTTTTCCGGAACTAGGATAACAATTTTAACAATAAATATGTAATAAAAAATATTATTCTAATAAAGAAATTATATATAAACCCTTAAGTACCCTATTACAGCTGATAGAAGAAATACTACGCCAATAATACTACGATAAAATGCATGCATCTTACATTTAATGTTAAGTATTTTACTACTGTAATAAATTTTTAATAAATGAAACTAAAATATTACATTATATCGCTTGAAAAATTAAGACATTCAATAGTTATTTTCAAAATATTTATAATTAAAAAGGGTTAATTACAATAAAACAATATAAAATGCTCTTACCTATCATAATAAAAGTTGAATTAATAATAATATTATGTATAGTCCAATGGCGTCAATGTTGGCGTAGGTTGTGAATTGATCAAGACCGAAGCGAACGAAACAAGCGCGCGTTTGACTGACGGTCCACGGCCGAATGCGGAATTCGCGAGCGGCAAAGCCACCGAGTGTCGATTGCGTTCAATTTGTGTCCTCCGACCTCCGTTCTCCTCTACGCTACACACAAAATACTCTGAATTATTAATATCTGCGATATCTACTATAAATGGGCCTATGTAGTGTATAAGATGACACTATACTAATTACTCTTAATAATAATAATCATATAATTTATCTAGATTTTATTTAGGCTTATACTCATTGCTGTTTATCTGTAAAAAATGAACGATAACGTTTTATAAAGTAAAAATGATAAATTATGTTTTTAAATTGTATACAATATATTATTTAGGGTTTAAAATAAAATACAAAACAACTGAATGTACAAGTTTTTGGTAGTCTTTGACATATTATATACATAATACGATACGTTACCTACCAGTAAAACAGATGACATAATGCTAAATTTCATAATTTGTAATATATGTAAATACAAAGCTTATAACTATGTTTTTTTAAATACATTGAATATAAATATAAGTACTTACATAGCTATATGATATTATACGGACGACCGCGAGCTTTGTTGAAGGTTGAAGAGAAGAGGCGGGGTGCGGGGAGCGGAAGGGGAACTCGAACACGAGGAGGCCCACCGCGGTTTCTCCGCGCGTGTGAACTCTTGGCTGCACTGCGCTTGCGTGGCATGTCGGCCGGCTTGTTTCCTCCCGCACTCTATACTCGTATTTTATCTGTCTAGAACAATTATAAATATATTTACTTACACGAAAGTAATGAACTGCTTAGTTGAAGCACAAAAAATATTTTCAAACTGTCACAAATCTGGTTATAACAATAATTGATGACTACACTTTTTTTAGAACATAGAGAAATATAGAACCTACTTACTAATATAAGAATAGAGTAATGTTTCTAATAGTAATTTCTAGTAATGATTTTTTTAATAACATCATACCAGAAACGGTAGATTATCGTGGGACTATAACATGGTTGGACTAGGTCAATTTTTTTTGTGTAAACATGTACCTACCGTAATAGTAAATAGGTTGTACAAGATAAATGTATTATAATTTAATTTAATTATAATTTATAATCTAAACTGTGGATAGATCTTTGTGTTTATCTTGTAAGTGGATACCTATTTATTACTACGTTTCTCACCAATAATAAAACAAACTACCTTTAAAATTACAGCAAAGTTGTGTAACAATCTAATGTGAATCGATATTTGCAAAACAATCTCGGTATGGATATTTTTTAAAAGCGTACGGTTAATATAAGCCCTCGAAAATTGTGATAAAGTCCTATTTGCGTCGCATCATTAAAGCCTACCGCTGAAATTAGAACCATGGCCTGTCCCACAAAGTTCAAACTGAGAACAATCGTAATTGTGACTGTGTTTCACTGCACAGGAAATTTGGTTTTACTTCTCTCAATTTAAAACACTTTTTCGTTTGTCATGGTTTTACTTATTCCCTAAATTGTTTGTGTAAAGAATGTCAAATTTGTCAAGTAGTCTGTTTATTCGTGGCTAAAGACGTATTTTATATAAATAATGGGTTTAAATTGAATTAAATTAATACTTTCTTCCACTACTAGACTACTAAGATTCCACAACTGAAAATTCTAATGATAATATTAGATACTCAGATAAAATATAGGTATATATATATATATATAGGTAGCAACTAAATTAACTTGACATTTTTAAAGTACATGGCAATTTTTTATTCAATTTGTAATACCTAATATCTCTTTTTTTACCGTAGTAGGAACACCCGTAAGAATGTTTATAAAAAATGTGATTGATGATATATCGATGTCTATGTGATTGTAGGGAATTAAAATGCATTGCAGATTTTTAAATTGACGTTAAAAACATAAGATTAAATCTTGTTTACGTGCAATAATATTGTACAAGTGTGAACTATACCTTTAATGCCAGTAGTTTTCCTTATACCTACGTATCTCCAATGACTACAATAAATAATCCTAAGGAAAATGAGATTAGATATTAAAATTTTGGTTATATTATTGAGAAAGGTTAGTTCATAGTTATCGGTTTTCTAAGCGTTAAAAAGAGTAGGTACCTACCTAAAGTGACAATAATTTGGAAACACCCTAAAATAATTCGTATTGAGAACAAAGTGGTGCGGGGTGTCTGAGAAGGCGAGGGTGCAAGCAGGGCGGGGCGGGGGCGTAACGTCGACACGCGCTGCACGGTCAGCGAACGCGAGAAACCGCGGTACCTGAGGCCCCGCGGCGCGTGCGCCCGATTCAACCTTCCTCAACGCGACCGCAACTGACCCGCATCAGACCACGGACGCGTTGCTATCACCTTGGGTTCCTTGCGCGTGTAACTAGTAATGTATTAAGTCTTAACAATCAGTTATATAATCCTTACCTACACTTGGTATTTAGTTCTACAACGCAATTATTAATTCCTCATTACCAAAGATAGAGCTGATAAAATATTTTATTATTAGTGAGTTTAATTTCAAAGCAACACGTTATCTAAACTATGTACATCACATAATTTTATAAAAAATTAAAATTTAAAATAATAGTGGGGTTTCAAGACGATGAAATAAATTCGTAGCTAGGTTAAGTTGGTAGGTAGGTACAGGTTAAGTTACCTGTTTGTATAATGAAACAGAATGTAACACTAATATTGTAATACCTTTATAGTTTTAATATATATAATAAAAGTCATTAGCTAGTGTATATTTTAATTGAGCGTTTTAGCCTTGTAAGTAACCAAGGTTTAAACTGCAGTAGCAGTTCTAATTCTATTTGAAATAGTATCTCTTAATTTTAATTTGAAACCTTTATAAAATCAAAGTTTAAATAGACTGAACAACCAGAAATCGTACTAGGGTACACATAAATTCGTTCTAAAAATTAAATTTTCAATGCAGGAATAAAATTATTTTTTTAATGAATCGGTTGTATTTTTTATATATTTTAGAGATAACTTCGATGAAGTAGGCTATTTAAGTGTATCGCATGAGACAGCTATAGTTTGACACACTCTAAATTTGCAACAGCGACACGCAGAATAAATAGCAACATCTATAAGTCAATATTCAATCCTTGCATTTAAAATGAAATCTTTTGGAAAACTGAAAATAATTGGTCTGTAGATATATATAAACGATGTAATCTGGTAATCAAGCAAATATTAATACGATCCAGCTATTGACAATTGACACGAATCTACAGTTAGCCTAAAATATTTCAGTTACAAAAATGGCGCCTGGGGCCTTAGTCAAGATGCCTAACAGTAGTGTATGTAGAACGTCAAAAACTAAATTTGTATGAAAACTTTTCGACACGAACTGTCATTTCCATACAAATTAAGTTTTCGACTTTCTACATACACTACTGTTAAGGCATCTTGACTAAGGCCCCAGGTATCGCTTGAACACTGCGTTAGCCTACATATTTTTGTAGAGATTCTGAAGTTTACATAACAGTGAAATTGAAAATACGTAGGTCGAAATTGGGATACAATCGTAACACTAGCCTAGGCGAATATTGTTAGTTGTCACGACTACGTTGTGACAAGCAAACTGTGATGACGTTTGTTTAACTTTTTTTTATTAACAATCGCCGAACCTCCGAAATAAATTAATCTTTAATATATATTAAGTTTTTCTTTTCATATAGTCCATTTGTATTTTGTTTTGAATTCATTGAGGTTAACAAAGAAGGCATACTTTCAAATCAGAGACAAGGTAGATTTGGAAGTGATGTGCAATCATAAATAGATGAACGAATGAAATGGTGAGTTGTGAAGTTCCGGTGTAGTTGCAAAGTTTTCAAATATAATTTAGGCTTATTTTGACTACTAACACTTGATGACGGTTAATGTATAAATGGTCAAGTTTGTAGTGAGCTGCATTTGTCATAAAATTATAATTAAATATGATAAATCTAATTTTTCATATTTAATCAACATTTCTTTAGCGAGGTACGTATTACTGTAACTGTTGAAAGTAGTCTCTGAGACATTCTTTTCGTGTGATTTTATTAGTTGTTATGTGCACTTGGGCCCTCCAAGTTTAAAAAAGGGTCTATTATTTTCTCAGCCAAAGGTTTATTGATCTCTAAAATAGGTGGTACGTAAAATCAACACTCAGGAGGCCATACACTCCGAAGAGATTCCAATCATATCCTCAAGCGGGTGTGCAACATTGGTAAAATAAATTATTGTTATTTTACCAATGTTGCACACATTGGAAAAGAGGACTGATCTTAATCAGAATACGGTTCTCCGTCGAATCGATCTGCTCGTAGATACTTGTCCATTATAACGTTTCATTTATTTATTTTTGTTTATAAGTTGAATAAATAGAAAGAAAGTTGCTATTATTCAACTGAAACAAGAACATGACTAAGAAGTAGCTTTTTGACAGAGCCCAATTTGATTAAGACTGTTTCTTTATTGATCTATACATTGAGTCTTATTATTATTGATTCAAATCTGATTTCTAAACACCAATAATAAAAAAGGTGTAAATGTTATTTTTATCAACGTTCACAGATCACCCATCATTCTTGACTATAGCTCTATATAAATCAAAGACATCATTAATATATTTCATAGATAAAACAATTTTTACTAATACTATTAATATTCAATCTCTATTTTTACATATATGGTTGTGTGACGATTTTTTTTAAATCTAGTTATTTTTTATTGAATCTATAAGATTTATAAAGTATCTGACCCCCTAAATACGAATATGAGAGTATGAGTATCGTGATAATATCGTGATTTTCTTACATGGTACGATGGTTTGTTTCCACTTTAATTCCATTCAACATGAATGGATTGTACCGAAAAATGGTTGTATTTAAACTTAACTCTTTGCCATCATAACATAATAAATAATTAGCACTTGTGGTAATCACAGATAAAAAATTGGTCCCTTTTGACAGTTATGACATGACACCACTGTCAATCTTAAGGATGTGCACCGTAGACGGACTATGGTACTATACTCTATCTACGATGTGCACAAAACATTAAATAAATCATACAATAGACAATTAAATAAAACTTCTCTATCGGATATAAAAACGAAGTTATTGCATTATTTATCCGACGTGAGACACATTAACACGATTGATGAAAGTATTTGGAACGTCGAGGAGTAAATTCGTGTTTATTCTTCGACAAGAATGAAGAAATGCGAATTATTTATTAAATTTAAATGAATAAAATCAATAACTAATTTTGATGTCAGACACTCGTTTAAACCTAAGATGAAAAATCTATTTCATAACAAATTCTTCCTCCGACCTCTATTCTGTCGGTAATTATTACAAAATAATAGTGTCATAATCATGAGTATCGTATCGGTAATCAAAAGTGGTTAATTCGATTAACCTACATAAAAAGAACAAGTCTTACTAGTTAGTAGTCTATCAAATAAAAGACTGTTAGTTATACGAGTAGTTATACAATTAGTCAATAGCCATTTTTTTAAGACTTGCACGGTTTGTGCATTGTGGCCCAGGGTAAAAACAGGGAAACGGTTATAAAGTTATAATTATCGCAAGACTTTTATAATATTAGTCTATGCATTTGACGCAGCCATTTTTGTTTATACTTGAAGTCTATGTTCACAGACTAATTAAAATATCGTACTGACTAGTGACTACTGCCAATTGCCATTAGCCATAACCGACATTAAACAAGTACTTTCATAAAAATCATGTCAAGCGTTAAATTAATTGATATTTAATTTACTTCATATATTAAATAGCAATCTTTGTTTGCTTAAACATTCAGAGGATTTGTTTAAACTGTGTTCTATGCAAAGTAAAAGAACATGGGTGGTGGAGACCTGGTAAGTGCTAATTCAGTATTTTTTGAAGTCATTTACTTCATGGATGTTTAAAACTATACAGTCATTAACTTCATGGATGTTTAAAACTATACATTCCTGTTTCAGAACTCTAAGAAATCATGGCATCCAAATACTATGAAAAATCAAGAACGGGTTTGGAAAGCGGAAAAAGTAGCTGCCGAAGAGAAAAAGCGTATACTGGAATTGCAGCAAGAACGTGCCCAAGAAAAAGATCGTCAGGAACTTAATGAACTGGCAAGAAAAAATGCAGCAAATAATTCAGATAATCGTTTGGATTGGATGTATAATGTGAGTTGTTTCCTTTACACACATATACCTAGAGTTTTCAGAAACAAGACAAGACCTGAGTGAGAGTCTGACCAAGCATGACTCCCTTATGTCAATGGAAATCCTGTGCAAATAGTCATGTCTTGACTCTAATTCTAACTTTGAATTACTTCTGCCTTGACATACAAGACTAAGTATAATCTAAATATGATATGTTAAAAGTGATCAATTCAGGCAATAATAGAAAAGATAAAGATTGAAAGTACTATTGAGGTTTTCTTCAAATTCTGTCAATAAATAAATAATAAAATTTTCTTATCATATATTATATGAAAGACTCAACCTTTTTCAATTTCTTATTACTTTATTATCATTTACAGAAACCTGATAAACAGGTTCAACATGAGGAATATCTCCTCGGTAAAGCTATTGACAAGAATTTTGAGCAACATGGAAAACCAGAGCATAGTGAAATTCCAGCAGTTGCTCGTAGAGTCGTGGGCTCAAGCATGCTGTCAGCAGCTAGTGATGTCCAAGTTGATTTAGTTCGTAAGATACGTGAGGATCCACTACTGTTGGTAAAGGAAAGAGAGAGAGAGCAGCTAGGGCAGCACTGTTAAATAATCCTGTACAGCGTAAAAAGCTTACTGAGCTGTTACGTAAAGAACAAGTAAGATTTTAGATTTAGTATATATATTGTATGTATTGCTTATATGAAACCTAGTTTTTTGTTATACTAATAACAATCTAGTAGTACAGTAACTTTTAAAAATTCTTGCTTTAGATATCTACATACAGAAAAATCCATTGGTACAAATTCACTCAAGTTAAGAATTGCATGCTTATTAATTAACTGCCTTACATTGCTCTTCAGAATTACAACTTCTTAGACTTTTTACAATTTAATATTATTATTAAAGGTGTTAAAGTTTGATTCCAAAATGCAGTAGTGTGTACGGTGTGTGTATTTTGAAGTCACTGATTAAACGAATTAAGTACTCACAATTTTAAAATAAATTCGTAAATTTTTGTATTTAATGAAAATTAATGTTTATTCAATAAATAGTCATCGTTATCTGGAAAAAACTCGTAATATTTTATTTTATAATTATGACATATTTAGTTACTATCACAATCTGTTCTTTTCTGCATATTACTTTTACAAAATAATGTTGATATTCCACACCTGCCAGGCGTCCCGTGACAGCTCACATTTTGATTTTTTTGTTACATTTAGTAAATGTCAAGAAGTTTTTCCCTTAATTAATTTTTTTCGTGGGACACATCCTACACAACTTACCATATTGTACATAGTTAATCTCTTCAAAGCATAGACCATGTTTAAAATAATCTATGAATTTGTACTTAACTTTAGTTAAATATTATATGCATCTGGTTCTGGTACCATACCACCGTGTTGTGTGTCAATGCAGTTGTGGAATAATCAGTGCATTTGTGTCTTTGAGTGCACACTTGTATACTATATCTCCTTATTACTTGGCGAGTCTCAATAGAGATGAGGTGCTGTGGCTGGCAACCTATTATTGCACAGATAAAGCGTAATTTAATATAATTTTAATTAAACAAATTTTTTTGTATAAACAAGCTTTGAGACATTTTTTTTCTATTTAGTATTTTGACTTATGTATATCATTCTAATTATTATTCCAGGAGCAGAAGAAAGGACATAAGGAAAAAAAGAAACACAAAAAGAAGGATAAAGATTTAGATAACATGTTAGCAGCAAAACTTACAGCATTGAGTTCTAACAAAATTGATTTGGCTAAACTTTTAGAGTCAGATGATTCTTCTGATGACGATTCCTCAGTAGAAGAAAAGTCTAAGAAGAAGAAAAAGAAAAGTAAATCAAAAAACAAAAATAGTGATAAATCACGTAAAAAGAATAAAACAGAAAAGTCTAAGTCTAAGAAGCACAGAACCAAAAATGACAGTTCTTCTGATAGTGATGAAAGTATAGATACTGGTCAAAAACATAGTAGAAAACGTAGTAGTTCTGGAGATAATGAGTCCGTACCACATAATAAAAAACACAAAAACGACAGTCCTGAACAATATTCACCTGATAACAGACAAAATATTAGGCATGAACCTCAATATAAACGATATTATGACTATGAAGCGAATCAAACACAATTTAATAAGATAAGTAGAGACAGGAATGAAGATAAATATAGACATCACAGTGAAGCACAAAGTAATAGAGAAACAAAAAGATGTAGCCCTATCAGAAAGATGAATAGGAATGAGAAATCAAACGAACAATCAAGAAGTAAGAAGGGCCTTAGTGATGCAGAAAAAGCAGCCAGATTAGCTGAAATGGCTGCAGCTGGAGCTGAAAGAGAAATACAAAGGGGGCGCCGTGTTGCAGAACAAAAAGAAGAAAATAAAGCAGCTGAAAAGGCTTCAGCTTCACGGATGCCATCACGGAATGAAGCAAGGGCTATTCCAGACTCACTAGAAAGTCGAATCCACTCAAATAGACATTACATTCAACGAAGTGAAAAACACATGAGCGAAAACTTTGCAAGACGGTGATGACTTCAAAAGAGTTATAAATAAATCAAGATTTAAAATCAAAACGTTTTTATTACATAATAAATAGATGATATTAACAGATGAGTTTCTATATTTAATTATTTTCTATTTGAAAGCATACAATTGTTTTGATATATAATAAATATTCTATACAAGCTAAGTTGTCAGTCCAGAGGAATTTTCTCTTTAACAATCTGAAACAAAAATCATTATTTTGAAAAGAACATAAAATGTTTTACCGACCTTATAAATAAATACGACGTCTCATACGTCCTGGTTTAACGGACATTTTTTTCTTTTCTGGTTCCTATTCTCTTTTCATTTCATAAGACAGGAAAACCTCACAATAATCAATCAGTTGGTGAAGTGAGTAATAAAGCTGTCGTATATAATATAAAATATTAGTTACTATGCCCTCAGATATTCATTTGTCTCATCCAGTATACCTCAGCGCACATCCCGGCGTAAATAGGATCAGTGTCCCAGGGTCCCCTTTCGGGCAAGGGCAGGGCGCGACGCCGGAGCTCTGCGACGAGCTCGCTAACCTCCATAATCGGGATTGGGTCAAGCGTACGCGCCAACCCAGCCAAGTATTCCACGTAGTGCATCCTGCAAGAAGACACGACGTGAACAGACCTGGAGCAGGTTCCGTTTGTAGACGCCCTCGAGAGAGCCGTAGGGCCGTGGCGGAAGCCTCATAGCAGCTCGACGCACCAAAGTCTCCAAATCGTCCACGCCCAATATCGGCAAAGGCTCGATTTTCTTGTTACGCACCAATCGACTCAGATACTCCAAGTAATGGTTCCTGCAAACACACGCTTCGCTCACCCCCGTTACCTATGGTTCTTCGAGGATAAGGATGTATGCCAGTCTGCCCCATGTAATCGTTACTAATTTCATTGGCTACACCTCTAACTCTTCATTTTCTTAAAATTGTGTTAAGGAACTTACTTGCAAAGACCAGCGTTGCCGGATGCAACTTCGTTTCCACACGTTGTGTCTACGAGACCAGTGGGAGTTTCCCGTTGCAATTGAATTGGACACCGCTTGTTGCTCCCTTGCGGAGCTTCAGTTTCATATGTGACGTTGTTCATCTGTAATCAATAAAGACTCGCGTATTAAGAAAATGTGATCTTATCTCAAAATTGAATGTTCGTCAATAGATGGCGCTATATTAAAAAATTGTTTTTATTTGCCAGTCGTACCTGAAGAAGCGTTTGCAAATCATGGGGCTCTTTATCACGTAGGTAAAAGAGACAGTTTCTGGGATGGTGCGCGTGTAATCCCAGCTTAGCACAGTATTCGCTTAGCCCGCATCTTGCACCCATCATAAATGGCTTTCCACAACCGTAACAAAACTCGTATTTGCATTGGGTACAGGTGAAATGCATACAACCACCTCTGAAATCATAATTACCCTTATCATATATTGAAATATTTAACGAGTGTTAAAAGGATTCTACAGCGTTGTACCGTATTCACAGAATATGGAATAAGCAGCATGTCTTAGACCCGAAATTTAATATGTGTCAGGCACAGACCTACTTATATTTATTTTTGTTTCTTAATCTTTGATTCTCAATAATAATATCTATAAAAAAGATAAGAAATGTTAAAACCAAGATCCAGAAATTACTGTAAGCGTAACTGGATTTAATTAAACTTCAAATACCTGATAAAATCAGTAAAAAATGTGTTGATATCTTAAAAACTACAGAATCGATTTAGAGGAAACAACCCTTCGTAGTTCGAACGTTCTCTAAGTTGGTAAAGTAAATCTTAAATCAATAAGGATCAATATGACTTAGTTACCTAGAAATTTGTGTTCAAGCATAATTATGTTTATGTGTATGTTTGTATACACAAGTTGTATATATTCTTACGAAACTTTACACGAATAAGGAAGCCTAAATATATCATTACACTCAAATATCTTACTATTATTTGACTACAGAAATTTTAGTCCCTTAATAAAATTTCTTAATCGGATATAAATGGGAATCGTTTCGAGTGCTTTTAAAGTGGCAAAATGCTCATATTTATAGTCAATAGTTTAATTTTTACCTGGAAAGTGAATATTTAAAACGGCACCGCGGACACTCCAAGCCATTTTCTTTCAAATGCTGTTGGACCGCAGCCATTGATCGTTCCGGATCGTTATCTTCAAGCCATATCGCATATTGTTCACATGAAATACCGTCGTGATTTGCGGACCACTGAAAAGGGCAAATTTGTCAACTACAATAAATATAAGAAAGTAAATAAAAGGAACGGAGATCGTTTTACTTAAAACAAAAGTTCGTACTTTGTGTACCGTGCATTATATTTTAAATCCAGGAATCGAACCTGTTCAAATTAGAAAGAACCGTTTATAAACAAACACAGCAACATTGTGACTTTTTTAAATCAAAGTTTTTTCTGGTTTTAACCAAAATAAACTGTTCACGAATAATAGGTACGTGAAGATATATATTTATAATGTAATAAGATATATATTAATAATAATTTATAATTAAATTTTTGACAGCACTGTTTTATATTTAAGACGAATATGAATAGTATTTGTATAGTAAACTACAATAATTGGTGGAACTATCAATCTCGCAGTAAAATTTTACATTCATGTTGATGGCGGTCAACAAATTAGATTAACTCATTATATTAGAAAAGTTTTCAGCCTATATTGTTTTTATACCGGTTTTCTGCACGTGGCACAAGTGACAGATTTGCATTCAGGACATCGAAGTTTCCTTTGCTTGGGGTTTACGAAACACCCTGAAGAGCACTCAACGCACCATCTGAAGTTTGGATCTCGGGCGAGCGTTCGATCTCGTAACTGAAATCAGTCAGGTAATTCATGCTATTTTATTGTAATTTTTGTTTTATAGGACTGATGTTTTGTTTATTAATACAAAACATAATTTTTTTGCCTTTTGGTGTTGGGATTTTTTAAATAATTTACATAAATCTTGTATACACAGCCAGTCAGCTAACCATTAGGTAGTGTTAGGTTACATATAGATAATTATTGACCAATAATGTAGTAAATCTAAATATGAAAAATTGAGCTTTTATTTGAAGGAAAGTTTTGGTCTTCTTTATTTAACTTACTTTTCTTTGAAATAATTCATGTACTTCGTTTTCAAGTAACGTCTTCAGTAAAATATCCAAATGTGCAAAGTAATTGACCCAGGCATCTTCGTCTAAGTTTTCCAACTCTGGTTCCTTACAATATGCGCATACGCAGTCAACGATACTGCGCTCAGTGATTTGCACTGTGAAGTAGTGCCTGGCACACTCGCGGCAACACCTGTGCTCACATCGCAACATAGATACCATCTGAAATCAGATTAAAAGTGTCATTTTTTAGATCCGTTTTTGAGTAGGAGCTACTAGTATTGATGCATTTCCGAAAATTTTAAATTTAGCACTTTAGTAATACTTGTTATTGTAAAACATGATGAAATCATCAGATTTTCTTCAATGAAGTAGCTGACGCATGCTATACAAAATACGTACTTCATGTTCCGGATAGTGTGCAGCGCACAGTTCACAGTATTGGTTTAAGTATACCAAGGCAGCTGTGAGATCAGTGCATTCCAATGCAGCTAAGAGAGCTGTTGGGACATCTGTCCCTCGCGTTATTAAGTCTACGGCGATCCTAGCTTGATCCCAATTTTCTGTTGCGCCTTCCGCTAAAAGCATACGAGCTTGTCTCTGGAAAACGAAAAACGATGAGTTTTTCTATTCTTAGAGTTGCTAGACATAGCAAAGAAACAGAATGACTAGGTATTATTGATCATGGCCGCTTAGAGTCCAGTCAAGGAATACTATAACAACCTATAATAGTTCATTTCATTTAACGAACTCTATGCTGATAGGATGAGAAACTAGTTGTCGTGGTAGTAAAATAAATTATTGTTAACGCATATAGCATTATTAACTATAGCCTGCCTTTTTGACTTGGAACAGTCGGTTTATAATAATGGAATACTTAAACACTAAATATATACACATTTTCTGTAAGTAAAATGTAAAATAAAATCCTCACCTCTGGAGAACCTTCGGGTAATTGTATTCTCGTTAAGTCTATGATTTGTCCCGAAATTCGCCGCATTGTTAGTGGTGGAGGCGGCTGAATCTCAGGTGTTGGTGTGGTTTCCCTAATTTTTTGCATTGATTTTATATCTTCATCAGATTCGCTGTCAGTCCATTCATCTTCTGTTCGACACGTTTCCCGGAAGAATTGTTCTTTTTCCTTAGGAGACATATTTGGTGATGACTGTTTCTCACTTTTCGGAGGTTGTGGAGCCTGTTTTTTCTTTAACGTTGACGTAGAAGGTGTTGGATCTAAAATAGGCGTATCTTGGCTTATTTCAGGTTTCGGAACAAATAATTTGCTCTGTAGTTGCTTAACATTTCCATTTTGAACAGTCGCGAATTGAGCTTTAGGAGGTGCGGGCGCTGGGTATTGTTTGATTGAAGTGCGTCTTACGGGTAGTTTAGAAACTATTGTTTTCGGATTTTTATCCTGTTTATCTTTTTCGGAAATAGATTTGATGGGGACTGGAATATTAGATTTACCTAACACACTTGGTTTAGATATATTAACATTCTTTTTGTTAGCATTTGTATTTGAAACAAGATCTTCGCTTGGGTTTAGAGTATCATTTTCTTCACTGTCGTTTGCTTTCTTTAAGTCGACTATTTCGATAACAGTTGCATGCGAAGGAATATCATTAACAACTAGCCCATTATTAGATTTTTGTATATTTATTTCTCCATGAGAAGGCATAGGGCCACCTGGAGTGGAATCTTCTAAATTGTTTTCATTTTTAATATCTTTGACTTGGGATGGTAAGTTTACTTGAATCTTTTTTATAACTGGGTCTGATTCTTTTTGTTCATAAACATTTCCAATAGAAGCATTCATGATAGGTCTTCTTAGTTCCAAAAAAATCTCTTTCATTGGTGTAGATACTTTAAATTCTATTGTTTCCAGAGTTTCTTTAGTAAGTTGATTACTTTTATTTTTTATAGGTATTGTTACAGGGTTTTTATTTGAATTTGTTTCTTGAATTTTAGTTTCACTCGCCAGCTGTTCATATATTTCTTCAAACGAGTTCACTACTGTAAAGAAGTTATTATTCATATCTTCAGGGAGCATCTCTTTTTTTATCGCTATTATTTTAGGAGAATCAATATTATCATTTTGTAACTTTTGCGAAGAAATATCAATAACTGTTTTGTTATTTTGTTGTAATTCCTGTGGCGATTCAGAATAATCTATTGCTTCTTCAAACTGCTCTGTATCCTCTGAACTTGTCATAGCATCTTTATTTTCTGTGGATTCTTCATTTTCTTGTTCATCCTCTTCGATCGAGCTTTCATTTTCATCAGATGTACCTTCAACTTCTTCTGTATTGTTTTCCGATTCACTGTAACTAGATTCCTGGCCTGTGGAAGGCTCTGAATCATTCACACCTGATATATCACTTTTCTCGGAATCTTGGTTTGAATTGATATCGTAATTAATTTCATCTTTCATTTGTTGTATTAACCGCTGTGTGTTATCTACTAAATCACTAAGATTATTTGATTTTATATTTTGCACTTCTACCGTTTGCCTTTCCTCTATAACATTAACTACCGAAGCTTTCTCTAGCTGTCTGTTATTAACCATTAATGTATTATTTTCTTTAGATGGTTCTATTTTTGGAGATGTTAAAATTTCTTGTGTTGTGCTTTCAGATGATATTGGAATATTTATTCTATTATTTGTTTGATTATCTGAATAAATTGGTGTAATTTCAATACTGGAATCTATATTCGATGGATACAATTGATTTTGAGGCTGTTGATCAAGACTTTGTATGCCGGTGTCAATTGAAGAGTCGGTTGGAACTACTTTCTTATGTTGTTCTATATTTGGCAACGGACTTAGACGTGTTAATGCATTGTAGGCATCAATAAAATCCTTTTCGGATTGTATGAAATCCAATAAATTTTCTGTATGCTGTGAAGGAGAAGTACGCACTTTATTTCCCTTTAATAATTTATTAGAACTATCTGCACGTAGTCCTTGCACAAGCAAACTTTCTTCAATAGAAGGAATACCAGCTAGGTCTAATAATAATTTTAATTTTTCAGCTATATTTTCTGTATCAGTAGGATTAGATTTAATTCTATCTTCAAGCTTTGGTTCAGTTTCATATGTATCTCTGTTTATATTAAGCGGTAAATACATCCAGTCATCGTCTTGAAAATTATTAACGGATTCTCCGAATTCGTCTGAACTGTCGTTGGCTGAAATGTAAATGGTAAATTATGATGATATGCTTGATGATACGGCGAGACTGTTTTTATTTAATTTTGTTTTGCTTTTCATTACCGCGACTGCGGTGTGAGCGGGTGGAGAAAGACGGCGGGATGGCTTCGTCATCGACACCTATCGGAGAACCCCAAACTCGACCTCGTAATTTTCCTTCTTCACTTATTCCACTTTCACCTATCTGTAAAATAAGTGAAGATATTAAAAAAAAATAAGTTCTAGTTTATTTTCACTAATGTTACTTGAGGTTCGATTACCTGTCGCCTATGTCGCTCGACACACTCCGTGACGGCGGGCCACATGGCTCCTCTATGTTTCGATAAAGCGGCGCGCGCTTCCAGCTCTGATACGTTGGTTCCAGCGGCAAGTCTTGCTGCCGCTGCTCTAACTCCCGCCACCAAACTGGGCCATCGCTCTCTTAGCCAGGCAAGAGGCGCTACCGGATTCTGTGCGAGAGCGGCGTGAACTTCAGCTGCACTGAAGCCGAGGCGTTCTGCTTCAGTCATAAGTCTTGCTAGTTCCAGACCTCTTTCTGCTTCACGCTTTGAATGTCCCCCAGCTAAAGCTTCTAAGGAAATTGCTCGATTATTTGATAACGGCTCTGGTGACGGGCCCTGAAAATGTATTTCATTTTATATTATATAATTAAATTCAAAAATAAATGGTTAGACGATTTATGATATTTTTTCTATTTATAAAACAAATACCTCGGACCCATAAAGGCTGGTCCGTTGCGAAGGGCGCGTCCGGCGCAAATCAAGGTGTGAAGCTCTGCGCGTGAGTCGTTCGGCTTTCTTGCGCTCAGTCTCACTCCAGTCAGCGGCCGGACTGCTGTCGCGCCACTCCCATCTACCACCCGTTGTGCGGACACTGCGTTCACTTTCCTTAAAAATGTACAATCATTTTATTGTTAAAATCGATGTCGTAAGTCGCGAAAATCGTTGTATCATTGACTTTTTGATAATAATTGTGTCGGGTCGTACGGAAATTCCCGATTAATTTAAATAAATAGTGATTGCAGAATCATATACATATATATAGGAGAGCTCAAAATAATTAAAGGATTTTAAGAAAATCTTACTCGCGTATCACTGGAGAGTGAATGCCTGCTGTGAGATCTCTCTCGCCTGTCTTCTCTGAAACGGCGCCGCGGACGTGAGCGGGTCACAGAAGCTGGTCGTTCCCAATTATTAGGCACTTCATACGTCTGAAAGTTTCAAATAAATAATTTTATATATAGGAATAAGCTAAATAAAGAGTGTTCTGGTGAATAATTTCAGACTCACAAAAAAGAACCAGAAAACTATGAGCGATTATAAAATAAATCTGTCTACTTGATATTTCGCTAACTATTTTTCAAGTCGCAGCTAGGCATCTTAATTGTCAATTCTTGTAGAGGAAAAAGAGTGTTCAGATTTAATTTGAACAATGACCAACTGCTGAAACGGCTCACGTGGTTGTTCTAAAGTTTAACAGCTGAAGGTGCGCGATACACCAACAGCTCACAGGAAAAATGTGAATAGGTGTAAGTAGTATTTAAGACGTTGTTTTATAACAATTAATCAGATTAGAATATTGCTCTTTCTTATTCATTTCTCGCTTCCTCTCAAAGTGGCGAAGACTACTTTAAGCCCTTAATTATCTTGGTGAGACTGCCCAATAGCTTTGTGATAATCCCACCACCTTGATCCTTTGATCCTACCCGTTGGGCTCCGTCTGTTACCTTTCAGACATCCCGTACTTATTTATATATTCACTATTTATGTGTTAGGGTACGTCTTTAGGGCTTAGGGATCCGTAGGGTTGCTAGAGTCTGGCTAATGAAAGAAGATAATTGAATTATTTGAAAACTTTCGGATGGCAACACAGAATGTCATTGAATTTCTTAGGTTAGTATGATTTATTGTCTTGATACTTCTCATCATTTTTATTTCTATTATATATTTTTTCCGAATAGTATATAATAGCCTAAACATTCAGAAAGTTTCATAAACAATGTGAGAGACAGTGATAACAGCAGTGACTCTTATGAATCTATGCATATTTATATTTTGGATTCTGATTTTGATTATTCCGAATAAAGTTGTGTTTTATAATAAATATAGTTTTAGTTTTCCATGCAATGCTAGTCATTTTAAGTGTCAATAGTAAAAGACTAAATGCGTTACTATCAATGTAAAAAATAATAAAATAAAATCAAGTATCAAGTAAGTTTAATCCACAAAATATATCAAACTTTTAGGGATACCAATTTTTTTTTAATTTGCCGCGATTTTTCGTTGTCTTCTTTCATTAGGCAGACTCTAGGTTCTTACATCTCATCTCTCATTTATTTAGTTATCTAGTGCAGCTTTCTCATACATACACTACGTATATTTTACAGATACTCCTGACATTTAATACATTTAACCACACATCAATGTCCACTGGCTGGCAAGCTGTACAAAGGGAATAAAATAAAATAAACCTTACCTGCGTTGATATACTCTGAGGTGGTGGAGATGTACCCGTATTTGACACATTAGTCCTGCTGCTTCTTGATTCTGGTCTATCGCGGGACGGCGAACTTCCAACAGACTGTTTTTGTATTTCATACTGTTTCACAACCGTTTTAGTTATTGGACTGGATGGTGGCGATGATCCAATACTTCGTTTCAAAGTTTCAGCAGGTTCACGCGGCTGAGTTTTGATGTGACTTTGAATATCTTTAGGAGGAGACGGCCCAACGGCTATATCATGCCGGGAATGTTTTGATTTTTGATTACTTTCTCTTGTCGGTGTTTCTAATCGATTTTTAGGTTTCACGTCTTTTGGCGGAGACGGCCCGCAACCAGTGGATACGCGTTCTTTTCTGGTGCGTTCTTTGTTTGGTTTGTCATCTGCAATAATATTATAACAATATATATTGATGTGTTAGTAATCTGTAATGAAAGGAAATGCAACATTTATTTCTCAGAGATAACAACTGCCACTAAAATAATAAGATAAATGTATGTACATAAAAATTAAGTTTAGGGAATCAATGACATCGGCCTTTAACAGAAATTAAAAACATGACTGTTGTGTGTGTGTTAACTATTTAAGTCCGTGACTAAAGTAGAATTTGATGGAATATCTCATAATTATTAATTTAATTGTAATATTGGACAAACCTATAGTATTTATAACTTTTGTAACCACCGGAGATGGGGCTTTTTCAACTTTTTCAACAGATTTTTCAACGTTTAATTTCTCCATGCTTTTTTGCAAAGAAGTGATAGTTTTCGGTGTAACAGTTGGCGTGCGACAGCATACAATGCATACTCTTACACCGGGGTCGTTAACAAACGTACAATGTTCACATTGCCATGTCGTGTTAGGTGCTTGTGGGGCGGGTCCTAGATCACTTTCACTTTCTTTAACTTCTTCCTTATTATTTATTTCCTTTTCTTTTATTTCCATTCTCTCCTCGACTCTCTTTACTTGGCCTCTATCGCTCTCCGGCTCACTTTCTGAGTCAGCATCACTTGATGGCAAAGAAGGCGTCGGAGATCTCGGCTTGCGTCTTGATGTGCGGGAACGCATGCTTAAAGCTGGCGATGGAGCGCGTGAGTGGGCGCGGGAAGCAGCACGAGACACGCATCGACTTTCCGCTGAAAGTTCATTCAATCGTTTCAAAAAAATATCAAAGTGCGTTTTATGTAGCTAAAAATTAAAATTAAACTCCGAGTTTATAACAGAGTATAATTTAACTTAAGATCTTTCGAAAAAGAAATAAGTGTAACTTTACTGAATTGTTGTTTAAAAAAACTTTATTAATTAGTCTTAAGTCTTAGAGTTGCCTTGTTATCCAGACGCTGGTCCTAATACTATAACATTCCTGTGTTGTGGATGACCAGACTCTTGGAAGGTACATAAAAGGAGAAAAAATAAGTATGTACTTCGAAATATACAGTAAAATAAAAATAAAACTGTTTAATGAAATAATTGCAACAAGTTCAATGACATGTATAATAAAAACGAATGAGTTGCAGGTTGAGAACAAAGAGACTTTATTAGTTATACAATGTACAGACTACATACTAGCACAGACTACAAGTAGCACAGACTGAATCAAGTAGACTATTTTGATACAAGTAAACATACTTAACAGCACCACTTATCAATAATCAAATACTAAGCAGTAATAAAAACAACTTTGACAATTTTAAACATTTTGAATTCCTAATAATTTTTAAGATAGTTTGTTTGGCAGCACTCAAACTTTTCGTTAAAACAGCAGGCATCTCAGATGTTGAAAGATATTAATTTTAATAAGGCTATTAGAGACTGTTCACGTATGAAGTGGTAGCGAACATCTATATGTTTAGTTCGTTTGTGAAACAAAGGATTCTCTGTCAACTTTTTGGCTCTTGGTTATCATTGTAAATTACTACAGTATAGTTACAACCAATAAATCTGATATAAGACTTTTTAAAATTGCCTCTTTACATGCTTCAGCAATGGCCATGTTTCGGCCTCGGTACTTGACAAAGCTACCGTTTGTTGCTTCCTACATTCATAGGATATCACAAGCCTGACAATTTAAAACAAAATCCTGTGTAGGATTTCCTATCTACAGTATTCGACGCCCAATCAGCATCTACAAAACCTTCTAAATTACAGGTATCTTTAGTAAACTTCAAACCATAAGATTTATTTTTTGCAAATATTTTAAAATTCTTTTTACATGATGCCAATGAACTGAACTAAAACAATTATTAAACTGGCTAAGGTAGCTCACACTATATGATATACTGGACGTGTTAATACTGACAAATACATAAGATTTCCTATAAGCTGTGGATAGGGAAATGTTTGTCAACACATCTGCCTTTTCTAATTTCAAATTACATTCCATAGGAGTATCTTTAGTATTACAATCAGTCATATAAAACTTTTTAAGAATTTGTTTTACAAATTGTTCCTGATCAATAGATATACAGTTATTTTCACATTTCACTCTCATGCCTAAACACCTTTTAATTTGACCTAAGTCTTTAATTTTAAATTTAGACATAAGTTTTTCTTAAGATCATTAGTCATAGTTTTACAATTAGAAAAAATAAAGAAATCATCAACAAATATTGCAATGATAATGCTCATTCTTACATTTTTTACTGTATAAACATGGTTCTGATACTGACTTTTTATAATCTAACTTCAAAATCGTTTATTCTAGCATTCCATGCCCTAGCAGACTGCTTCAAACCATAAACTGCCTTTTTAAGTTTAAGAACACAATTACTGGACAATTTAAATTAGCAGGTGTTGCATGTATACATTTTCTGTTAAAAACCATTTAAAAATGCTGTAACTACATCAAGATGAGTGATTTCAAAATTATATTTTACACTTATTGCAAACAATAATCTAAGTGTAGAGTACCTGAGAACAGGTGAGTAGGTCTCATTAAAATCTACTCCGTGCTGTTGAGTGTAACCTTTCGCCACAAGTCTTGCTCTATACCTGACACTGTTATTGTTTTCTGGCTTTTTCTTGAACACCCATTGATTGTACTACTCTATCTGCCTCATCTTGACTGACAATCTCCCAGGCTTGGTTATCCTCAATGCTTGAAGTTCATCAGACATAGCCTGCTGCCACTTGTCTTTCTCTGGACCGTTGGTAGCTTCATTATAACTTATGTCTTCAGCCCAAGATTCTGATTCATCGAAAACAAGATTAGTAAAACCATATCTTTCAGGAGGTTTCCTGATACGCTTTCCCACCAATGGAGGCTCTTCATTTTCAGATAGATCTTTTTTTCATTTAATGTATGATAAAGTTCTCCTTCAGTTGAAGTTGTGCTTTTTCTGAATCATATCATAGGTAGGATCATCCTGATTTGTTAAGTATTGTCACTTTCTATATAGAACTTTCCTCTTCTACTGATTGTGTTCTTTTATTGTCCTTTTCTCTAGTAGTATCTTGCTCCATTATAATGACATCTCTACTGGTACATACTTTCTAGTTTCTGGGTTGTATAATGGTAACCTTTCACATTTTCCGAGTATCCCACTAATTGTATTTAACTGCTTTCTTGTCCCACTTAATTTTTTTTTAGGACATGCAACAGGGCTCCCAAATATTCTGACATGACTGAGGTCAGGTTTATGTCCTGTCCATACTTCAATCGGTGTCTTTTGGTCCAACCTGAAGCTGGCGATCTATTTTTCAGTACTGCCTGTTAACTGTTCTGCCCAATAACTTTTATCCAGTTTGGCCTCGAACAATAAACATTTGAACGCTCAACAATTGTCCTGTTGAATTCTCGCTGACACCATTCTGCTCCGGAGTATATGGGTTTGTCTTCTGATGGATGATTCCACTATCTTTCAGATAATTTTCCATCATATCTGAGCAAAACTCCCCTCCATGTCAGTTCTCAATGTTTTTATTCCTGTTCCTTTTTGCTTCTCAACCATTCTTTGAAATTCCTTGAAATACTGTAGAGTCTGATTCTTCTCCTTTAGAAAAAACAAATGCCATCTTGCTAGCATCATCAACAAACAATAGAAAAATATCTTGCCTGTCCAATCGATCGAACCTCCATAGGCCCACACAGATCTGAGTGAACTAAATCTAGCAATTCTGTACTTTATGGTTTCTTAATTGGAATGGTAAACGACTCTGTTTCCCTTCACAACATACCTGGCAGTTTATTTTCTGAATATCAGCCTTCATATCAAATGATATGCCATCTACAGCACCATTTTTCATCTTCTGCAAACATTACTGTTAATATGACCTAATCTCCTATGCCACTGTTTTGCATCTGTAATTTGAACTGCTGCGGCCAACACTTTCTCTGACTTAACTGTATTCAACTTATACACACCATTCTTTAAATTTGCTATTCCAATAAGCTCATTCCGTTGATTATGTATATAACACACATCACTTTTGAAAATAACTTTGTTTCCTTTTGCTATTAGCTGGCTTACTGATAATAGGTTTGTGGTCAGGTTAGGTATGTACAAAATGTTGTTCACTTTAATGTCAAACTGAGAATTATTCACAAGCGTAGTTATCTGTGTATTCCGGCACACAAACTGGCACAGTCATATTATTTGCAACAATAATTTCCTTCATATCGTGTACTTTTCTCACTTCCAATAAATTTTCTCTGCATGATGTCATATGAGTACTAGCCCCTGAGTCAATATACCAATCATCCTTATTAAATTCACTATTAAAAATGCAGCACTAAATGCGTTTACTTGCTTTTCTTTAACTTCAGGACATTGGTTTTTGAAGTGGCCAATTTTCTTGCACTTATAGCATTTTATAACCTTGATAGGTTGCGTCATATTGATTGTTATTATGGCCGTTTTAGTATTGCCACTTTTCAATCTATGTCTTCCTTTCGCAATAAATGCACTTTCCGAACCGGATGTAGTACCAACATAATCATCAGCACAATGTCTACCAATTTTGTTTTAACAAATCTGCACTCCTCTATTCCAGAATGCTCAATGGCCATTATAGGGCATCTGTCAATCCCGCTAACATATCTCCAATCCACTCATCAGTTATACTGAATCCTGTTCCTTGAAGTCGCTGGCCCGTTTCTACAATTTGAGTAAATACTGTGCCATTGACTCACAGTTTTCTAACCGAATGTTAATGAGATTTCTCAGTAGACTAACCTTCCTCATGTAGCCGGAATCATCATACATATGTTTAAGCGTAGACCATAAATCATATGCCGTAGTGCCTGTTGATATGAACATATAAAGATGTATCGATTGTTAATATCAATTTTGCCTTGGCCTTAGCATCACTTTCAATATCACTGCAGACGCCGATGCTGATAGCTGTGTCTTGATTTTATCCGCCATGTTTTCTAGCACCAAAACATTTTGCACCGCAAAACACCAGTCGTCATAGTTTTCACGACCCTTCAACTTTGGGACGTTGGCTATATAATTCACCGACTTATTATAGAGTATGGAAAAGATAATACTTTAAACTTCCATAATACACTTAAAAACGGGTCTGGGCCCATAACCTAATAAACGAATGAGTTCAGGTTGAGAACAAAGAGACTTTATTAGTTATACAATGTACAGACTAATACTAGCACAGACTACAAGTAGCACAGACTGATATAAGTAGACTATTTTGATACAAGTAAACATATCTTAACAATGTAAACATTCGCTATAGTACGATTTATAAACAAAATTTAATTATAAGAAATACCTCTTCGATATGGTTGAGGCGTCTGAGGGTGCATTTGAGGATAGGGCAATCGGGGATTATGCGTTGGTGGAATACAGCACCCTTGTGGCCATTGCCCCCAGGAGTTATCTAGGTTAGCACAGCTTCCGTAGCGCCATGGGTTGGGGGCACAATGGGCACAGCCAGCACAAGGCGGGGGCCCCCCCAACTCCATAACCGAAGCCCCGCGTCGTAGAGGTCGGCCCCAATTCTGTGTTAGATTTTCGTGGCCTTCCCAATGTTCCATTTGTTGAGTTGGCATCTAGAATTTTTTAAGAATTTTTCATTATATATTTACTTTATTTCCACATAATTGTCCTACATGAAAGCCGACGAATATTTATCATATATTAGGGTAGTTTCGGAGGATTTATCAGTCTTACAACTTACTGATTACCCTAATGATCGTGGCTTCCTCTTTATTTCAATAACAGTAGTGGTCAAATCTTTGAGACCTAAGAATTATCACACACCTAACGTACTCTACTTACAATGTTTTGGGGTGGGACATTGTATCCGGGTAATGAAGTGCGCGTGCGTCCCCAAGAGTTGAAACCAGTCGGTTCCATAGGCGCTTGCATAGCACCAGTAAAGTTGGGCATTGCTAAATGAGAATTTTGAGGTGTACGTTGACTTGGAAAATTGTTGTGTGGTAGCGTCGTTGATTGGTTGAAGTGATTTTGAGGCCCATGGACCAAATTTACGGTGGCTTGCCTCGGATCGATCGGTTGTGGTCTAGGACTTGCTGTGCTTCTGTCTCCAGCCATCTGAAGCCATAATTAGATATGATAGAATGTCTTTCTTTTTTTTCTTTGAATATGTTAGTAATATAATATAATCAAACGAGTAAATCACGTCAGATATTTTTATTGAATAATACCTATTAGTAGCAATACGTTAGTTAATATACAAAGTGGAATAAATTAAATATTGTTTCAACAAATACAATGATAGAAAATTGGCTTGCGTCAAAAAATGCGCAGAAGACGTATAATATAAGCTTAATAGTACGCGCGGGAAGCATTCTCCCAAAACACAATATTACTTGTAATGCATACATATTTTTGTGAAACTTCTTCAGGCGCATGAGGGTAAAATTTTTACGGATGAAACGCAATAATAATAATATTAGCGTCACGAAGATGTGCAGCGTTTTTGTCGAAGAAAAGGGAGAGAACAATTGAAACCGATTGAGAGAGAGTGAGACGGGCGAATTACCTTATAGAAGTTCTATTTTTAAAATTAAAATTTCGTAACGAGAATTTATGAAATATTAGTATTTTATATTTTATGCAAAATAATTTATTGAAATCTCAAATGACGAATTGTAAATTAAAATGCCATGAAATACGTTTAAAAAATGATTTGTATGGATTTTCGACACTTTAATATTTTAATCACAATTAAATTCATGAAATTCCTAACATATCTTTCTTTTTCCCTCCCTCTAAGTCTCGGAAATCTAATGTTATAGATTTGTATAAATATGAACAACACTTAAAAAATTAGTTTGCTAAGGAAGTTTCACTTCTGACATGTGTACTTTATACGCACGCACTTTTCTTTTAATTGAAAATATTTTTTTTACCTTGTGTCTCCGCGGAGGTGGAACGGGTGGTGTTCCCTTTGGTGGTAAAGGCGGTCTCACTTCCTTTATCTGGGACGGTGGAAGAGCCTAAACATAGTCAATTATTGGTGCAAGTGCAAGAATGTATAAATTAATGTTTACATCAGTGGGTGAGGCTGGCACTTTGCCCATATTTTGACGAAACTAGCTTATTTAGGGCCTCTTACTAATCGCCTACTAAACATCGTCTATGTCTCATAATATAATCTTAATCAGTCATACGAAACTTTCAATATTCAAATAGAACGAACAAAAATAGGAAAACTAGCCTAGTAAATAAGCGTGTGAATCGCAATGCTGAAATTTAGACGCTAGACTTTTTCATTTTATCAGTGTCATTAACAATTATGTGTACATGTCGGAGACCCTAATATTAATAACATGTTGCACTGTATGTTGACACTTCCATATAATGAAAAAATATAATTGACCCAGGTTCAAGTGCACAGGTGCTAATTAAAAGATTTAAGTTGGTGCCTGGTAGAACCCCAGAGCTGGTGCTATCCTCGCTCAACGAATAAGTATCGCAATACTTATTCGTTGTGTGTAATGCTGCCAGCGTTAAAGGTACACTGCCACAGGGACCAAATTAAATTTGTTTTAATTTTTTTATTTATTAATTTATAATTATTTTTATTATTACTATGTAGGTTAAGAACATTGTAAATACTATGTGTTGGGAATAAATATCATAATATTAAATTAATCAGACACATATATCCGTAATACTCGAGTTGGATGATATATGATTGTCTATGAAATATAGGTTCAGACTGAATAGGAATAGAATTACATACAAAGAGGCCAATGTAATAAGTCTTATTCATAATCATACTAAGAAGCTCAATTATATAATGTTATGTCTTTTTTGTTATTAATATCAATGTGACACGAATCTACGATAAGGCTTTATTTAGCTTAGTAGATATATGATGTTCACACTAAATGCTTTACCCTTTCGATTACATAAATATTAATACATATTAATTAATGTATGTCCTGTACCTGTCGCTGATGATTTCTCCGCTTCGGGTGTCTGTGATACATGTCGTCGCATGAAGCACAGAGCGCGCGACGTCCGCACTCCGTACACCGCACTCTAGCGCCGCCACCGCCGCACAGACCACAAGACGTGTCCATTGGATGACCTGGGGTAAAATAAAAACAATATCGTTCGTGGTTCTTGACCTAATGGGTCCACTGCTCCAGCGGAGTTAAAGTAAATATTATTTTTAAAAAAGAAAGTTTATCTTTAAAGTTGTGTCTTTACATACGAGTTAGCATAATATGCGAAATAATCTATATATTTACATATATATATATATAAATGTTATGTTGGGTTGTGTACGCTTCAAAAACAAAAAAAACTGCACCGATCGAGCCGCAAAACTGATTTTAGCATGATATATAATCCGCATCAAGGATTGTTTTTATCTAAAATTTTTTATCATTTTTCATTTTTTTTTCCACAAGTATTGCAAAATAACTTATATGAAATGTTTTCTTTGTTTTGTTTCTCATTTCTCAACCATTCAATCACAATGTGCCACAGCGTGGCAGGAAACAGCTAGTAATGTATATAAGAGTGTCATTTTACTATTTTTTATGGGTTTTACATACCTGTTGGTGGTCGTGGTGGCGGTGGTGGAGGTGGTTGCAATTTAGCGTTGACGTACTGTTCAGAAGGAAACTCTACTACTTCGTAGTCTGGCTCCGGCTTCGCCATGGGCGCTCTGTTTAGAGACCGCATTCCCATTGTAGGGGTCCCGGGCACTGAAGCCCTACCGCGACCCTTCAACATCTAAGGAAATACAAATGTATTATGACGACTTTATTACTATTCTATTAGGCAAGGATCATAACATAAGCTGTACATAAAATTATATATAAATAGTAATCTTAAAGAAAAACTATTATTATAACAATAATATGTAATAGTTGTAGAAGCAATGGGTTTCAGGGCATTTTTTTAATTCCTCTTAGTTCCAATCTTAGCACGTGTTGCCTGGAAGAGTTGCGCTTTTATCAGAGCCTCTCGTACTCAGTCTTTGACTTATAAATGCGTCGTAAGTTTATTGTTTTCTTGTGTGCAAAGAAGGGTAAATAAATCTTTTATTTATTTATTTAGTTGGCGCCTTGTAGATAGTACCGGTGACCCTAGAGCTGGTGCTTTCCTCGCTCAACGAATAAGTATCGCAATTCAGCGAGGAAATGCTGCCAGCGTTAAAGGTTCACTGCCACATGGACCAAACTTTTTAAAATTATTTTAAGTTTCTTATTGTTCATTTTTAGTTATTTTTATTATTACTAAGTAGGTTAAGAAAATTTTAAAACTGTATATTTGATAGTTTTACTATACTGTACTATTTAAAATAACTATCAAAGTAGTGAAATAAAATAAAAAATATATATTTGTTTATTTATTTGTACACCACATCAAATGTGATCCAAAAGCAATGGCTTATATAAAGATACTTTAATTGATTGAGATTTGCCTAATGCGGATTAGGTACCTGATAGGTGATTTTCAAAGCGTTTTTTTATATTGATCAGCCCGATACCGAATATATTTATCTCTAAATTACCGTTCATTCCGTTGTATTAACGAAGAATTCAGATAAGAGGTGCCTAAACTCCTAGGTGTGTTTTTGAAGGACGAAATTTGAAGTATTCTGTTGATTTTGAACCCTGGGAATGAATAAGGGACGATAATATTCTGTAAAGAGCTACTATTCTCGTTTTCACTGTATAAGAGCAACACTCTTCTAATTGTATAAGAACCTAACCCCTAAGGGCCTTAACCTTAGGGCTTCTAAAAATATTGCATTGGCATAAAAGTTAAATAGAAAAGGTAATAAAATGACATTACATTCTGAATTTCAATTCAAAATGCAACCTCTCTGAATAAATAAAAAAAAAACATAAATATAAGATAAATGTTTGCTGTTTATTAGCACTTTGCTTCTAATATAGGTTTTTAATTAAACGGTAATCCGGTATTTCCTCCATATTGTACACTATCAAAGGCGTTTTTCATAATCGACAAAACAGACGAATAGAACCCTGTTCATGTCGCGGCATCTCAGTATCAACACTTGATAGCCAAATAATGTTTTTCTCGTTCTTGACACCCCTTCGAAAGCCAAATTTTGAATATATCCTATTATGTATCACTTTCAGAGTTTCAATACATGGCTCACATTGAGATATTCCGATAGTCGTTGAGATATAAACATAACTTGAGATATAATCTACCAATACACCCAAGTCACGAATCTCCTGAATCTCTGAATGTGTGATGAATCAAAACACGCTAACAGACCTCCTCGAGACGGCATGAAAATCGCAAACAAGATAATTAAAATATATATAAATATTAATGAATATATCTCTTAGCTTTTATTAATATATTTTTATAATTTTAGGTAGGAATAAATATTACCCTATAAGATATAATAATAACTAGCTAGCTAAACTCATCCTCTATATTTTCTTTCTTATTATCCATTTATAATTTGTAGTTGATGAAGTTTAACAAAACAATGTTGTTTCTTTTATTTCATTCATTTCCGTAATTTATATAAAATAATGCGAATATCCCAGGTAGAAATTTAAAAATAACAAAACCTAAAACAGTAGGACATTGAGGTCTAGGATATCTCATAAATATTTTCAGTTGTAATGAATTATTGAAGTTATACTTCTTTAGGCGCGTTATGAAAAATTGATGAGAGTGAAATTTTACGATGCGCGCGCACCGTGACACAAAATTAACAGAATGAAGTTGCCCACGGAAGATGCTACGGCATTAGACATAATTTAAACACAACATTCGAATAATAATAGAATTATGTTACACTTAATGTAAGAGAATAATAATAAATATTTATTTATTTAATTTTTCAAATGTAAACTGAACTTTATTGACTATAATGACTCCTTTTCCAGTCTTTGATTATTTAATTGTAATTAATTATTTGCATCCAATCAAAAACTATTTTTAATAATGCCAAAGAAGTATAACTTCTTACGCGCGTACATAAATTACGTGAGGTGTTTTTTATAATTTTTCTGACCCTCCCTCCCCCTGGTGAGATGTCGTGAGATTTTGTTCAACCCCTCCCCCATCCCCCAATCTCACGTGAGTTTTTCAAAATGTGGGTTTCTTACGTAAACGCGTTGGATTGTTATTGTAAAAAGAAAAAAAGTTTGTTCGTGCTTTTATTTAAGACTAGTAATCAATATTGCTGAGAGTTTAATTATAAGTGTAATAAAAATTTAACAATAGAATACTTAAATCGTAACTACTGTGATTAAAAAAAGAATATTACTCTAATTCAGTCCATGGATAATCATGCGCGGTCTCAAGAGAGACTATTGGAACCAACATGTCCATATGATTTTCAGTAAAATCATCTGCTCCTTCAACTTCGTTCTGATCTAGCCACTCTAAACCATTGGCACTTGCACACAGTAACTCATTAGCTCGTCTTGTGACAATCCGTGAGGGTCGGACCTTGCGGAACATACGCGCTTGCTTAGCTGGTGCAATGTGGGCTGATCGCCTGTGCTCTGTAGCTCTTTTGCTAGAGCAAAGTAAATACCGCATGTACTGCAGCATCTTTTCTCTAATCATCACGAACACTTGGGCAATAGAGATCATAAGGCGTGCTGATGAAGGCATTCAGCGGTTGAATCGGTAGGCAGTGGCGTATTAAAAATGGAACAAATGACTTTCCGTCATGCTCTTTAAAGTCCGGAATTGTCAAATGTCCATCAACTTGAGTGATAGGGTATGGAGGCGGCAGAAAACGGTCGTGAAGAATCATATGCAGATCACTCCGGCGTGGGCTGCGCATTCGGTATCGCATTTTACAACCTAAAAAAAAATTAATAACTCTTAATAAAAATTTGTTGATATTCGTGCTCGTTTAAAAAAAAAAATTAGGCACGTATAGAAATTTGATATGAACCAACTAATGTACCTGGAGTAAATATTGGCTTTCTCTAAGTGCTCAGTGTACCATTCTTCGGCTGGCAGGTCTGGAACGTAGAAGTTTCATTATTCGGCTCTATAATCAGCGACTACTTCGTGTCCGTCAGCACACTGCAGACCATATTTCAGCCAAAATATCCCCTGCCTTTTTGAAATTATCCTTTTCCAGACTTTCGTTTAATGTTCTGCCGCTGGAGTCAAGATGTGTCCCAAAAGAATCATGGGGAAGAACAACGCCTGTTAGTTCTCGACTGAGTGGAGCCATGCGTCTCTCTACTCTGTTGAATGCGCTCGGCCAGGGGCATTAGTCACAATAAATACTGCGTCCAAATCATATAGTTTAAAATGCGTATGGCGTGTGGATCACTTTGTGATATCGCGGATTTTCGTCAGGCCCACCGTCGTTGAAATTATAAGAACAGGTTTAACTTTTCTGTCTAATTTTTTGTAAATTTGGAAAAAGGCTCAATTGTTAAAAGAGTGTCCAAATCTTGAGCGTGACTAGTTGCAGTTGACGAAGAGTGCTTGCCACTTCGTATTGCTATGTAAGTTGGTCCACTATATGAAACAGCTTCTGGTCGTCCCATCTCATTGGGTCTCACTTCACACAAAGATACAGTTGGAATAATTTGTGCCTCGAAGCAATCACAAAGTCGTGGTCTGGTAACGACACTTTATATGCAACGTGCATTAATAATGGCGCCTGCTTGTTTGCCGCTGTCAGGCCGATGGGACGCGGGCTTTGTCATCCTGAGATAAAAAATTACGGAGTCAGGACCAAGTACCGAGGCTATCGTTTCCAGCGACCTTATGGAGGCCACAGAAAAGTATTGGTTTGGTGTGCCTTATGATGGTCAGTTCAGGACGACTCAGCTTCACCGGCACAGTCACTACATGGCGCTTAGCTTCTCGTGTATTTGCCGTCTAGGCAACAGTCGAATAAAGTAGCACTTCGTGAAATATTAAATCCCAGCTCGCTTAGTTTATTTGTAAGTTCTGATAGCGTATGGACCGTGCGAACTATCTCACAACGACGACGCTCTTCAGCAGAAGCACCAAACAGGGCTAAATCACTTATTGTTTTTAGCAAATCAGACTGTTCTTTTTCTAAACGTGGGCGTCCAGGGCCAGCACGGGGCGTCAACGACTTAGCTGCATCGGGATTTTTGAACATAGTTCAATTATTGCTTGTTTTCTATTGTTCTGTGCCATAGAGTACACTCTTTGTTTTTCTTTAAGCTTGAGCTTTTCTCACAAAGTCAATCTGCCGCAAATTACATGTTTATCAATTCAGTGCCGTCAGTACAAGAGACCTTTTGCGCCTTTCCGTTAAGTCAAGCTCCATATGCAGCTTAGTAATCTTTTTCTTCATAGTACTTGGCGGAGTGGGACGTACGTTGGATGGTGTAGGTCGTCAAGTTCATCCTCACATCTTGATCACAAGAGGCAGATTTTTCCGTTTCGAAGCGCCTGTGAAATGCAGAAAACTTTTATTTAGAATAGGACAAAATGAAGAAAACGTCACCTATAGAAAGAAAGACGACCTCCAATTCCACGTTTGGAACACTCTCAGTGCTTGTCCCAGCCTGTTCGAAGAACTGTTAGAAATCTTAGTGTTAGTCTGAAATCAAAGCATCATAATATTAAGAAATAAATCTAATAAATTATAAAGATAGATTAACACAAAATTAAGAAATATTGAATTATGTGAAAACAGTTGAAATGACCGCGCTAATATTTTGTAGTATTATGATTTAGCATATTTTATCAAGAATTTCACTGTTTCATTTTTTTAATGCTTGAAGGAGGTCCTTTCGCCATCAATTAAAAAAAAATATTAGATTATGCATATTAAAATTAATTTTTATCTAATAGTTAAAGTCCTAATTTATCTACTTAATGAAGTTTAATTTATTCTTCACCAGCAAATTAAAAAAAAATTAAAAATGTTAATATTTTGAGTCTTTTATAAACGAGAAAGTCAGACCTAAAACAACTTTCTCGAATTATGGCATTAACCATTGATTTAAGATGGGGTAAAAAACGCAAAATAAGGTTTTCGAAATATTCAGTTTTGATTTTTTGCAATAAAATCTATAGGGAATTTATAGAGAAATTAAAATTATAAAATAACAGATTTTTTTAAAGTAATCTGCATTTAAATGGCGTCAGAACATTGGCGATTGCGAAGCGGGAGCTTCAGACCATTCAATAAATTCAAACTAAACTTCAATGCACTAATATGTTTTTCATACATACTTATAAGTTAATTTATTGTTAACAAATTTTCATATTTCATAATTGAAAAATAAAACAATAATTAAAAAAATATGTACTAGCATTCCTGCCATGAGACATATTAGAATGTTATAGTTTTGTAATTTAACAGTTTTAATTAATTTATTTATTTGCATTGACAAAAACTTTACATGGTTTAGATTAATTGTGAAATGAAAATGTAACAACCGAAATATAGTTGCCAAATCACGGACAGGTTACTAACAGCTGATTTAAAAGAGCCAAACTAATTTTTGTATTTAACTATTTTTTTTAATTTTCAAAATTTCAACTATTAATGCCTCATTTATCATAATTTTAATTTTTTAATTTTAGGAATTTGTATGGATTCTTTATTTTAATTTATCGAATATTGACTACTACAGTTGTTGTGACTCAACTGGAGCGAAAGGACTTCCTAAATATTGTAACAATTTTATATAAAAAAGTATTTAAAAAAAATATTTAACCTACTTTTTTAAGGAATGCTAAAGTAGACCGAACTTTTCTCTCAGTGGCTTCCCTGAGAAGCCGTTCAATCTCATGTTCAATGTATGTATTAACTCTTCTTTCTTCGGGAATTTTTGCTTCGCTGTATTCCATATTGTATAATCGTCCTGGCAGGACTTCTTCGTCTTAAGACGTATCTTTTGACGTATGCGTTATAAAAATCTTGATAACTCATTTTAAATTAGTAAGAGAAGATGAGTCGAGTAAAACATTTACAAGAATAAACAAAGCATGTTGGAACAGTCCGTGTGTCGTGCCATGGGGTCGTTCGATCGATTTTTAACTTAAAAATCCGTTATGAGGTTTCAAAAACTGCGTCGAATGCCACCAATGCGTAAAAATCGGTTCATTTATTCAAAAGTTATTGTGGTTTGAAAATTCAAAAAATACTGTTTTATCAAACTTCTATCAGACTTTCATAAATTCTTACTGACTTTCTAAATTCATTTCAAATTCGTACTTTTGAGCTCGAAGAGCTAAAAACTGAGCGTTTAGGTGTGGAGTTAGGAGATGTTGAGAGGTGGCATTTAGGGTCAACCGTTTTCCAAATTTTTTTCAATCAGAAAAAAATTGCGTGATATTTGCCGAGACCCCCTCTCTCCAACGTGAGATTAATGAGATTTGACTCGACCCCTCCCCTAAAACACCTCAGTATTTATGGACGCCCCTTACGCGCGTACACGCACCCTTTTTTTTAATCTTTAAAGGTTTGACGCTGTCTTCTTTATTCCTCCAATTTATTAGTGTGTTTTTCGTCTTTGTATATGTACTTGTATTAGTATCGCAATGTTTGATATTCCGTATAGTTATAATAAGAAAATCGTGCTCCAATTGCCGTTCTACATTCGCATTTTATGAATTGGTGCAAGCGTTTTACATTAATAGATTATTACCATCAAATAGCAGCTGTGGCCGGGGCGCAACGGGCGTTGTCTCGACCTAATTGCCTTACATATCCGAAAATATCGAAAACAATCACCTGCATGTAGATTAAATATATTTAAAATGTACTCGCCTTGGTATCCGAAGGTATCACGTCAATGTAACATTATGCAATGTGGTCACTACACTCGCGGGGGTATTGTACGCAAATACAGGTGCCGGGCGGCGCAAGAGTGCAATCACAACTAAATTTTATCGAAACGTACGCCCTATGCGGATGAAATTGACAGAACGAACGCGTGCTCTGCCATCACTATCCTCTATTTCTGTCCGTGGCCGCGTTGCCCTGATTCTACTAAAATTAAGACGCGCTATTTCCGCACTCAACCTATAACGCCCTCTTGGCCGCGTCAAACATCTCGCGAAACATTAGATAGAATACTTATAATATTAAATTGGAATTATTTACGCATTCATGAATGCATGAATGGTTTTGATTGAAATTCTCAATAATGTGTTTGTTTTTTTTAATGCAACGCCGAGTTCGTTGCTGTTGGTAAATGTAATATAATATTAATACTACCTACTCCATATCCTAAAGATGAATATCTTGGATATGAATATGCAATGGATATAAGGAAATATCAAAAATGTTAGTCGACATCACAGGAGACCGAAGAGCTGGCAGGTACCTCGGACAAAGAATTAGTCTAGCGATTCAAAGGGAGAACACTGCCAGTATCTTCGGAACCTTGCCTAAAGGGACTCCTCTTTATAATATATTTTAGTTATTATATTTTAAGGTTTGTTATTGTTTTTATTGTTCTTCTGTTTTGTGCATTTGTGTGTTGGAAATATTTTTTTTTAACTTAATATTAATTATTATACGAAAGAGGTTTGTTTAAATAAAAAAAAAAACTTGAAGCAATCAAATTAAATGCCATAAAACGTAAACAACTCACAACGGACACGTTGAAAGTTAGCGATTGTTTTATATTATTTTATGGAGTTATTACAAAAGTTCAAACAGAATGGGTACTTTACAGCCGATTTGTACCATCTCATCGCCCAGAAGAAGTCGATGGGACATTCGGAAGAGGTAATGTTTTCAAGTCTGTATTTTATCGAAGATATGGTTTTTTTTCTTCCTTAGACTCGATTTTAATTCTTTCTTAGAAAACAAAGTGTAGTTGTTTGCAAAGTACTTATGCCCTAGTAAAGGTGGGCTAAGTCGCATGTAGCCCGAAATATTGTAAAGGGTCTATATTATACCTATGTAAGCGTACTGGTGCCCGGCTTCGTACAGGATTTTTTTTGTTTTAATATTTTAAACACAGTTCCAGATAATCCCATCGGATTATATCAGAGAATTGAAAATGTCAACATTGGAACGATTACAGTCCTTACATGCGATACAAATCGACAATTATGTCATTTCCGGAAGCAAAAGTAATAAAACTGTGTTGTCCTTTTCACCGAAAGTCATTGTCTTCCAAAATTTTAAGCCGAACGATAAGATTGTTGCCAAGTTTTCAGTTAAGAATATAAGCAAGGTATGAAATGTTTTTTTTAATGAAATAGAAAATGGACAAAGCTAGTTAATGCATAAACAAAATATAATTGTAGCTTGACTTCGCACGGCTGGTTATTTTATTAAATATGTAATAGACATAATATGGTATCGCGGTTTGTATAATTTGTATAAATATAATAATAATAATAAAAATTCAAAGTGCTCTGAGATCTCTGAGGAAGGTTTCGTATTGAGATTTTTTTCCGGATAAACCTAAAAAAATGGTGCGTGTACTTATGTACGCGCGTAAGAAGTTATACTTCTTTGGCTTTCTTTATTTTTTTTAAATAATTAATAATAAATATTTAGCGTTAATAATTTAACAATATTTAATATTTAGTATATACTAAATTATATATATTATATTCAATTATTAAATAATATTAATAATAATTATTATTTTATTATATGAATAATAATTCAATTTAATAACTAGGTATGTTTCATAACCTTTTAACTAAGTAACAATAGGTCCTTGTGAAAAAGCATTGCTAAATTTCTTTGAAAACATAATTAAAACTCCTTTATTTGTTTAAAAGGTACTACAAATGTCATTATGGTTATTCAAAATTCTTGTCATAGCTGCTAACGTCACGCATATTCTATTTCTTTTTACTTGTAGATTGTCTTATTCCCATCTCGCTCGCGCACGCTCGGCGCCCATACTGATAATTTTGTGTCACGGTGCGCGCGCATCGTAAAATTTCACTCTCATCAATTTTTCATAACGCGCCTAAAGAAGTATAACTTCAAAAACATTAAGGCGAAACAAAGTTCGTGGCAGCTTATAAATAGTCAATATTTTAGAACTTCCTGTACAGGGCTGATATGTGGTATTTAAAAATCACACTTATCTACTACCAAATCAAACGCGCTACACTGTCGTATCTTCTTATGCTTAATGATAACTCGAAATTCCCTTTTTTACAGGCCCCTACGTTCCTTAATATGGTTTTCAAAGAATCATCATATTTTTTTATTAAGCCATGTGGAAACCAGCTATTATCTAGGCTGGCCCCTGGAATAAGTGCTACTTTTGCTATTACGTTTCAACCAGCTCAATATGAAGATTATACCCATCGGGTAACTTTCTATACCGATGTTGACCAGTACATTGTACCCTTAATAGGTAAATTTTATATTTAAGTTACTGCGTCTAAAAAGGCGAGGGTTTTTAGTGTATACCACCTAGAAACTTTTTTGTTTGGGAATGGAATCCAGGACTTCGGTTCGATATTATAGGCTAAGCCACAAGTGGTCAAGCTCGGATTAGTATGAATAATTTAGTAAAACTATTCCTGCATAATATTTCAAGCGATTAGGATATTAAACAAAGTATGAAACTACCGACTGCAGCGCCATCTGCCGGGCTGATTTATGAATCTAAACCATCCAGGCCTCCAAACGCAGACAAAAAAAACGTTCAAATCGCTCCAGCCGTTGATAAGAGTTCAGTGACTCACACACGTACCTACAGTAGAATTATATATATGTAAGCTAATCCTATCTTTAAGCTAGTTCAAACTGCACACAGTGTGCAAATTTGATTGAAATCGGTTAAGTAGTTTAGGAGTCCATAGCGGACAAACAACGTGACGCGTTATTTATACAGGATGGCCAAAAAGTCGTGGATCAAACGCAAATAGGGGATAGATGAGGTCATCAGCTGCAAAAAATTGTTTTACGGGAGGTCTCTAAGCTCAACCCCTGCAGAGTTATAATCTGGTATTGGCATCACGAGATTTCGCCGCTTCCGCCCATGCCTTAAAGCATTCTCGCTTTCGACGCGAGGCCGCCTTGCAAGAACGTTTAAACCAGGGCTGAGACTTGCCACCGATCGGCACCGCAGAAAATGGAATAAAGAGTTCCATGCCCTGCAGAACCACTTCGGCGACAGAGGCGGCGACGGAATCTGGAGCTTCCGGCGAAAAGCACATAGGCCCCCAAGGGTAGGACGCAAAGAAAGACCGCATCCCGTTCCAATCTGCTGACTTATAGTGCCAAATACGGCGACAACCCATAAAGCGGGGCCGTGAAGGGTGCGTAGATGGCACAGTACTCCGGACCACACAATGATCCGATGAACCCAATGGCGGGTCAACAGAGACTTGATAGGTTTCCGGATGTGAAGTTAGCAGAAGGTCCAACAAAGAGGGTTTATGACCATCCACATTCGCGTAATCGCAGGGACCATTTGTGTCAGGTCGTAGGGTAAAGCAAAGTCGTGAAAGGATCTTCCCGCGTGATCGGTGGTTTCAGAGCCGAGCCAATCGCCATGGTGGGCGTTAAAATCGCCAAGTATCACGATTTCAGCGGTAGGAACCCTTTCGAGCAGGGAATCTGCCATTTGGATGTGCTCAATGAGTCGGTCAGTTTCGGTATTTCCGCTATGAGACCTATACAGGCATGCGTAGAATCGCGGATGGTCATCGCAGTCTACGCGCAGCCAGAGGTTAGATAGGTCCCTTCCTTCAAGAGGCGAGGCGACGAGAACAGATATCCTCTCTGACGTACACGCAAACTCCCGCCCGCGGCACAAATGAATGTTCCAATTTGTACTCCGGGTAGGAGAGGTAGGAAGTATCAGCCGGGGAGGAAATCTGAGTCTCGGTAAGAAAGAGCAAGGCCGGCTTCGCAGTCTCTAAATGGTAGTGGACTGCGTTGATATTGGAATTGAGCCCCCTAACCCCCTAGCCCCCCGAACGATAACTGTTTTTGTTGAGCGCAGAATTGCCCCCCCCCCAGAATACGAAGGGCAGCCTGTGCGTCCACCACCGGGTGCTGAGTGTCCCGGTGTTGGACGCCCAGAGGGGGATTCTCCACCGCGAGCGCGTGTGGTACCCCCTTGGGGTAGATTCTGTTTTTTCTGCACCTTCATATTTCATATGGGGGGGGGGATGGGCTCCGGGAGTCTCCCTCACCGCACGAAACGCGAGTACAATAAGGCGAACCTATTGCATCACTTCACGCCGGTTAATTAAAAGTTTTGGCGCATTTAATAGGGATTCTGAAAAGGTATATTACACATGGCCATGAGTCGCTCTAATATCTTTCTAGGAAGAATTACAAACAACGATTGTGAAATAATTGTATTAAAACAATTATTTCTCAATGGTTGTTTGTAGGAAACAAACAAAACATTTAACAATAAATGCTCAAAATTTCTGCCTCTGACCATGATACTTAATCTGCACCGTCTAATCAAATTCCTACGTAACCCTCCAGCCATCTGTCCAATTTTTTTAATCTAGTCCGATTCACACAGCACTGGTCACAGGTAGGTAAATAAACTATCATAAGTCCGAATCGTTGTTGTTTATTCGTCCTAGAAAGATATTAGAGCGACTCATGGCCATGTGTAATACCTTTTCAGAATCCCTATTACATAAATGCGCCAAAACTTGTAATACAGGGTCACGTTTCGGTACAGTAATTTTTTTTCACAGTGGGGTCCGAAGTAAACAAAAAGTTTTGATTTGAAAAAAAATTATATCGTATAACTTAATATTATCTTCAATACACTCAATAAACAACTAAATAACAATAAACAGTATGTGTAACGCAAGAACTCATCAGTACCAATCGAGTGGATATTATGAAAAAGATACAAGCTGTAGATTTTTTCGAGTTTTAATAAGAATTAGTAAAAAAAAGTCAATTTTCTTATAAAACGCAAAATAAATTGTAACACAACAGGGGTTAAGCTTAGAGACCTCCCGTAGAACAATTTTTTGCAGCTGATGGCCTCATCTATCGGGGTATTTGCGTTTGATCCACGACTTTTTGGCCACCCTGTATATATTGAGACTTATTTTTTATTTGAAATGAATTAATTATAAATTACATAAAAGCAAGCATATTCACGTAATTACAAAAATCCTTATTAGTTTTGGCTCAAAGTATCTAACATCAATATAACTACTGATGCACATAACGAATCATATTTCAGCAATGGGACCGCGACCGATATTTGACTTTCCAGATAGCGTGGTTATTCCAAAAACTCCACTGAAAGTAGAAAAAGATATTTTAGTATCGTTGCGTAACGTTGGTACAGTGCCTGGAGGATTCACTTTATCTACGAGATGGTAATTCTGTTTTATTGAATTTTTACTCTCAGCACTCAATTAGTTGGTATAGATCAGTAGCCCTTGTGTGTTCTCCACGGGTTCACATCAAAAATTCAGTTAAGACAGACAAATATATTCGTATGCACTATAATTTCAGTTTTTAACAGCTCGATACGGCATTGGCAGCATTCTATTTGCAGTGTTCGTGCTTCGGTTTAATTTCATATCCGCCCACGGAGCTCTTGTTAAGTTTTCTAAACAACATTCCATCTTTACGTGTCTATTAGCGATAGTTTTAAATCGTAAAGCGATAGCTTACGTATTGTGGTGTGGGTTAGAATGTAAAATAAACTAAGAATGTCTTGTCTATGACTGGACTAGTTTTGTTAACAATTAAATGAAACGCGCCATATTTTTTTTGTCGCCTCACATCTGGCATGATTAGTATATTAATGCATGACAAAGATTTTATATAATATATTTTTTAGCGTAGCGAAACACTCGAAAGTATGCACTCGAGTATTGATTGTTTTAATAAAAAATTCACTATTAAAAATTACAATGAAATTGCAGTCCATTTTCGGTCCAACCCAAATCTGCGTACTTGAATCCTAGTCAAAAAGTTGACGTACGAATTGCGTTGAAGACAATGCGCTTGGGCGATATAAATAGCACATTAAACGTTATTTTTGAATCAGGTATACTTTTAATAATTATTTAAGTATTTAGAATATTTTTTTTTTAGTATGGCGAGCCATAATTCCAGCGTCAAATAAGGTAATACCACAATTTGATTAAAAATTTAGTATGTTTATATAGATTTGCGCAATAGAATACAATCTATTATCATTACCAACTTAATACACAACTTAATACATTAAAAACATAATACAGGAAATATGGTAATGGACTGAGGACTTAATTAAAATGGAGAATAATAGCCATTTTGACGCGCATTTTATTAATTCATTATTTTATGCCGTCTAATTCTTTTTAATTATCAATTCCGTACCGTAATTTTTCTAAGAGATTTTGTAATTGAAATGGAACATTCTTAAGTTAATTTGTTCCAGGTGAAAACTTCAAAATAAATTTATCGGGACATACGTACACTGTGAGCGTTGAGTTGGAGAAACAAGTAGTGAGATTTTTCGATACATATAATACATTAGTTCGACAGCAGACGTTCAAGATTACTAATAAATCCGATCATATATTATCATATATGTGTCTGAAGAATGAGTGTATTTATTATGGTACGTACATTATTATTAATTACTTACAGTAAGGCAAATTTAGATTTTTTAAGAACGCCTATTTTAGCTGTGTATATTTGTGATATTTGTTACAAGTACCAATTTTTTTATTCATTATAATTACTAGTAGTCATATTATGTATGAAGGGGGGAAAAAAAAAAAAAAAAAAAAAAAAAAAAAAAAAAAAAAAAAAAAAAAAAAAAAAAAAAAGGAAAAAAAAAAAAAAAGGGGTTTTAAAAAACAATTTTTTTATGAATTAAATGAAAGAAACATAATCACAAGAAAATCTTTGTTTTATTTTTTTTTGCGCCCCCCCACCCCGCCCGCCCCCCCCCCCCCCCCACCAAAAAAAAACCCACCCGGAAAAGGGGGGGGGAAAAAAGGGGGGGCCCCCGAAAGCAAAAAAATGAAAAAAAATACACACAAAAACCTAGTGGGATGGTGGATATCTTTATCTAGGGTAATCGCCCATTTATTAACACAGAGAAGTTGATTTCTTCGTTTCGTTAGATTTTTATCCGTGATAAAATACAAGTAAGACTCATGGGTCGTAATTAGGAAGTGATTACTGGAACACTTTTCCGTTCTTCCGAAGAAGCTTTAGTTTCAGAAATACCATGTATAATAATATTAGGTCCTTACATATGAAATTGGCGTATTTCGTGTTTCCTCTTTTGGGGGGGGGTTCCAAATTTAAATTTTTGGGGTTTTTTTTTCGTTTTTTGGGGTGGGGGGGGGGTTTTTTTTTGTTTTTTTTTTTTTTTTTTGTTTGTTGGAAGTGTGTATGGGGAGGGGGGGGGGGGGGGGGGGGGGGGGGCCCCGCCGCCCCCCGGGGCCCGGGCATAAAAAATGCAAAGATGCCGGGTTGGGGGGGGGTGGGGGGAAAAGGGGGGGGGGGAAAGAAGGGGGGGGGGGGGGGCCAAACCGCCGGCAGGGATTTAAGGGAGGGGGGGGAGGGGTTTTTGGGGGAAGGGGGGAAAGAACTACAAACGCCCCAGGAATGCTGCAAAAAAAAACAGTCCCCCCCCCCCCCCCCCCCCCCCAAAAATTTTTTTTAGTTCGAATATTTTTAAATATAAATAATGTTCATACTTTAATTAATCAAAGTATGAACCATTGTTTTCAAATATGCACTTTTGCCATCTCATAGGTAGTTCATTGATCCCTTTACTAAAAAACCAGTCAGTCAAGAGCCTCTACTGCTACTTGCATGAAATTCGCAACGTAGGTAAGTACTAGAAACACATTTAAAAATATCACAATAATAGTACAATCAAATTTCAGATTTTGAAGAAAAGGTAAAATTGGCATCTGTATTTTATAATTTAAAAGACCTCGAATCCGGGAAATGCGAGAAACTAGTTTACTATGACGTGTTGAGTAGTGACGAACATGAGCGGGTTTACACTAGGATATTCTATGATGAGATCCAGGCTTTGGTCGCAGATGAATCTTTGCAATATCAGGATAAGCACTTTTCAATAACACCTATTGTGAGTAACAAACCGTTGTAAACATTTAGTTGGTATTTATAAATACTATTAATATCATGTCGGAATATAATCTTCAGTTGGGGCTTGAGGTTATAGAATCTTTGCTTACGTTATAATTAAAAAAAAATACCCGGAAACATTTATATACCTATAATTAACCTCTTTGCACCGACCAAAAAAATAATAATTTTTTAAAATAATAAAAAATTCATAAATCACGCCTAATGTCTCAAAGGCGCCTACTGTGTTGACACTTGTAATCGACGCAGGCGGGCTATCTAATATATATATAGATTAGATTTAGTTTTTAACGAAATAAGGTGAAAAAGGTTTCCTTTTTTTTATAAAACTTGATTTCTCTATCCTTAGTGCAAACGCATTAGCTCCTTTGTAATAGTTCGCCAAATATTTGTTTATATTACGTACGGTAAATTGTGACAGCTAGAAATGATTAGCTACATACATGTTACAAATTATATAGAATACACGTATTTATGCGAAATATGCCCGTTTGTACTTTTATTCAGTTGCGGAACCGTCCTTCATAAGTTTTCCATACATAATGTATAGTTATTTTTTTTATTACGATATCTATTCGATTTTAATATCAATCTATCTATATACGATACATACACGTATATTAAGCACAATTATTACTTAGTAATAGTAAATATAATTTTTAGTACGGCAAATTATGGCCTAAGAAATCAACAGAAATAACAATAGCGTTTTCACCAAAAGATATTGGGGAATTTAGCACAATCGCGTATTTGGACATAGACGGGGTGAACGACCGCGTTCCTCTCAAGATTGTCGGCACATCTTTGCCGCCTTCCATAAACCTAAATTTAGAGACGCTGGACATGGATTGTGTGTATATAAACAAGAAATACGACTATGAGATTGTCTCTATAAACAAAGGTGTGTTATTGTCAATTCATCCTAATTACATAATACATTTATTAGGTGCTAGTCTTTTTATATAACAGAGGGCAAATGGGCAGCAGGCTCACCTGATGTTAAAGAATGAGAGAGAGAGAGTCCGCCACCCATGGACACTCAATGGCAGAGGGCACGCGAGTGCGTTGCCGGCCTTTTAAGAGTTTGTACGCTCTTTTCTTGAAGGATCCTTAGTCAAAATAGCTCTGAAATACATCAATGGCATCACGTAGTGGTGGTGCGCGGCAAAAACTTCCTTAAATAACGCTCAGTTGTGGAATGACGGACTTCGAGGTGATACGGGTGGAATTCACTACAGTCTGATGACTGACTGCATAATATGTTTATGAATGTACCGCGGCGTCACGCCTTTAACTCAAATGATGTGTTTTTGAGCCGGAATTCTTCTCCCAGTGAACAATTAACCAATAAAGTGTCTAAAATTCACATAGATGTGTATTTGGATGTCAACGGTACTACAATTGTTCGGATGGTGACAAAATGTACTTTGTGACATAAAATGGATTAAGGTTATAAAGACATGCCATATCGGCAGAAGCTTTAAACAGATAGGTTAAATTTGGTTACTAAGGTGTCAAAAGCAGATATAAAAAATATTTGTGTGATTGTATAATGAAGTACTGTTCTTCCTCTTTATGTTTCGAACAAATGTCTACGAATATTTTATTTTGATATAGCATATAATTGCTTCAAAAACAATGTAATTTATTTATATTTTACAGGTCATATCAATGGTGTAATAGTATATAAAAACGTTCCTCCTTTATTTGGGAGCAAAATTACGTGCACGCCATCAATGCATTGTTTGAGACCAGGAGAAAAAGATATATTTGTTATTTCATTTTGCAATTCAAATCAAGGGCCGTTTTTCGAGGAAATTAATTTCGCTATACGCGATACAGATGTCGTGCTTAAAGTGTATTTGAAGTATGTATAAATGGACCTGTTTATATGATAAATCAGTAGTATTCGCGTGTATTTAATAAATATATCCGATGTGAGTGATTAGGAGTAATAAAATACGAATTCGTTTTTTGTGTGTCACGGTACCTAGAAATATAGTAGGTAGATGTAAAACATTGTCTCTAGGAGCTCGATTGAACCAAATATTTCAAACAAATGTGAGGTAAAATGTCCATTTCCTTTATAATAGGCTTATTAAATTGTTATTTTTTTTAAATCCTTAGACTGTCTCCAAGACATTTTTATAAATTAAATTTAAATATTATTTTCAGGGGCGTTGTTATCTACCCATCGTTAATGTTTAGCATTCCTTGCTTGGATTTTGGTATGGTCAGTTTAGGTAAGTATTTATTTTTCAAATGCGTTGTATTTCTTTTAATATAATTTGTAACTTCGGCAGTTCCTATTAAAAAAGAGGCGCTACAACCTTTAATGTCTGGGAGTCAGATTTCTGTATCTGTTGCTTTTTTTTTCTAATAGGTAAATAGGTTATGAGGCTTCTGTGTCTGACATAAGCTGTCGCCATTTTGGGTCTGAGCTAATTTATTGTCTAAAAAAAATATAAACTATAAGGTACCAAAATATTTAACATGCCTTGGAAAATATTTTGCATATATAAAAAAAATTTGAAGAAAATATTCTATTTTTAATTTATATTAAGATAATAGGGATTTTATATATTATTATTTTAACTGTCCTAAATTTACTTTTTAATACAATTTGTGAATGTACTTTTATGTAATAACAAAAATAATTTGTATAAGGTGTACCAAAAACGATGGAATTAGAAGTGATAAACGAGTCCATAGTGGATGTAAATGCAAACGTTAAAATATCATCAGACGGTCCTGAGATAAGCAGTATTACTTTAGAGGACTATGCTGTTACCAATAAACCAAAGCCTACAGTCCCACAATGGCCTAGAGAATTCCACATCGCCCCTCATAAAGTTAATATAGGACCGGAATCAAGGGTATCTTTAAAGGTGACTTACTTGTATCATTCTAATTACAAACTGCATAAAAAATTCGTTACGTTTAAAATACCGGTTTAAAGACACATTTTAAATAACCAAAGCAAGGTGGTTCGGTAATTGTCTTAATATAAATAATCGATATGAAGTTTTTGAACAACTAGTTTTGGACGGGGACGATCTTAGAAGATGATCTTAATGAGTATGCTATAGATTTAATCACTGTTATAAACAATTGTAAATTTCTCCAGATAACCCTAACAGCAAATTTAATAAGAGCTAACCAGACATCTCTGGAACTAGAACTGGACAAGTCTGACAGCCCCCCAATTACATTACCTGTTACATTTAATGCAATGGTTCCTGCTATAACGCCAGCGTCAGATATAAATCTTCGTGCATGCTTTTTGGATTTCCCTTATAAATGTGATATTGTGATAACTAGTAATGAGTTTTGGGGTTATTTTACATTAGAAGAACCTGAGGTATTCATTGTTTTAATCTATTTAAAATTATTTAGCAATTCGAACTACGTCTTAAGAATTGCAGATATTTTATTCCATTTCTAGTTGATTTATGAAAAACTCAAGCTTAGCGTCTGAAATGATTAAGTTTGATTATAAAAGTAAACTTATCAACAATTAGACTAATTATTTTAAAAAATATCGTAAGGTATCTGTTCTATTCTATAAATATATACATTTCATATTATGAGTGTTCTTTTTCTAGGAATCATCAACGTTAGAAGTTAAAGTCGGCGTGAAAGAAGGCTTGATTACACCAAATTGTGCATTATGCTTACCAGTTATAATTAAAACGAATGTCTTGGGAATGCAAGAACAATCGATTTGGTAATAAACAGAACTTTGATTTAGTTTTTTCACATCTTTATTAAACTACGTTAATAATTGCAATTTCAGTGTTAATCTTTTTGGAATGTCGTCACCGGTTCAAATTTGTCGCATAAATGGGTGTGGTGTACGGCCTATAGTTACTTGTACTCCAATAGCTCTTCATTGGGGCCAAGTTAAATTACTAACAAGAACTCAAAAAACGCTTACACTTTGTAACGACTCTCCAGTGGTGGTCAATTATAGAGCTTCTCTGGTTAGTGTTTTATATGAGTCAAACTATTACAGAAAATGTATGTATTGCTAGCCTACTCATAGTAATTCAATATGAAATAAGGCGTAGACTAGGTAGGTAGGTTGCATATCCGATAATCAGTCGTTATTATCGGATATACAATTTCGTAGCTAATTTGTGCAACAACAATGATTGAACTACAATAAATACAAATATAATGCTTAAGATATGCAATATAATGTATTGAATTCCAGTTGAATCGCGATGGTCGTTGGCAAATTTACCCTACAGAAGGATTTATTGAACCAGAAGGTGAAACAGATCTTACTCTATCTCTATATCTTATTGATGCTGACAGCTATACTAATAAGGCTGTCATTCAGTTGGAAAGAGTCAAAGATATTGTAAGTTATTTTTTATTACTATTGGTAACTATCATTCGTTGGTTATATAGAAACTGTTTTGTTTTAGTTGGTTCCACTATCGGCGATTGGTGTAGGAACGAGTATTTTAGTTGGTGAATTTAGAGACAGAGTAGTGCTTGGAAGGCATTTTACTAAAATACCGTTAAACTGTCAAGTGGTAATGGAAAACTGTGGGACACGAATGCACGCATTAGAATGGAGCGAGTATTACAAAGCGCCGAAAACAAAGCAACATTCTGTGTAAGATCTATAAACTAATAATAAAATAAGTTTTAAATGGGTTGATATTACTGGTAAACCTTGAATATATGCCGCAAAATGGTAGTCCAATAGTAGACCAAATTGTAAATAAGTCTAAAATATATTGTTTATATAATTGTAATCATACTTATTATATATATAATATATTGCATAAGGAATGATTTTCAGAGCATTCTATAACTTGGAACCTAAATCTTTCAAAGTGGCGGCTGGTGAGAAGTTAGAATTGACAATAACTGGCCTTTCCCATAAAGTTACGACTGTTAAAGAAATGTGGTATCTAGTAGGAAGTGTGGAAGGGATAAATAAGAAGGAATTACTTCTCGAGTGCCAAATCATAGCAGAATTCGTAGACCCAAAAATAGAAATTTCATCAAATGTTTTAGATTTTCAGTATGATTACGGTCCATATAGCGAATTTTATAAATTAACAGGTAGGATTATATGTTATAACTTATTTTTGATAAAATGTTGATACTATATTTATCGCAAATCGGTTTCAGATATCGTTACAATAAGAAACGTTTCAAAATTACCCTTAGATTTTGATATCAGTGTAAAACCGCCCTTTGCAATCATCCATAAACAAACAACATATAAAGTATTACCTGACGAGGAAAATCTTTGTGGTTGTATTTGCTATACTGAATCAGATTTAAATGTTCTTAAAATGACAGACAGTGACCCTTACCAGTGCAAAATATTTATTGACTATTTAACTCTTAAACCAGTGGATCCATTACGGAATGAACCTCTTCATTTCTTTCAAGATATAAATAAAATAAAATTGGCTTTTAATTTGACACATACAGTCGAAGAACGATTAGAAGATCAAGAAGTTATGAAGATACAAGTTTTATTTGATACGACAAAACATTTGTCGCTAAAATCTCGTGTTTACTGTGATTTGTTACGAGTTAAATTTAAGGGCCATAAAAATAAAGTGAGAGATTTTATTCTGTACATAGATTAATACCTTTATATGATCTTACATTGTTTACTTTTTAGGATGTCATTAAACTAATTGGAAAAATAAACTTTCCAAATGTGCTCATACTAACTCCGCGAATAGATTTTCAATGCGTTCTTAATGGAAGTATTGAGAGTAAAACTATTAAGATACAAAATGTGACGCCCTTACTCGTATGCTATCAATTTAACTGGAAAAAGTATTGTATCTTGGGGACAAAACTGGTAAACATTGAATAAATATAATAGTAGAATTAATAACACTTAAATAAATAAGTTAGTAATTATTCATTTTATAGCCAGATCGATCCGCAGACACCGTCTACAAGAGTTCAACAGAAACTGAAGCTAGTACTGGTAGAAGCGGTACTTAAATTAATTAATATTTATTTTGTCCGATTTACTTTTGATTGCTATTTTATTAAAATAAAATTTATTTTAGGTGGTGAATTGCATGAAATATTAGCGTGTCGAACACCTGTGGGATCAGCTGTTGATAATATAGGCAAAGAGATTATTGAAAAAAGTTTCATATCGACTACTCAGAATGAAGTGCCTCTTGAAACGATATCAGTTCTTAATGAAGATATAACACAAGACATTAAGTTCAAAAAATACGTAACAATGAAGACTATTACACCGATGGTTGATGTTGATTACGAGTCTGATTTTGAATGGATACATAAGTTTTCAAAAAAAGATAAAAGCCCAAACATTTGTATTAATGACGTGCTACAGTTAACCCCCCATCGTGGGCTACTAAAACCTAATGAGGTGGAATTCATTCATGTAATTTTTAGGCCTAATGTAAATATGAATATTCGTGCTACTTTAGAGTGTGAAGTACTGGGTGGACCAGCTGAAAGTATACTAGTTACCGGCCAAAGTTCAGATTTGATCTACAAACTTAACACAGGAAAGATAAATTTCAAAATAAGGTCCTTTCATGAAAATGCCTTTGAACAATTGATATTGACAAATGTGTCACAACTGCCTTTCGAATATAAAACGTATTTAAACGAACCGAAATGGGAAAATGATTTATATGGTACCATACTTAACGTTATTCCTGATGGTAAAGTTTTAGAGCCAGAAGAGTTCATTAGCGTTAACATTGAAGTAAGACCTGGTGCCATGGGTTATTTTGGTAGTACCTTTGTGTTGGAAGTTGGTCATCTTCCTTTTATACCTATTGAAGTTTTTGGATGGGGTGTTATACCACAAGTCTATATTTCATTGCCACGACCAGAAATAGCCAAGGTAAATCTGAATTTACCCTTCATACCTAAGTGCCTATTTATTTAAGGCTAAACTAGGAATTTGTTGCGTTGAAAGTTGCTTTCTGAAAGTAAGAATAAATTTGGGTTAAGTGGATACTACATCTTCAAAAATAAACTTTATACGAAAGTCATGGTATGCTAAAATGTTTTTGCTACTCCTAAGATTTTACTAAGACCATAAAGCTTTGCTCGATAAAACGTCTAGTATACTATTAATTAGTTTTCATTATTACTTTACAGCTTAGTCCAGAAGTTGGGTACCAAGCAATTCCTACACTGACCGAAGAATATTTGGAGGCCATTAATGAAATATTTATGAATCGCGTGACAGAACACCTAAATTCACCATTTACAGAAAAATGTTTTGAAGACCCAATGTTTCAGAAGGATTGGTTTATATGTTCTACATGGGTACATACTTTTTCAGAATTTATTTCTCCCAAAGATAAAAGATAAAGATCACAATGATTTTAAAAATTATATAAAATATTTTTTTCAACGCTTTCATTTATTTATAAAGATAATGTAAAACGAAGAATACATTTTCTTGACATCTTTAACGCCTGAAGAGACGATGACTTGTCGTTGTTTAGTAAAGATTAGCTTAATACAGATTAGTTTCCTAAAGAATCTTATATATAGTAATGAATGTTAACTTCTTTTTTAACAGTAAAAAACTAACTCCCCTCTTTAGGATGGATACCCGTCTTCCATGGACATTGAACTCGCGATTGAACGGATGCTACTGATAAATTACATTAAATTACGACCAGACATTCTAAATGTCTATTCTACTACATCGAAAATGATACCGATACCAGGTTTTCAGACAACACCGTACGTTATTGATTATGGAGTTGTCATAACTGGAAGTTGCGTAAGTATCTCAAAAAACAGTTAAATAAATAATTTATTTTGTTTTTGCTTATGACATCTAGTGCTATTATGATTAACAGCATACATAAAACTATTTAGTATTGGTATTGAAACGTAACGGAGCAAAAGACCTATAGAATCCTTTTCCCAGGTGAGGACCTGTGAACTAAGTGCTGCGGGTTATTCTTCCGGGAGAACCTCAAAGTAACTTTTTAAATAACAAATATATTAATCTCTGTATAGGTTCACTGCTGTGTAGATATTATTAATTACGGACCTATTGTCATCAAACTACATTTTGCGAAAGGGACCCAAGTTCCTATATGGCTCGGATTAAAATTGTGTGGAAAGTTAAACCCAGGGGAATCTGGAAAATTAGAAGCCACATTTTCTCCAACATCAAACGATTTTACGGAATTAGAACAAAATGTCGAAACTTCGTTTAATATTGACGTAAGTCATTGTTATGTATGTTTTAATTTTCAATATTAAATTTGGGACAGTCAAGTTTGGTAATTTATAACGATATTTTCCGAGACCTAAGCCTGAGTCTCTTATGAACGTCAAGAAAAATTTAATGACTTAATTTATAGTATTGTCTTTGATTAACATAACCTTTACACATTTAAAGAAAAAACTTTTTAACCATATACATAACTTCAATCCGGTTAAAAAGTTTTTTCTTTAGACTTAATTTATTTTTAAAGCCAGTTCTTAAGTGAATGCAGTAATAATACTCATATAAAAGTAATCAAATCCACGGTTTAATAATTTTATTCTTCAGGTACCATACGGCGTAACTATTCCAATTCAAATAAAAGCATTGTGTGCTGTTCCCTATTTAATGTCTAATGTAAGAGCTATCGACTTCGGTACAGTACGATGCGGTGACAAAGTCATATCTTCCATACCCTTAAAAAATATGTATGTATATTATGTTTTGCTCTATATGGAACCAGCTGCCCAACTATAACATTCATATAAAAATATCATAACGATTTTTCAAAGAAATTTTACAAAGGTATCCCGAAACTAGGAAATTCGATGTAGTGTACATCTGTGTTTACTAATAATATACTTGAGCTTTATATCTCTTGCGTAAGTGGCCAGTCTCAATAGTGATTAGACGTCGTGGACTTTCGGCTTGAAACTATATCTAATTAATAAAAAAATATCATTAGTAAAAAAGGTAACAGAAAGAGAACGCGAGTGCGTTTTTTTCTTAAGGGTCTTCCGATAATTTACGATACACCAGCTGTATACAGTGCAGTTTTTAATCAAATTTTTAATTTCAGTGGAAAACCAACATGCATATGGTATGTGACTTTGAAGTCTAAAACACCAGGCCCTAATCCTATGACAGTCCTTGATAGTTCTGGAAAGTTTGAGCCAGGGGAAGGAGGCTGGCTTAGTATAGCTTTTAAACCTATCATGGAGGTACTGTATTGAAATTTATGTAATTTATAAACTCTATATAATATTATAATTTCAATGTGATGCGGCTTAGATAAATCGAATATGGACTGAAAACTCTTCCAACGTCTCTAATTTTATTTTAAACTAATATATAGAAAGTACTACATTTAAATAGTAACCTTATTCAATGATTACGAAGGTTTATTTATCTTATATCATTATTGTTTGTTTGCCCCGTGCCATGATGATGATATATAGGTGATCAGCATTCTTTACCAATCACCCTGGCCCGTCATAATTCTGTTAATTTTTGTAGCTGCCGTACGAAGGTCTTCTAGTTTTCAAATTCCATATGAACCCAAATCGAATGACTATACCGGTGTCGGGGCAGGGTATTGTGCCACAGGTTCACATTATTGGACCGAATGTTAGTTTCCCGCCAACTCTACCCTGGGCTGAAACCACAGATATTTATTTTGGATTGACGAACCCATGTCCGTTTCCGATAGAACTCATTGTGGCGCATAGTGATGTGTTAGTATTTATTTAAAGTTTTTAAAATTAACAAACATCAATTATCAAACAAAATTGTGTTAAAATACCTACGTATTTCTCGCGGTTTGGTTTTATATACTTTAGGCTTCATAATCGGTTGGTTTTTGATTGGACAATTTGTCTATCACAATCAAGACACTTGACAAGGCACCCTTTAATTTTGGGTTTGGTACCTTCTCTGTTCGATCTGCTGCAGCAATGCCTGGGAGGCACGACGTGGAAGTGAACAGCTAGGACTGGCTGATGTTATGCTCTGAACCGGCAGGGGATAACTACTTTGTGTAGTAAAGGCATTAGAAAACAAACACAAATACTATATCTATTATATATATCTACTATACTCAACAAAGTTACAGTGTAGTGTACATTTGCCTTTTCCATTTTCTGTAGAAATTGGAATGAAGAAGAAGAAATATATCAATTGCTTAATAAATACTACAATAAGCCGGATGAAATGTTGGTGAAAGCGATACGACCAGGGGCGGGTATGCCCGAGGCAATCATGAATTTTTATATCAGATTTAAAGAAAGAGTAAAAAGGTTAATATTTTTTTTGTGTAAATAATAACTGCAAATTTATTGTATTTGTAACGCAAATATTGTGTAAGTACAATAGATGTCCATCAATTAGGCTATTTATAAATGATTACATGTAGGTATTTAACCGTGCAACACTATTTTTTCGTTAACTTCTGGTTCTTCTTGGCTATCTGTTGATTACATTTCTAGTACCAGTAATGGGTTGATAAAGGAAAAACACTTGAGTAATATTGTAATATAACAGGTGCATCGAAGAAGAAGGTCAGATGTCCAAGATTACAACAAAACAAACTGCCGCTGCCAAGTAAGAATTTTTAAAATGCAAAAATGTAAAAAAAAAATAAGATATGTTTATTATAGAACATAAGATACAGGTATCACTTATTCCACGTCATTAAATTTGAATCTGTAGGCATCCCTACTAACTACGAAATAAGATTAGTAAAATAATAAAAATTTCAGAAAATCCAAGAATATTAAGGGTCCTGTATCAAAGACCACTACACGAGATAATTTAAGTCCAAAAAAGGCACGAACTGAAGCTGAAATTATAAACGGTAAGTATGGCTTGTTTAGTTTCTTTCAGTTTTCGAAACCCGTAAGCGTCATCAAAATAATAAATGAAGTGGTTGTATGCTCCACCTGGGTTACAGAATAAACAAAACTATTGTACTACTTTATACTGTTATGAGAATGCACGTATTAAAATCCAGTATTAGCCGGTATGGCGAAGGGCGTATATACACACCAGTATAACCAGTTTAAAAATCATCAGATATCAGCCATTTGTAGATAATGTTTTTTACAGATATTATTGGCTCCTTAAAAGAATCTAAAGTAGATCCTTTGAAGGAATGCATCGCAGCCTACGAAGCTACATCGACAGCTGATGACCAAGCTGATAATCATGCTAAAGGAATTTTAATATTCTTTCACGGTTCGCCTTGTGAAGGTAAGACAACGATTATATAATGCTGGAACGTTTTTAATAAAACTTAAAGTAAATCTACGTATAAATAGGACATTTTGTGCTACAAAGCTTTAATACATAAAATCGTCATCACTGCATCTATATTATGTACGTCACATAATTGCTTCTGATTTGTGGATTGCCTGATTGAGTTTGTCGTTTTTAATAAAGTAGGGTAGAGCGGGGCTCACAGGAGGACTGTTTGAAAAAATACTTGCGACAAATGGCATTTTTCTCCAAAAGACCTCCGTCGCCTTACCTAAGAGTGTGCTGCTAAATTTGACATTGAAATTCCACCCAGCTGAATTGCAAATAACATGGCCGGAAAAGAATGGTTGATGATGTTTTTAAAACAAAAAAATCGTAGCTATCCATACAAAAACCAGAACCTACCTTGGTAATCTTTTTTAGAAATTATCGGAAGATAGATATGGATGCTCATGTTTTGTTGATTTTAGTTTCGGGTAATTATACAAAGAAAATTTCTTTAAGTTTTGTTGTTCTGTCAATAAAAGACTATACATAAAAAGCTGACTGTCTAGCACATATTTTACTTCATCTCAAGTTAACATAGAACCCATGGTTTGGCCTAGACATTCTTAGTGCTCAACTTGCCCCATACCCTTGCTCAACTTACCTCACACATGGGGTACATTGAGCATACTTGACTTTCTGTTTTTAAACATCTGTAGCTATTATATTGGACTTGTTACAAAAAAATACTATGGACACTTTTGTTAAGGGATAAATTACTAATCCATCAGGACACATAACAACTCATTGAGACTTATCATTGAGGAGCTATATCCAAGCAAGTGAAAAATTGCTCAACTAGCCCCGCCCTACCCTATTCTATAGTTCATTGTTTTATATGGACTTAATTAATCTTATATGAGATCTAAATTTCGTTCTAAGCGACAATGAAAAATTAAATTCTATGGTTTTAGAAATAAATTGCCAAGAGATGGCCTATTCAACGGGCAAAGCACTAGGAATTCCTACAGTCAACGTTGACATGTGCGTTGTGGAAGCATTATGTACAAGCACTTGTAATGCAAAACAGGTCATACTAAATGCAGTTAATGAAATGTTCGATGTGATACATAAATTTAAAGGGGACGATGAGAAGGAGACAGAAAGTGAAGGTAAATCTTTTGGGTTAAAAGATCATATAGTAATTATTTAACCTTATATTAAATCTGTGACTCCGGCAATGAGCACCGTCAAATAATCAAATAAACATTAAACAGTAATAGATACGAGAGTATGTATAATGTGTCATTGCAGATTTGTTTAAAGAAACTGATGACGAATTCGACATAATATGGAAGAAAATAGAGTTTTTGGCGAATAGTAAAAACATAGCAACTCCGCGATCTAAAGCAAGTGATAAAAAGAAAAAGAGATCTTCAACATCTTCTATAACTTCACATTCAGCAGTAGGAGCTATGGGATCCACTACAATGTTTCAAATGGTAAACTGTATTCATGAAAATTATTTATTGAACTAATATGACGTGTGTTTTAAGGGGCAAATTCTATTGTAAGTGATATAACCAATAATGAGATTATTATTTTGTACGATTAAAATACTTAAAAATTACATATCACTTCTATTTCTAAACAGAGATTTAACTATTTTCCGTGCTTGATCTATCGTAAAAATGCACAATCTGATTATATGATACAGCATATGTCGACAAATCGCAATATCGCGAAACATATAGAGTTGAACGTAATTTTTTAATTGCGTCGAAGAAGAGAAATAAAAGAAAACATTAAAACATTCTGAAATTTTTTATTTTCTCATAATAATAAAAAGTAGTACAATAGTTTTGTTTTGATTATTATTTTAATACACTTAAAAATCCATAATCAAATCGCAAAAAATCGATTTTAGTTAAAAAGTTTATTTTTCAGGATTTAACAACCGAACTCTTAACGGACTTCTTTAAGCATCCAAAGTTTAACCGAGGGTTCATCGTGGATACATTAACGAGTATCGTTTTCAAAAGTCCACCTTTAACACTAACTTCCGTCATTAAGTGTAAAAGTAATATATGGAATATACATTTAGTGTTGTGTCAATCAGATTTCACGAAATGGGCTCAAAGCCATGAGGAAACACAGCGAGAACATGAACAAGTAGATGAGTAAGTAACCATATACACTATATATTTAATATCTTTCAACGAGATAATTTTTCGCCGGGAATTGAATGGTGGTATTTGGTTGGTCTATGTTTAAAATATCTATTTGTATAGCTTTTTTAATAAAGTATATTCATATAATATAAGCTATTACATCTTTTAAGACTACAAGTGTATGTGTAGTCCTTTATATTTGTATTATATATATTTGTATTATAAATATTTAATAACATTTTGTGTTTGCCTTATAAGTTTGGTTTATGCATTATTATTTTTAAAAATAAAAGTCCAGCCTTGCGATTCTGTAACTCACTTTTCGAACTCGCACAGCGGTCGCGCTCAAATCAGTCGTGAAGCAGTCATTTTACGATTTGGCATTCTGATAAACAATAACCTACAAGCTCCCTCCTTAGGCTGGGCGGTTCTTTAAACATCTATGATTACCTTTCTTTTTTCAGAAACGCATCCAAGATTTACGACGAGACAGAAATTGAAAACATTATAGATAGCTTTGAGGACATGGATGAAAATGAATTTGAAAATGCTAATCCGGAACATAAATCCATTTATATTACATATGGCTTAGAAGACAGAAGGAGGCAATACTATGAAAAACAAGGGTTATTTTTTTGAAATTATTATTATCATAATATACGCAAGATGGCAGAGATGATGCAAAAACGTCTGTCGGTTAGCCTTTGTAAGAGTACACGGTATTTATGCCCTAAATGTAAATACCACACTTAAATATTCACAAGTTACTTCATACTTTGCATAAATAATACTGATGCTTGTCGACAAGTTGTCTATGTTCCTTGTTATTTCGATATCATAAAGATATGATGAAGTTAGCGTCAAATTTCAATTTGTTTTGTATACCACAGAATTTCAAGATTAATAAACATAGCATGCGATGGCGAATAATTTAACTATTTCAATAGTTAAGTCACAACTCAGAAAAGGAATGCGACTTTGCATCATTATTGCAAATACTCACCCCTATTACTTCCTAACGGAAAAAAAAATTTAAATACGCAATAATATCCGCTCATTTTTAATATATGAAAATATAAATTTTAAATTTCAGGAAGGTATTAACGAACATAGACAAACATTTCCTATTTAGCATTTTTTTTATCATTGAAATCATTCATCACAGAGCTTGAGTCTAAATTTCCATTGTATAATATTTTTATCATTTGCAGACACCCAGGTGACTACGTCAAACTAGAAAAGAGTGGTCGAGGTATGAAAATTAGTATAAATATATTATTTTTAATGTATTTTTTATTTTTTTTTAACATTTGATTCCAGATCGCAGTAAATCATTACTGGTTATTGATAATGAATCGAAGAAAAAGATGAAAAAGGAAGATACTAAAGGTATGTTTTATCATTAGCAATATGCGCATGTCATTTTTCTTTACAACTTCAGAAAAATACTTTTAAAGTATCCAAAATAAAAAGTAATATATCAATTTAATTAGGATTTCAGTCACACGATATTAAAGTTGATACAGTATCACCAGTGTTGCTGCAAAGTGTGCTCCTTCAAACGAGTGACTGAGAAATATATGTGTGTGTGAGTGAGTGAGCAATATAGTATTTGGGTTATTGAGTTGTAGGGTATTTGTCGAGGTTTACACGTAGCTCACCGGCAGTCAAATTTATTCTGTTTTTCTGTAGTGCCTAACTATAGGAGTTTTCAGAATATTGTTTTATAACCAATACTAACATATCAACTAGGACCGAAATCTACAACTTTCTAAAATAAAGAAGTTAGTATTATTATTAATATTGTTGTCCTAACGAAACATGAGGATTATATTTTTAACTTTTAGCGAAACCCACCAGTGAATATTTATTAATGAGCACAAAATACAATGAATACTCCAAAAATACTTTCGAGAATTTAGTCAATATCGCAAATAATTGGATAATAGAAGAGGGCGAAGTGGGTTTTCCATTGTACGGCTTTAGTGGTCAAATCGTTGGATCGTCTCATAAGAAATTGAAGAAAAAATCCGAAATTCAACTTCAGGTAACCCTTTGTAGGAATTAAAGTTTTATTCGTGGTTTCGGATAAAATATGTTGCAAGGTCCCAAGGAACAAATTTAAGGAAATATGTTTTAAGTAGTCTTAAATTCAATAAACCTATAAAAGAATTACTTTTTAAAAAAGAAGCCATGCGGGATTGCTTCTATTAATTGCGAATTTTGCATTCTAACTTCCCCTAAAGCGAGTACATATTGTTGGTCACAACTTTATAGCATGTCAGTCAACTTCTGCTGCGCCGAATTTAAAAGACTTCACGACTGTATTGTTGGTTGCCCTGAAAGTATGGGTTAACTTGTGCTACTAAATAGGTTCTTTACTAAAGGTTTTGACATTTCCAGACTTCCGAAGTCAGTATTTGTGAGAGGGGATTTCCGTTGACTCTAATATACTGTCCATGTTTACGTTATAAGACAGCGATCGTTAACATGTTTTTGGGGTCTGAATTGGTTCGGGACGCCTTACGCGAAGATAAGGAGTATGATATATTGAATTGTCCGATTAATTTGAAAGAGTTTACGGTTCTCTTGCCAAAAACCTTTCCTTTGATGAACCATGAAGACCCGTTACGTTGGCAATATTTGGACGAATCGCCGGTAAGAAATATTTTGCGGTATGAATAACTTAGATTAAGCCTTCAGAGAGCCATTATTAACTACTTTACAGCGTTTTAATGCTATATATAATATTTGTACACTAGTGAAACTTGTAAACATGCATTTGCGAACACACTCTGACGTACTCTGCTCCCATAGTTCAGTAACTATGATAACTATATAGTACATCATTGTCATGTCTATGTAGGCACGGTATCCCTGTATTTTTCTTCTAGATGATTCAGCTCTCACTTGGATATGAACTGAATCTTAAGAGAACGCCATATCGCTAAAGCATGGTTATAAATACAATTTTGGTACTTATGTATTAACGCCACCGCAGGTTTTGGCGGTTTAAATCGTGGTCGCAAACTGTATGCTCCGAGAATTGTTTGGTTAGATTAGTTTATGTTAGAAATGTATTATATTATTATTTGGTACAAAGATTTTATATATCTTGGTGTGTCTTAAAAACCGCCATCTGTAGCCGTGATGACGCTTATGCGGATGAACCAATTTTTTTATTAGTCATGTTGTTACAGATTAAAAAATGTGAATGTAATCCTCTTACGGATTTAAATTTGTTGGATGATACGTCACAGGACAATGTGCTAAATATACTCTCTAAATGGCATTGTTCTTGTGGTAAAAAGGTAATATTGCATTGTTAAAATAATGGCACATCACGCAAATACTACTTTGATCGAACTTAATGTATAATTTTGTTAACTTACTTAAATTAAGTATTTTTCTGTCATTAACTATAGACATTGATGAGTTTGCTTGAAGCCTAAGTTTTAATTCGTTAAACTAAAATTGTAACCCGATCAGCTATAGTTTCAGACTTGGTCAAGATTGCATGTGATGCACACTTTAAAAGTAAATAAATATAAGTAATATTTGAATAATTTTTCCTTGGATTTATGATAATGACCACGATTGCCAAAATTAATGTTTGTTTAAATATCTAAGTGCTCCTAAACAAAAACACTTAATATTTCAAAGGTTACATCCTCTCAGACATCGACAAGTGAAATACCATCTATGTCCATCGACAAAACATCGGAAGATAATCAAGAAGAGATGTATCCGTTACCTCTTCATAGTGTTAAATGTACTTTAGGTAAAATTTATTATGAATATTTTATATTGATTTAAAGGGGTTATGAAATTGGTAAGTTAAAAATTACTACTTAAATTTACTATAACTACTTACGTACGTATACCAATGGCGCTACAAATTTTTAAATCTGACCCTTAGATTTCTGTATCTGTTCCGTGATCATTTTTAATAGGCAAGTAGGTTATCATCTTTCTGTGACAGACACCATCGACGTTGCCATTCCTGCAACGAACGAGCGAGTGTTCGATGCGCACATAGACAGAGAGTCCATTGGTGCACAGCCGGGAATCGAACCTACGACCCCAGGAATAAGATGCGCACGTACAAGTCACTAGGCCAACACTGCCCGATAATTATTTAGTTGTATATTGGCGCTTCTAAACGGGCCATGTTTTGTTGCAATTGATGGCTGCAACACTGCAACACTGTGGCCCGGCAACATTGCAAACAATAGCAGCCACACTATGCAATATTGCAGTAATGTCCCGGCCATATAGCCAAACATGTTTTGTATAGCCACATATGGCCGATGTTGCCCAGATGGGTTGCCGGACGATCGCTAGGCTATCGAATTCAACTGCAATAGGCTGCAACTTACAACTTACAACAATAGAACTGGCTTGTTGTTTCAGTCACTCTCTTTGTTATGGCACAGTGTATCCTTTTTTACGCGACATGACGTTTGCTATGAGTGAAGTGTGCCTGTTGCTATATTCTGTGTTTTGCGATCAGCTGTTTTTGACGTTAGATTCCTACGTAAAAATGAATGCTTTTGACATTCTAGTTGAATAATTTATTATCAAGACTTATTTCTAGACTGAAATTGTCTACAGTTTCACGCCTATTTAAGTAATGTAATCCACAATCTCTTCTTTTTCTGTTTCTTTTTTAAAACAATATAAGCTGCTGGGACAAGTGTGATTTCGTCAGCCATTGTTGCCGGTTTGTGTAGCCCGTTTAGGAGTCTGCATCATAGGCCATACTATTGCAGACATATTGCAACACATTGCCCAGCCATAGATTGTTCGGCCATCAGCTGCATTAAAATATTTTTCTAATGGCCGGACAATTAGATGCCAACAGTGCAGCTATCAATTGCAGCAAAACATGGCCCGTTTAGAAGCGCCATATATTAAATAGCTGCCCATAAATTTTTCAAATTATCATGAATGTTGTTAAAATATTACTTATAAAAGTGAGATTACTTTATTGGTCGATTTCAGGTCAATAAATCATAAACAAAAATATTACATGTACACACATGAGACACGTTCAATTGTGAACCAGCAATCGAAATATTGACTTTTTGTCTGACAGGAAAGTTCTTTGTACATTTACAGAGCGTGATAGCCGAATAGTCCTTGAGCCTGGTGATCTCGTGAGATGCAAATATTCGTTCAGTCCACAATATGAAGGAAATTACGCTGTCAAACGCTTTGTCGAAGTCAGTGGATGGCCAGCCTCAAGAATAGATATAAATGTTTCGGCAATTTGCGATTTACCAAGGTTTTATTTTAATAATACTAGAACGCTAAAGAATAATATTTTTTATATATTAACATATACATATAAAATAACTGTATAGGAAACACCATAGACTACTAAGGGGTACACCACAGTACACATTTTAAACTACTTATATACTAAAGAGTTAAAAAAAATTACAATTAATACAATAAATCAAACGAAAATATTACAACATACAAAGAGAAAAAAACGTTTTCACTTCATACATAATATTACATTTATCTTAAATTTACGGAGCCAAGCAATACGCTCGTATGCCGTCCATATCCAAAATACTCTAAAGGCATGTATATAATAATAATAATAATAATAGCCTTTATTGCTGTACAATACTTATCCTAGTACATAAAAATGTGAAATGCATAGTAATAAACACTAATAATTAATCGACAAGCCGGTTAATTTCTATTTTACAGCTTGTCCTTGAACATAGGCCTCCTCTTACAGCTTCCACTCTTCTCGGTGTCTAGCTTCATGTAGCCACATTGGTCCAGCTTCTCTACCTATAGCACCTTCCTATCTTTTTCTTTGTTCGTTTTCTTTTGTCATAGCGAGTCCGTCGCTTTTATCGTCCATTTATCTTTGTCTTCTCTCAGAACGTGTCCTATCCATTTCCATTTTAATATTTTACTGGAAGTAATAATTTCAGCATTTCTAAACTTTGCCATGTTTTTTATTTCTCCTACTTTATATTTTACGTGTTTAATGTCATAGTTGTCATTATCATGATATTGAAACCATGGTTACAATGACGGCATTAATCCATGATGTATAATAAAATTGATCTTTCAATATTGATATCAAGAAGAAGAATGAAGACGCGATGTAACTTGTGTAGTTTAATTACTCTTGCTATATTCGGATATTGCAATAACCACAGTATTAGATTGTATTAATTCTACTGTTTTTTTAGGTTGGATAGTCGTCCTAAGAAAATGTTTGAGAACTTCGTTCGTCGCTCGGTAGAAGACAAAGTTTACAAAGTGACTTATATTGACGATCAAAAGTTATTCGAGTTTGGGCCCATATTTATTGGTGTTAACAGGTTGGTTATTTATAGTTAAAAGGTAAAATGTACTATTATTTTGGCTTTGGTACTTAAGGTCAACGTTGGTTGGTAGGTTAACGCTTAGGCTACGTCCGCACAGGCAGGAGGTTTGCTTAGCGCCTAGCGCCTAGCGAGTCACCAAGCGAGTAGCTTAGTAAAACGAACGTTCTAGAGTCTTCGCGAACGGCCGCATTGCGCGCTTGGCGCCTAGCTAGTCGCTTAGCGTGTATCGAAGTAAACAAACGTGTTGGTTTTTTGTCGCTAGGCGCGAAGCATTTTCGTGGTGGCTGAAATATTAATTTCAATAGTTTTTAAAAGGGAACCTCTGTGGAATCCCTCTAATCAATTCCATAAAAATGCAGTCGTCTTAAAGCTACGGGAAGAGGTAGCAATCGAAGTAGAAAAATACTGTTATGCTTTTTCGAAGATGAGTATCCAAATGAGTCAATTTTACTTTAACTTTACTGAAAAGTAGATCAAATGTTTCTCTGGGCATACGCAAATATTCGTAAAACTTTTCGTCATAATTACGCAATTGTTTATACAGAACATTAAACTCCCCATGACTTGACCGTAACTTATTTATGTCTTGGACCCAACATGGTAGAGAAGGTCGTGAAGTTGTATATTTTAAAGAATATTTTTCTGTAAGTAGCAGTTTCAGAGCTATTTTTGAAAGTGACATGTCGCTAACGTGCCGATAAACAAATGACCAACGCACCTAGCGAGCCACTACGCAAGACACCTTTAGTCCGGCCACCGTAGTCACCTAGCAAGTAGCCAGGCGGCAAGCCTCTAGGCGCTAGGCGCTAAGCAAACCTCCTGCCTATGCGGACGTAGCCTTAAAGAAGTTACATTTTTATGTATTTCGTAATCCTACGGCTAACATAAATTAAATTCAACAAAATAATTACACAAGTCAAATATGGAATATGTAATGTATTTTTGTTCATTGAGGTTCAAACATTTACTAAAGTAAAAAAAAAAATTAAAAATAATTAAATACATTAAACTAAGTAATACCTAATTCGTGAGGGTATGTATGTGGGGTGATACAGGTGATTTAGCGTTATCGATATTCTTAATACTCCTTTTAAGCATATTCCACGATAACTTAAACAAGTCAAGGATTAAATAGTGGTCGTTGTACAACTCACTTGTTTCCATAGTTTTTGTTGACATGAGTAGGCAGGAACATGGAAATGCAACTTCTAGAAGTAAGCTACAATTAATTATTGTATTTGGGATGATGTGTTGATGCATTACATCGTATTGTTTTCGTCGAGAGTCTTAAGTATCGATTTTAAAATACTCACACGCGTCTTTATAGGTATTTAACTTATTATAGGTCTTAAGCGGGCCATAGACGGACCGCATGTTGCAGTGAAGACTGACTGCAACATGCGGTTTGCTCAGGAACTGCTCGAGCGGTTCGTGTATTGCGAATATGAATTTAGTATGGAAACTGCAGATCGCCGTGCGGCGACCGCTTAGAGCAGTCGGTATCGGGTTCAACATGCGGTCCGTCTATGGCTCGCTTTATAGGAGACTAGTGGACCCCACAGACGTTGTCCTGCATGATATTTAAAGCGATTAGGATATTAAGCAAAGTATGAAAGTACCGACTGCAGTGCCATCTGTCGGGCTGATTTGTGAATCTAAACCATTCCCAGATCCCCTTGAACACACAAAAAATTTCATCAAAATCGGTCCAGTCGTTTGAGAGAAGTTCAGTGACATACACACTCACAGAAGAATTATATATATAAAGATACATTTTATAAAGTCGTTTTTATGTTCACAATGTTGACTTTTAATGCAATTTTTTTAAACTTCATTGTTTTTTTAAGAATATATGAAGAGCAATATTCAATTGAATTGCGAAACTCCTCACTAATAACAGCCGATGTCATTGTTGAATTTTTGGAAGAAACGAGCGTATTTCAAATTGATAAAACATTTGTTAATTTGGAGGTAAGGAATCTATGATTGTATAAAAAACTAAAATTCAATTTAATTTTAAAATTATTTTAATTTAAACAAGGTTACTCTATATAACGTCACTATTAAAGGACTTTGCTAAGGTTGCGACTAAAAGGGTTTTCAGAAACCAGACTTACGCCCGAACCCAATAATCAAACCACAATCTCAGATTGTTTTTAATCTGAGATCAGACCGTGACAGTCGATCGATCTCCTATCTGCATCCCAATAACCAAACGAAAACAATCCATTTTTGGCGACAGAGCTCTTTGTCGTTCCATTTTACCGAGTTTGTACTCATATTTGATAATCAATGTAAACCAAAATAAGTAAATAAAACACGTACGTAACGTAACGTAAACAAGTACAAAAACCAAGTTCAATCATTTCTAGCCCCAAAAGTACTGACCATCGGGTCCATTATATTATACAAATGTGTTGATTATAAGAAAAAATATGCGTTACAGTTTCTACATTTGAGTTGATTTCCTTTAAATAAAAAATACTTACTTATTAAATATTCATTTGTTTTTAGCCTGGATGTCGAGAAAAAGTGACCGTGTCTGCAGCACCGGCTGATTTAGGAATACATACAAGCGTCCTATTGTTTTGTGTTAAAGATAATCCAGAAATAGTTACAGTTAAAATTGCTTGTAACGGTGTCGTTCCTGTGGTCGAAATACTGCCTTTGACAAAATCTATTGGTTGGTATTCGATATATAAATTATAAACATTCTTTTACATTTAAAGCACATCAATAACAAAGTGAATTCTCGTGTCTGTGAAGGTTTAGTTTTGATTTTTGTTGATTCACAAAACACTATTACTAATCACTTTAATTAACGCATACTTAACATTCTCACAGTGCTTAATCACCTGTCTTCATTACTGGCGCTTAGATCTCTTCGGTGTTAATCTCTCAGAATCGCACTTAAAACTGAACTTTCTGGTCGCGTTTCGGCCATATCCCTGGGAATATTCGCGAAAAGAATTCAAGAACTTTCTGGGTAGGAGTGGTACTAAGGGTGAGATCTATAGTGCGCACTTAGACTTTGCTCTGACTTAACTATCGAGCTAAGACACAGTCGGTATTTATAGAGCAAACTGCGAATCTCTCCCTAGTGTTGGCTTAGCTTAATCTCAAGTCCACGAAATCGACGACTTACCAAAAACTTTGACTATAAGCCTAACAAAAATGATGGCCCAAAATTTGCTTTACCATCATATCTTTTACTGGACTTTTTATTTTTGTCGGTTTTTAATGAACGGTGTTGCCATTTTGTATCGGAGTTCCATAGACTTTGGGAAAAATAGAATTTGTATTCAAAGAAATTATAAATGATCTTGATAAATACCTATGAAATGCATGAATTAAAATAATTACACATTATTATGGTATTTATTATTGTTTATTTATATTATTTATGTAATTGTTCAAACCCCATTTTTGAGAAATCTTAAAAATAACTGGTGTGATTTTGTATGTCACCTGGTAGCCCTGGCATATTATAGTGACAACGAAATCAAACTATAACCTAACCGATGTCTCTCGCTTCACATCTGTTATTTTCGTTTCCCTGAATCTTCTACCATTTATTACCTGACTACTCTAAAAAATTTGAGATAGGAGTGGAACATATGAAATTAAAAAATCTGTTGGAAATAGAATTTCTTCAACAAAAATATAAATTAGTATTAGAAATATGTATTACACTTAAAAAAAGAATCAGAAAATAAATGATTAAAATGAAACAAGTTTTGTTTTGATATTCTTTATTACCAAACAAATTACCTAGTTAAATTGTGCAATCACAGATTGCCGGAATGCTAGACCTGTAGGAGATCTTTCATTGTTTCTGTGTTACTCAACTTCTGCTAAAAATACCCTTTTTATTTCTGTATGCTTCAGAGTGAGTGATACTTTGGGTCTATTAATTTTTATATGGGTGCAGTCAATAGCTCCGATTATACTGTTTAGGCCATGGTGAGTATTAGATCTTCCTAATTCTTCAAACTTCGTTATGGCTGTGTTCATATTTCTTAGAAAATTTACAAATCTAGGAAGTAATTTACTCAACTCTGCAGAGACTTTATTTATAATTAAACAGACTGTAGATTGGCTTATGCTGTTCAGATCACCACACACCATCTGTAATGTCAATAAATTATTATTAGTCACATATATGTTATGTTTCTGAAAGTCAGAAGACAAAAGTCTTCAACATATGTATTTAAAATCATTTGAGAAGAGGTATAATATATCAAATTGAAAAACCATACATATTTATGAACACAATATTACCTGAAAACATCCAGTTGCATTTTTATGCCTTAATGCAATAAGTATTTGCAATTGCGGTAGGTTTGGCGATCCTCTGTTGTTATAAGGTTGCAAATTTGTAATGATCAGCGTCAGGATCACATTTAATACCGTGTGTTTCAAAATACGGTTCCTTCTTTTGAATTCATTCTCACCGTACAGGATGGAAGGATTTTGGTTTTATTAGTTCCGAACATATACTTTAGGCATTCGTGGATTCATATCGGCTGCAGTTCCTACCCTTTCAATGTTTTCTATTGAAGATAGAACTCTCTCTCCATCATGTCACTTTCGATATTGATATTTCCAAGCGGTCCATGTAACAAAGCCAAATCACAAAACGTCACAGTGCTTCGGGAATGCGTAGGAGTTAAGTAGGTATACGATCCAGATTGGTCCAGGTCCAAGTCACACAGCCAGTCGTTGTTTTGAAGAAAGTTAAATTTAATATTTATAAGCTCATACAAACAGAAACAGAAAAGAGAAAAAGTGGTTTAAAATTTTCAATTGTTGATACAAGTGCTTTGTTGCTGTTGTCAAAACATTGCGATCCGTTACGTAACGTAATAAAATTATTGTCATCTTTAAATAATTAATACATTTTCTAAAGGTTACTCGTAAATTTCTAGTTATTGCAATAATAAAATAAATGAATACATAAATAACAATAAATTGAAGATATATGTGTACCGTTTTAGATGTTTAAATATTTGTTATTGTTTACTTTTTCAAAGGATAATAAACAAAGTATTGCATGAAATGAAACATCAATTTGTATTTTGACATTTTCTGTCTTAGCTTGGGCTTAGCTTAATCTCACCGTTAAAATGTCTATAAATACGAAATCATAGTTTAACCTTAGTGTACACTAAGCAAAGTTTTTCGTAAGGTAAGTCTGAGCAAAGTCCAAGTGCGCACTATAGATCTCACCCTAAGTAGTTGGTGTTTTATCCTTGTCGCTATATGTAACAACGAACGCTCTCTATCTCTCTCGCACATAACTTCGTCCATGTCGTACGGCGTTTTAGAAATTAGAAAGATCATGGCTTCGGGAAGTAGTTGTCATTGTTACCTAGAAAGGCAACTCTAGAATATTCTATCACGGGTCCTAAAATTGCCTAAAAACTTGTTTCCTGATAACTGTACCATGTAGTCGAGAAGAGATCGAGATTTAGAAAATGAGAGCAACTTTATGTAAATTCAAATTTTCTGGTATGTGATAGAGCCTTTCATGAAACGCTTATAAATCACAGTTCTGTTCAGTTGCTGAAAACTTTTCTACGTTGTAGAAAAATCGAGAAACATTTCATTCAACCTTCTTCGTCTTGGTAACACTATGTACACATGTAAATATAAAATATATATATAAAATGAACGTCAATATTTAAAAAAAACTAATAAAAACTTAATATTAGAATACTAGAACGTCATATTGCAATGTAGTCCAAAATATGTCAATTGTCAAATATTTCTCATCTCTTGATTACGAAAAATGTGGCAAATTGGGCTGAGGTAAACCAAAGAACGAGTATTGTAAGGACTACACAAAATTTTTATTCCACTTATAATCGAAGTAAATATAGTATGGATAGCTATATAGTAAAGATTAGCTATCATTACTTAAATAGAAACTTTTTTCAGAATACGGTCGCCATTTGCTATATCGAAAAGAAGACGACAGATTTATCGTTAAAAATGATTCGATTTTACCCATTATGTGGCAAATTCACAACCCGCAAGACTTCGTTGAAGATTTTATAATCGCTCAGACATCGGGTATTGTACAACGACAAGATAATCAAGTTGTGCCAGTTACATATATCGCCTGTAGAGTTGGCGTAATATCGCACAGGGCTCTTACAGTTGATGTAAATATTTCGTTTCTGTGTTATAGAACCGTCTATAAAAAAAATTCTTAAAAATCTTAGGTTATTCGTTAATATTTTGCTGGGTACTAAATAGGAAGTCCTTGAAAAGTACTTAATATATACATAAATAACGTAATAAATTTGCGATTATATTCCTTAATGGAATATATTATCTTCGTATGCATTATTTATTTCATAAAAGCAATTTAAATGACTCATATATTTTTTTTTATATTTGGATTTGGTTAAAAGGCGAGAGGTTCTTAGATACTTAAGAAGAACAGTAACCATTGTATTTTTTTTGCCTCTAAAATTTAGAAATATTACAGATTTTTTATAAAAAAATTGATAAAAATCAGCTTACTGACTCAAAGTAAACCACTAATTATAACTAAAAATTATTTCACGGATCAAACATTATTGGTAATTCTTACAGAAGTTGCTTGAAACATGTATATTTACGCATTGAGCGCTTAAACGATAATTTTGTTTGAAAAAGTTAAATTAATTTTAATAAATTAAATTCTGAAATATAAATTTTACTCATTTTGAATGATAATGTAATTAAAATGTTGTTTAATTGTTACGTAGATTTTCGTAGTAATCTTTCTATATCCTTTATAATAGTTTACTAGTATATTTTATGACACACATATATTGTATATATTTCAGATATATGATGCTGAAGGAAGAGGTAATCCAATGATAGTTGATGCATTACATTTATCCGCGGAATGCTACGATGTTATGGTGGAATGTGCATATGAAAATCCCAGTGAAAATTTCCTTAATTACGGAAACGTCAAAGTCAATTCCACGGTTGTTCAGGAAATGTATCTTTTGAATAGAGGAAAATATAATATTTTCTACAAGTTAGTATTATTTTAAAATGCATTGTGTAGCAGCAATAGAGCTTAAATCTGTGAAGAAGGGAATGTTGTTCGGTTCCTCCTTAATCTATGACTGGCTGGCTCGAAGGCCTCTGTGGCTAAGAGGCCTTGTATACATATTATACCTTTCGATAACTTAGCATTACAGGGTATGACGTCAGCGCAATGATTGTAGTCATAAATTGTAGAAGACGCTACACATTGATTAATTATTTTTTTTAACTAACTAAGTTTAAAAATGAAATAAAAAGTATTTACCACTTAAAAAGAAAACTATCAGCCAATATATATTTAGATATTTTGCGCTCTTACGTTTTGATGCTTTTTATTGTTATTTTATTGAATTAACTTACAACAAAATTTTTGATACAAATTAACATATTTAAGGTTAAAAAAGGTCAAGAATTTCCCAGAGCCATCATTATTAAAGTCATTTGAAGCGATCCCCGAGTGCGGTGTTGTACCTCCCACAGTAAAATTAATTAATATTGAATTTGAATGCACGCCCACGACATCCATGAATTTAGTCAACGTCCCTGCCTATATTTGCTCGTTGCTGGACGGAAGCAAAAATCAGGTGGTAGTTGCGAAGTTTCCGGTTTGCGTGACCATTGCATCGTTTTATAATACGTAAGTGAGCGGAGCTTTTTTGTTGTTTTACATTATAACTATCGGCTGTTAAATGCTGGCGAATGCCACTAACATCCACGCAAGACGAGTACAATTTAACATATACAGAAATATATTTCTCAATTATAAAATTTAGAATTATATTAGTAAAAATAATACATAATTGTTTGTTTTTGGTTTTAAAATAAAATTAATTCTTTCAGCTAGTGCGTATAATAGTTCATAATAAAAATAATTAAGCAAATATGTTCATGATTAATTACTTTTCGAATGCGACTGAAGATCGCCGATCCCGCTCCGCATATATCGAACAACCGAATTGAAGTTGAAAGTTGCGTTAACAATACTTATTAACAGTTATATTTTAGCAATATTAACATAGCGATATAAACTTATCGATATTTTCCATTTATCTTTTTTTTTTACAATTAAGTTCACAAAAAAGAGTGCGACTTTACATGAATTACAATCTAGTCTATACAATAATTATGGCTGAAAAGTAATATTATGTTGACTTAATTTTCTACAATACTAATGAATGCTTAAACTAAGGAACAATGAACATTTCATTAACAGTCTTAGTGTTCTATAATATTTTGACAGAAGGTTTTTGGCGTCTTATTCCTGTCGTGTCAAGAAGTTGGATTCCCTCAGCATTCACATGGCTATGTAGCTTGTTTAAGTGAGCTAAGGCAAACCGTTTCGCCGTATTTAGGATTGTTTCCATTTATCTAACGATATTGGAACTCGTAACGAAAGAAATTGTAATCCTTCACATACTTATTTACAGATTCACATTATTTCCTCTCGGAGAATTGAATTTCCATATAATACCAGTTGGTAGTGGAGTGATGAGGGAAGTAATATTAAATAACACAAGCAAATGTCCAATAACATACGAAATAATTTTACCTGAGCAATATCAGTTGGACCCTGACGCTCAACCTGCAGCCAAACTTAAGGATAATAAGTAAGCATACAAAAAACTAGTAATTAGTTGAAAACATCTAAACTGGTTTTTACGATACAAAATATTAAAGGTGTATTTGTATATGTCACCGTAAAATTGTAAACACCGTTAGATTGTAATCTATCTCGCGAGATTGTAAACTGTCGAAAGATTGTGAACCTCAACGAACTGCTTACAATTTAACGTATTATTTTTCGGTAGATTGTAATCTATCGAAGTGAAACCGTCAAATTGTGAAACGGATCGCACCTCGCGCGCTGATTGGTTTAACGGAATATGCCCCGCGCCACCATATTTGTTTGTTAATTCGTTTTTTGTCGAATTTAAATTTATTGTTTTGATGAATGTAAATTGATGTCGTGTTGAAAGTAACTCACAGCTTTAGAATTAGTTATATGAAATTGTTGGAAAGTAAAAATGAATCTGTGATTGACCAAAGAAGTTTGAATGATAACTAAGTTAGTGTTGGAAATGAAATGAAATGAATTAACAAACAAATATGGTGGCGCGGGGCATATTCCGTTCAATCAGCGCGCGAGGTGCGATCCGTTTCACAATTTGACGGTTTCACTTCGATAGATTACAATCTACCGAATAATAATACGTAAAATTGTAAGCAGTTCGTTGAGGTTCACAATCTTTCGACAGTTTACAATCTCGCGAGATAGATTACAATCTAACGGTGTTTACAATTTTTCGTTAACATATATATGTTCAAAATATAATGATTTTGCCTCAAATAAAGTGATTTTTATTTTATTTATTTAATACGTAGCATCATTATGTGTGCAACTTGGAAATATGTACTGTGGAATAAGTGATACCTGTATCTTATGTTCCATAGTAAACATATTTTTTTTAAACATGGAATTTTAAACCTTCAATCTTTTGAAGGCGGTTAAAACTCATACCAGTGGGAACTTGACTTTGTGCGAGAGTCTATGATCATTAAACAACGATAGATTATAAATTTTATTATTTAGTCTAACCACAATTTTATTTAAAACCATTTTCGGTCTTTACAGGATCAAGAATCCACCTTTGAAGTGTGGAAACTTCTTCATAATGAATGACGACAACCTCCTTGCGCCGGGAACGAGTAGAACACTTCAGATACAGTTTATGGCAACGGCGGCCAGGACCTTTGAAGAGACAATTAAATTTATTATAAGTGACACGTGCCCAGCGGAAGCGTGTGGTGTGCCACTCAGATTAGTAGGCACAGGCGCCATGCCAACATTAGATTTTTGGAATATCGAAACAACTTTTAGAGAGCATTTGATTGTGAAATATCTTTCGGATTATAAAGTGCCTGAGGTATTTTATTTTAAATTTGATTTTACTTGAATTCGTTTTGTGATGTGGAGAATACTACACGACCCGAAATAAGGTTTTGTACACATAAGCAAATTCTTTTAAGAATTATCTTGACATAACACAACACAGAGGTAGGTGAATACACACGCACACACACACATTGATACATTGGACCCAACAGACGTTGTACTGCATGATATTTCAAGTGATTAGGATATTAAAGTTTGTAAGTACTGCAGTGCCGTCTGCCGGGCCGATTTGTGAATTTAAACCATCCAGGGCGCCACCCAAAGGCATACAAATCATTTAAATCGGTCCAACCGTTTAAGAGGAATTCAGTGATATATAGTGTAGAATTATATATATAAAGATAACTGTTTTTCAGTCTTCGCCACACTGCGTTTTCGTGGAAGATTCAGTAACTCTACACTTCTATGGAGTAAATGTCAACACAAGTTATACAGCCTCAATAGACTTATATAACAGTGGCTTGGTAGCATCAGCTCTTACTATGAGGCTACATTATCAATCTAATTCAAGTTTAGATATATTCTCCCTGGACAAGTATCAAACGCATATTGAACCGCTGCTGCATAAAAACTTGGGAATCATATTTAGTCCGAAAAGAATTGAAGTGAGTATAACAAACAAAGAATGTATTCTTATTTTTGTTTGTTTTATACGAACATTGTTTGTTTAATACGTTTTGTAAGCAGCTTTCTAGGTATAGAAAACCTCTACGAGTGATTTAGCTTTTGGAAGTATTAAGACTTGTGTTGATCACTTGGTTTAGGAGGATTACTTTTGCTACTTTCGATTCCCGTCGAAACAATAATTGTCTCAGAGTTGCATGGATCTCTTACCTTTAACGAAATATTAGCTCTATAACTTAGACAAATTTCGTGCTCGTAGCATTTATGGCTAAAATATCGTTTGAAGAAAAATTAATAAAATAATTTTAATTCCAGCAATACAGGGCGGTGTTGGAAATAAAACTTAAGCTTCTCGATAATCAAGAGAAGTCTTTCAAAGTATGCTTGATCGGTGATGGTGTGATACCAAGAATCCGTTTATTATATCCACAACTTCGCCACCACAGAATAGCCCTGCTACAGTTCCCTGTTACGTGTTTGGGATCGATAACTAAACAACAAATTCGCTTTAAGAATATAAGCTCGGTGAAAAGCAAGGTAAAGGCCGACGTGTTCTGTCCACATAAAGAAGAAAGGCCCATATTCTGGATAACTTCAAACTTTAGTAATTTTGATATGGACTACGACGCTAAAGGTAATATATACGACGGTGACAAATCATTGAGCCATGATTTAAGTTCGGTGACGGTTTTTATGTATGTAGATTTTTAAATAATACTCTTTGTTTGGTTAAATTAATGGTTTAAAACATGAGTTTAAATCTAACATAAAATTAAGGGTAGTGGGGTGGCGGCGCTAACTATTTTGGCTCACCTAAGGGTAATAAATCTAAGTGACACTTCAGTGCAAGTGAAGTCAATCTTTTTGGACAGCAAGAGTATTGCATTACAATTTATGAGGCTTCATTATGTATATGGGCATGTGTTTTTGGTGCCATGCAAGCGACGATAGCCAACATTTGGTTTGCCCTACTATTTATTTACTAAAATATATATGTGCCACTTAATTAACCTTAGGTTACATGCCTCTTATGTTTGAATGTAAATAATGTATAACAATGTATAATGTAAAATTTTGTACATGACGTCCCAACAGAATTCCTTGCTTCCGAATTTTAGTTACAAATATGGCCACGAAATGTTGCTTAAATTTTCCTTATAGTTTTTGGTTTTGTTAAATACCCCAAGAGGTATAAAGAGAACTAAACCTTTTGAGTTAGTGAACTTTATCTTAGTTTAATCTATGTACTGAAATTATAGAAAATTATATCAGCATAATATTATTATTAGTCAATTATATTAATTATGGGATGGCCTATCTTATATTTAGAAAATAACAGCATATTGCTAAGTAAAGCTTATGCTAGTATAGTTATTATTATAGTAATTGTAAGAATATCACGATATACCTACTAGTGCCTAATTTTAATAAATCTAAAATATTTTTATTATTATGTTAAGGCGAATCCTTACCTTTATGTACGCTTACCCCAGGTATCGACCTGAACGGTTTAAGCCCACTTAGACCCACGTTGCCCATGGCAACGCTCTTGCGAGCCCTCTGGCAATAAGAGTGTCTATGGGCGGCGAGTATCACTTAATATCAGGTGACCTCTTGCCCGTTTTCCCTCTGTTCTATAAAAAAACCTAGAATGATTTAACTTACTAAGGAGTCTATTTAATTTATAAATATATCCGTTAATAATGTAATTTCCAGATATGATGGCTTCGTCATTAACGTTAACATTGTGCCCTAAGGAAGTTTGTACAATACATATTCACTTTAATCCAATTCGTAAAGGAAGGGTCTCGTGCGATGTTAAGCTCACGATATTTGAAAATCCTTACGAATTTTTTGTTGTAAGTATGTTTTCCTAGAAATACTGAGGCATTTGCTATTAACAATGTGGCTTAATTATAAATAAATTAAGAGTATAAAAACTCTTAACTATTTATAGCGTTGGTGCCTAACAGGCTACACCATCTTTAAATTACTAAAAAACAATAAAATACAATCAAAATCAATACAATAAATGAAACGAAAACAAACCGAAAAACAAACGTTTTATATTATATTCATATAAAATCTATCTTAAATTTATGGAGCAAAGCAATCACAATCCACATTAACTAAAAATACTTTTTAATTACTTTAGTGAAAATTTAAAGGTATTATGTGAAGCTGAAGCTTTTATGGAAGATGTAATAATAGTGGGTCTTGAGATGCTCTCCATGGAGTTGGACCTCGATGCCTTCAAGTCTGGTGAAGGGTAATTATTATAAATCCCATATACAAAGGTATTGAGAGCTAAATGAATTAAACGACGATTCAGTCTTTGAATTTTAACTATTGTCTTGGTCATCACCGTTCAGTTGCCTGCCTTTTAGTCTTCTATAGATTGCATTCTCATGCTCAACTACTACAAACTGATTCCGTCATCCTTTTACAAACAACGCTCGTCTAGAAGCACGCTGGAGATTCACACCAGTAATAAAATACCTAAATCTTTTTTATTTTAGTACTGTATCGACCGCATCTACCTCAGACACTCGAAAGAAAAGCAAGAGTGCGGCAGTTCCCAAAAAGTCAAAAATAGAAATAAAGAAAAGTAAAAGAATATCGCAAGCATCGGTGAAGCATAGTGATACCACGAGCAGTATTGAGCACTCATTGCAAAAATATTTACTTGATTTTGGTAAGTGTACGATTGTATGAAAAACAATACATCATTGCTCGATTAAGCTGTGAGCGTTTTAATTTTTTAACATCCGGTGTAAATGTATTTAACATGGGGGTTATGATTTAACTTCTAATAAACTGTCAAATGGTCTACCCGAAAGGAAGTTTTAATTTCTAAATTTTATTAATCTATAAACGAATTGCTGTTCGTTTGTCTCGCTAAAACTCGAGATCAAATATCTTTAAATATTTGTGGAAGTTCAAGAAAGGTTTCAAAGTGGGAAACATAAATTATAAGTAAATACTAAAAACGAGAATTGCATTTTCTGATAAAAAGTGTTCCTAGCTGGGAAATATTTGATGTCTTTTGTATTTTTAGAAATAAAAATTGGTCACTTGATTGTCATATATTTAAAGATGCCTTCAGAAATTTAGTAGCTGTAGTAAGACGTCCGATCTCTTTGGTCTGTTTCAAAAATTTTGTATTAGGTTTTTACACAAATATGTAGATGATACGAAGTTCATCGGGTCATGCAAGAATTGGTATTGAAATATTTCAGCATGTATTACTCAATTTGTTTACAAACAGAATTTGAAGCTAATTGACGAAAAGGCTTCGATTTCCGATAAAACTAAATTGATTGGCACTACTGGAACGTTATTACCAATAGAGAAACTCAAAAATTTCCTCCTACTCTGCTACTGCCTCATAAGGAGATATCAACCAATAAGATAATCAGGACACCTTTTTAATTATCTACGCGTTTAAATTATTAATTTCAGAGGGCTGTGAATTATTTGCGATTAAGAAACGGACAGTTATAATGGTAAACAATTCGGAGAAACTATACAGGTTCAGTTGGGAAGAATCTGAATTAGTTGTGGTTAAACCTTCCATTGGTTACATATCACCCGGCGAAGAAAAAGACTTGGAAATAATTTTCTTCTCTCCCAAGCCAATTGTATTGAAAAAGGTATAAAGTTCAAAAACTTTCTTGTTGAAATCAGAATTACCAGCTTAATACACATTGCCAGAAGGCTTGCAAGTGCGTTGTCGACCTTTTGAATTGGTACGCTCTTTTCTTGAAGGATCCTAACTAGAATTGGATCGGAAATACTTCATAAAGTAGCTGGTTTCACATAGTGTTGGCCCACGGCAGAATCTGCGTTAAAAACAGTCAGGAACGCCGGACATCGAGGTGATACGGGTGGAATTTCGTATTCTGCCTCGACGTCCGATGATGAATTTACCTTTACTCCTTTCTGTGGCCATTTTATATATTTATCTAATAACTTGATTTCTGTCTTTGTTTTCTTAGGGTAAATTAAATTCGAGATCTTTCTTTAAGTATGGAATTACGTGAGTATGTTAAGTGCATAATGCAAGTATATACGTAGTTAAGAGCACTGGTGCAAAATCTATAATTTTTATTACGATTATGATTAACTATTTTCAGGAATTCTTATACGTGACGTTGATGGGAGTTATTGACGATTCCTTAACAATGGATATAAAAGGATCAACTTGGGATAACAGACAGACTGTGACTGCTTTTGATCATAATGAGTGAGTTTATTGTGAAATACAATTATTAAGTCTCTATTTGCAGCGACGCCATTTTTATATCGTACAAACGTCTGCTGTTACTTCTTAGTACAGATATCGGCAAACATCTTGAAAAAATGTCGTTGTCGACATTTAAATTGTTGTTGACGTTGAAAGAAGCGATTTTTAGGTATCACTGGGAGAGTGACGTGTCGATAGCGTGAATGTTGAATGTCGAAATCAGTTGACGTTTGTGTCCCGCGATGCGCAAACTTTCACCCACTCCCTTGTTTAATGCTCAAGAAGTTTGCTGGTATCTGTAACGGCATAACAAAATGGCGTTGTATTATTCATATCACATTATATAACTAAGTCCTCCGCCGCATTTTCATAAGATTTTATTTAGAAGGGATTCATGAGGGAAGGTTTAGATATGTCTCAAGAATCAATCCGGCCGGTGTAAAGCCAATATAAAAAAATAGTAATTAATCAGACATTCTATAGATTTGTAGGTATCAACGAAAGATACCAAGCAGTAATCGACGAACAGTTTCACATATCGCCTGAAAACGCGTTGGATATAATACAAATGGTTGTGGTTTATTCTGCGACGGCCGAGTATACTAAATACAGTTGTGATTTGAAGGAGGAATTAAATATGAACGATACGTTTATATATCAAGTAAAGTATTTTCCATGGATATTTTCTCTGTACTGCCCTGCGATTCTGTAACTCACTTTTCGAACTCACACAGCGGTTTTCACAGCGGCGGTTGCGCTCTTATCAGTCTTAAAGCAGTCCTTTTACGATTTGGCATTCTGATAAACAATAAACTACAAGCTCCCAGTTCCCACCTTATTATATACCTATTTTTTTACATGAGAAACTTAATATATGATCGAAATACACGTCGCCATCAGACAGCCGTCGTAATTTTAGTCTAATAGGCTCATTCGGATATGTATCTTTAGTGCCATTTTGAATTGGTTAAGATGGTTATTTATTAAATAATTGCACACTTAATAGACTTCTTCAAATAATTTGTACGCGGCTTCGGCAAGATAGGCAAACTCGCTCGACGAGTATTGCGTGTAGTAGCGTGTTTGATCTGTTTAAATGATAAGCTACCATGAAGAGACTTATTTAATTTTTTTATATTAAGATACAGGTGCTATGAACATATAGTTGTTTAATCTTCATAATTTAGGTTTCTTGGTAGATTTTATTAGTGTTAAAAAAAATTATTTAAATAGTGCTTTTATTAATTTATTTTGTAGTGTTACAAACACTGTTAGAAATTTTGTTTATGCATATTGTACATGGCGTAGATGTACATGGCGTAAATATTTCAATTAGATATTTCATATATGCGGCTTGACTTAACAATAATAAAATAAATGGCGTACAGTATAATTATAAATAATATAGTCATGTATATCCAATAAAATGTATTTAAGTGTGTGAGTACACATGAGCTAACCTCCTCACTAAGGTGTACCATTCATATTTCTCTTTAAGATAACGTTTACTCAGTATGAGAACCTGGGTCCTCAGTTTAGCACCACACTACTGAGACAAATAAACAGCTTACCTAGTTCATATTATTTAATATTTTCTAGACAAGAACAGTTAATTTCAAAGTGCGTAACACAAGCAAAGTACCAATGAAAATATTGTGGAACTTCGTTATTGACGACGAATTTCCGTCAAGGATTGATAAAGAAAAAACTGAACTGGTAAATATAATTATTGTGTGTGAATTAAATCTGATTGATTGTAGTTAAAGCTACAAACATTTACACACATTTCGTGTAAATAATTGTCAAATTATCGTAAGCGCGTCTTATTTGCTAAAAGTCTGTTTTCCTTTAATCATAAACAGCATTATTAAGGTAATTACAAGTTGGTTGAATCTCGCAATAATTGAAAAACATTTGTATTATATAGTAAACCAAAAAACTATTTATATTATTACCCTTCATCATAGTAACAGTTCCTGATAATACGTTTCAATAAAATGATTGTTTTTTTCTCTAGCACCAATCTCTCTATTTCAGAAACCCAATAAGGATGACGAAAAGGATATAATCGGTAAATAGTAAATAATTTTACACAAATCTCTGCATGGCTACATAATATTTAGATGTAAAAAACTAAAAAGTATACCAAATAGCTGTGTTATTTAGGTTATAACAGCCTTGTGATTCTGTAACTCACTTTTCGAACTCTCACACCGGTTTTCGCAGCGGCGGTCGCTCTCAAATCAGTCGTGAAGCAGTCATTTAACGATTTGGCATTCTGATAAACAGTAAACTACAAGCTCCCTCCGCTTGTCAAGACGTAATGTGAAATTGCTTAACAGAATACCATGAGATTCCAAAAATGACGTGAGTGACGAAGGGAGCGTTTTTAGTGCGAGGTGAACTCACGGATTAACAGAATCGCAAGGCAGCTGTATACGTTTATTAAGAGTTATGCTTACTTAATTCATTTGATAAGTATTTTAATAAGTTCACCATAGGTCCAAACGAAAACTCATTTTTAAGCTATTTTACAGCCCTTTGTTTTCTTAAAACAGTTCAGGCAGAATCGGGCATTAGATTTCTTATATGTCGCACCGTTATTTTAGTATAACATTATAATATTATATTAATATGCCAATATATTGGCTTTTATTTTTATAATGTATATTTCAGAAGCAAGTCAAATTACATTATTTAGCGAAAAGAGCAGCAGAGAGAGCGTCGATACGTGGTTTGAAGTCGACCTGCCGTTCGCAATAGAACCTCCTAAACAATGCTTAAAGCCAAATCAGAATTGTACATTCAAACTAACGTTTGCACCGCTAGATGCATTTTCATATAAAGTGAGGCTAAAGAGTTTTATTGGTACGTGATTTCATCTACTATCCTATTGGTAATGACAACAAACACCTCATGTCTTTTTACGCCTCAATTCGTGAATATGATTCCAAGATCTCTAACATGAACGCGACCTGACGTCAATTTAATCAATGTGACAGTTTACAAGTAATATTGACATCTGTCATTTGATACATAGGATATTATAAAGTAAATAAAATTTGACTTAAAATTGACCAAAAATAGAATTCCGATGACTTTACATACAACAACAAAAGATAACCAACTTGTACTATAGTATAGTTAGTGTGTGAAGGCCGAATAGAAAGGTTTTTCCCAAGCTAGCAATGCCTGAAACTAAAATAAATCTTATTTTACTATTTAAGCTAAGGAACTAATATAACTGTCAAAAATTTTGTTGTCTGTGTTTTTATTTGTGCCTGTGACTAAGTCCATAATCCATTAAGATTAGGTATTCATAGTTAAGGGTTATTTATATAATGTTGTATTGTAACAGAAAATATGGACCCATATGACCAAAATATATCCTGTAAAATATCAGCAAAATCTTTGGTCCCGTATGTGCACTTGGATATTGAAGAGAGTGATTATTTGACTTCCGGAAAACGGAAAGGTGCCATCGCACTTCCGCCACACGTCACTGTGTTAGAATTCAACGTGTTGGGATCCGGATGCTATAAAAAGTATGATTCTTTTAAAACTTAAGTGAACAGTGTAAATTAAACTTTTCAGTTTGTAAGACTCTGAGTGGACTATAAAATGAGTGACTACAGTGGGTTTTTTTTACTTTTACTATGATGACTCGCTTTCTATGTTCAACTTGTAAGAGTTATGGGGAATTTCTTTCCTTACATATTTCTTGTTAGCTTTCTGGTTTTGACCAGTGACGATTTCTTCACAATATTTTCCCTTTATACGAGCAAGTATTTATTTGCACGTAGGAAAAAAGTTCACAAAGCGCAGCCCCGGCTGATTCGCATATCAAAATAATACATATTTCTGATAGACTTGGAGAGACTGAAGCCTGTAAAGAGTTAAAAGCCTTAAGTTTATAGTTTTGCACCGATGGACTTTCTATGATCGCACTTAACACTAACTTGTACGGTGAAGGAAAACATCGTGAAGAAACCGGCATGCCTTATAGAAAGAGGGCTCATCATCTATTATAAAAAACGCTGATGACGAAATTGATACAGAAATATGTGGCAAGACTTAAAAGGTTATAGCGCCACTGGTCTTTACTTAATCTAATAAATCTTCTTTTTCAGAGACTTCAATGTTATAAATCCTACGAATGAGGGCTACGAATTTATATTCGAAATGCTGATTTCGGAAAAACCAGAGCTGGTTCCCGTACACTGCAATAAGCTTAAGGGTTTTGTAGATGGTGGAACATCTACAGAAGTCGAGTTCACTTTTGCACCAACTGCTCCAGGGGTAAGTAACTGACCCATAATGTACAAGGGGACGCAATATGTTAGTAGTGGTGTCAGAGGGCAGTGAGTAACGATGTATCTTTTAAAGAGAATTTCTTAGTTTAGACTTCGTCAAACATTAAAAAGAAAAAAACAGCGTTCGTGGTAACAAACAAAACTGAAATTTCTCATGAAAATTTTATACTTTGATGTATTTTACGTTAATAATAATAAATCGGTTATTTTCAAAGAAAGTGATACATTCAGATTGATTAAATATAAAAATAAACAGTAATCTGCCATATAAAAATAGGCATGCGAATGTCATTAATAATCATAATGGCATAATAATAAGAACAGTTAATTTTTTTATAATTGTTGTCAAAACTTATGGTCTAAAAACTCTCCTACATTTTAAAGCCCTTTAAAAATCTAATCAACTTCCCCTTGAAAGTATTACACGTTAGTGATCTATAACTTCTGGGAAGGTGATTAAATAGTTTGATAGCCATAGCGTAACAGTTTTGGCTCCCATACCGTGTTGGATCCTTCGGTAGATACAGGCAAGGTTCTTTAAATGTTATAAGGGTTTATAGTTTATCAAACTCATGGTAGATAAACTTTGTACGTATTGTTATTGCCGGATCTTAATCATAAACTTTAGAAATTACGTACATTTGCCATGTCAATGTTTATTCATATTCCAGTCCACGGCCGCTGCATAATGTTTTGTATGCAATTACAGATTTATGAGTCACAGTGGAAGTTTCTTATCCCCGTTCATTCGATAGTGATGAACCTACTCGTAGTTGGAATTGTAAGAGAGCCAGACGTGTTGTTCGTTCCAACTATATTATTGATACGTAACTCGTTAGTGGGATTTACTTCGGAAAATGTTGTCATTTTGAAAAACAACGAAAATGAATCGTTGAACTATGAGTTTAAAGGGAATTCACTCTGCAATGAATCGGGTAAAACACCAGTTGTAGTTGAGCCAGAGATGGGTGTTTTAAGAGCTCGATCTGCGACCGAAATCAGGTTAGTAGTTCATTGGCGCCATTATATATAATCTAATATATAAAATTCTCGTGTCACAGTTTTCGTTGCCATACTCCTCCAAAACGGCTCGACCGATTCTCATGAAATTTTGTGTGCATATTGGGTATGTCTGAGAATCGGACAACATCTATTTTTCATCCCCCTAAATGTTAAGGGTAGTCCACCCCTAAATATTTATTTTTTATTTTTAGATATTTTTTTTCTGTTTTTATTTCTTATGATACAGCATTAAAAAATATATACAAACCCCTAACTTTCACCCCTCTACGATCAACCCCTATTTTTTTATTATAAATGATATATATGGCAAAACGACGTTTGCCCGGTCAGCTAGTCTAATATGTACGTAGTTGGTCCCAAAGTTCTGTCACTGGCACATTATTTCTAAATTTCGAGCAGGATTTTATAAAAAAGTTATTGCATTCTAATTTGGAATGTTTGACTATTGTTTTAAAATAAAAAACAATAACTTTCAGTAAGTTTTCACGACGGAGTGGACATTGAAAGAAGACCGAATAGTTGTTATTGTGTTGCACCGCTGTGGGCACTCGCCGAGTACCATTTTCAAGTTGCTCAAAAATTTTAATATAACGCTTAGGTTTGTGTACGGTACTATTGTTAGGTACCTTAAAGTCTCCAGTGTTGAGGACAAGAAAAGAACTGGCCGGCCACGCTCCGCAAGAACACCAGCAGTAATCAAAGCTATCAAAGCGCGGATAGTAAGAAATTCTGTCCGAAAACAGAAGTTGAAGGCTTTGCAGATGGGTGTCAGTAGGAAAACAATAAAAAAGGTTTTAAATGAAGATCTTGGTCTACGAGCATACAAAAAAAAAGTGGGAACTTACTTAATGCTCGTCTAAAAGCAATAAGGCTTAAGAGATCGCGGGTGTTGTTTAAGCGGTACGCGAAAAACCGACACCGTGATATCCTCTTTACGGACGAAAAAAATTTCGATAATGAAGAGAAGTACAATAAACAGATTGATACAGTGTACGCTAGGAGTTCTGAAGAAGCTAAAAATAAAGTTCCAAGGGTACAACATGGACATCATCCATCATCAGGAATGGTCTGGTTGGGAGTGTCCTATTACGGGCTAACTGAGGTTCATTTTTGCAAAAAGGGGGTCAAAACCAGAGCTAAAGTGTACCGAGAGACGGTTTTGGATCGCCTTGTCATTGACCTGTCCAGCACCCTATTTGCGGGACATCACTTCGTGTTCTAGCAGTACTCTGAGCCTGCATACAAAGCCAAGACCACTAAAGCCTGGTTTGAGCGTCAAAACATGGATTTAATTAGACATGAGGATTGGCCTTCCTCCAGTCCGGACCTTAATCCTTTGGACTATAAATTTTGGCAGGTCTTAGAGAGGAAGGTCTGTGATACACCCCATAAAAATTTGGAGAGTCTGCAGTCGTCTTTAAAAAACTCAGTCACTGAAATCGACATGAATATGGTGCGTGCTGCGATAGACGACTGGCTGCGGCGCTTAAGGGCCTGTATTAAAAATAAGGGAGGTCATTTCGAATAAGTTTATGCTATTTCTATTCCTTAATTAATGTACTATGAATTGATATATCACTCATTAAAAACTGATCAGTACTTTTGTTTTTATGATTATTTCCATTTATGACAGAACTTTGGGACCGACTACGTATATAAAAGTCTCGTAACAATATTCGTTCCCATACTCCTCCAAAAACGGCTCGACCGAGTCTTATGTAATTTTTATGCATATTCAGTAAGTCTAGATAAGGTGTATCAACCTTTAAAAAATATTATTTATTTTTTAGACATTTTTTTTTGATACAGCATACAAAAATACATACAACCTCTGATTTTCACCCCTCTACGATCAACCCCTATTTTTTATTATTTTTATTAAACTAAAAAAAAAAATTCCTAGAAATAATTTGCCAGTCGATAGCTATCTTGGCAATTAAATTAATATTATTCTACAGAACAGTTTTCACACAGTTATAATAGCGCGCTAACGTATACGAGTATGTTTCCAATTTGTCTATAATATAGTAGCAATAATATTCCACAGAATTATTTACACGCCTATACAAGATGGACCTCTGTCGTTTAAAATATTCTGCAATATCCAATATTTGACGACAGTTCTAACTCTTTGTGTCAACGCACTCAGCCATTCGATTAAACCGAAAATTTTGTATTATTTGATTGGGAATGAACATGTTTTGAACTCTGATGCAATAACAAATATTCATCTTGATCAGGTACTGGAGCTGTTTTAAAAAAATTATTTCGATCCAGATTAAGCCAATAGTCGGTCAGTAGTAGTAATATGAACACGTTCTGTCAATATACGTAAATTATGAATATTACTGTTCCATATGAGACCTTTTTTATTTTTATTGTAAACCTTTAACAAAATTTTGTTCCGTCCGGCATCGAATCGTTACTTAAAACACCACTCTAAGCATGGTTAATTTAGAATATAATTTAATAAGCGCACTCAAGTATTTCCGAAACAATTCGACCTAGGGTCCTTCAAGAAAACAGCGTGCTAATTTTTAAAAGGCCAGCAACGCCCTTGCGAGCTTCTGGCAATGTGAGTGTCTATAAGCGGCGGTATCACATAACATTAGGTGAGCCACATTGGCCCCTGTAATATTAAAAAAAATCAAAATTACAAATATTAAGCACGTGACGGTCCACCTTCAATATTGGTTTAAACAACTGTGTTATGTTAGGAAGGCCTGTCGTTACCCGACAAACAACCAAAAATATTATTTAAATGGTACAAAAACCAAACCACTATAAGTAACAAGATACAAAGAGGAAACTAAGACATTAATGCCTCCATCTGACTGTAGTCTACTGTCTAAGCCCATTAAAAATAATTTATTAGCTTGCTACAGGAAAATTTACATTAACTACGTTACTGATACAAAATATTCATAAAAAATTTGTTATAATGTTTACGATTTTTGACAATTGCCGTTTGAAAAGGTTGTATCTGAATATTTACTGAGTGCAATCTGTTTTAGACTGCCTCAACATACCAGAGGACAATACCGTTTACAATAAAAAACGACGGCTCCGCCACGTTTTTCTTCGAGTGGCAGTACACCTGTAGCGCAGTTAAGAAATATTTACAAGTGAGCGTTGAGCCTAACTCTGGACACGTGAAGCCGGGAGGAGAAGTCGACTGTACGGTGTACTTTACGCTCAAACAAGTCCCGGTGCAAGCTTTTCCTATGACATTATCGGTTAGTTATATACTTTAATATTTCTTATACGAATTATTTTTGTGTTTAATTTAATAGTATATTAATTATGCTGTTAAGTTGTATTAGGTGGTAAATAGTCGTGTTGGTTTGTTATTTGGGGAAATAAAAACATTTAAAATACTGTAATGTATATTGGAAACATTTATAAATATACACGAAAGAAAAATGAAGAAATTTTTCAGCCGGGGTTCGAACCCACAACCTAAAGTTAAGAGATGCACGCGCGGTCACTAACACAGCTGTAGATTACAAATAAGCGTTAAGATCAGAAACGAGAGCATTAAGTGTGACCCCGATACGTCTAAAATGTGATTTTGTACGACATCATAGTTCGCTGTAAGTTTTGTTTCTGAATCTCACCATTAAACATTGCGGCCCAAAAATCATCTCAAAGCAGGCAACGAAGTTAATATTTTTTATAGATATCGGACGGACCAGAATACAGCATATTGCTTCATGCGGAAATATCAAAACCGACATACCACTTTTCATGTATGGACTTTGATTTTGGCAAGTGTATCGTAAACGCTCCGGATGCGACATACAAAAAGAATATAGCCTTCGAAAACGAGGATTCATCACCTATAATGTAACTATAATGTAGTATAAAATATTAAACTTAGGTGTCCTTTAAGGAGTTTCTTTTCAATATCTTATTACGCCTACAAGCTACTTAGTAATTGTCATAATAATATGTTACGCTTAAATGATCTTACCCAGATTTAATGTAAGTGTCTCTACTGTTACAAAGTACACTATCGAAAAACACGTTACCGTTAAAACTTTTTACAACTACATAATGAAAACATTATTAACCAAATACTGACTGCAATTAACTATACTCTGTGGAAAAGACCACAGACAAGTGTCAAAGTTAACACGCATTACTTTTTGTAACGTTTTGCCGCGGCGAAAATTGCGTATTTACATATATTTTAAATGTTAAAAAGAACTTTTGTTACCGTTTTAGTTTAGATTTGAATTTCTCGAACATACCGGAGCTTTTTGTATACTACCAAGAGGAGACACACATAGAACCTGGACGAAGAATGAAGATATCGATATTTTTCCGACCAAAGCAAGTTAAACTATACGAATTCAAACTTCACTTTTGGGTAAACTCCTTGTGCGAAGAAATCGTTACTATTAAAGGAGAAGGTATATACAGTAATTTTAAAAATATTCACGACTTCAAATACCTGTTCATATTATTTACCTGAGTAGCTATTATACTTAAGAGATATTATACTTATCCCATACTAGGTATATCAAAAACTATTAAACCAATTTTGATGGACTGTTCCTAAAGTTATAATATACCTGGAATATATTTAAATCAAAAATATTATTTCGATATGACCTTTACTTTCCGAGAAATTTGAGAATAAACATACATACACTTACGAAACTTAGCACACATGCTTGGAAGTACAATAAGATCATCCTCAAACATTATTATCTGTATTTCAACAATATCAAATGCATGGTAAGTATATATTATAAGACTTATTATAATATACACCACCTTCAGTCATCTTAGTCGGTTAATAAAATTACCACTAAGCGCAGTTACACTTAGCGGTGTAATCGCGCCACGTTAATATTTGATATTCTTGTCGGAACAAAAATAGACAAACAAAAACACTTTACTCATTTAAGTTTATACAATATACATATTTTAGTATTATAACGCTTAGGTTATATAGAGGGCGATGCTTCTAAGGAATGAGATATTTAAAGTATCTTTGTATAATTTAATGAGCCCTTATATTGAAGATAGAAATGATTTTCCATTTTTCAGGAGTTCCTCTTTTATATGATCTGTATGAGGGTTGCCAAAAAAGTTTTGACCTAGGAGCGGTGAAAGTAGGAGACAAAATCGTACGACAAATTGAAGTTATGAATCATAGCAAAGTGTCGATAGATGCCACTTTCATTTTTAAAGATATTTATGGTGTGACTGATGATGATACGAAGTCAGAGGGGACTAGCGTGTGTCTGAGTCCAAGTACCGTCTTACCTCCTAATGCTGAGGGAGAACTATCCAGGTTAAACTTTTTAAATTCCTTGTTATTTATTCCTAGGCTGACCTATGTTAGTTATTTCGACTATGTAAGTGTGTGCTCCTATTTCACCATGTCTACTGCTGATAGAGGACAAATCTTTATTTTAATTTTTTTTATTATTATTATTAATTAACTACACTGACGGACTCATAAACTGCATCAAAGTAAAAAACGACTTTGAAATAAATATTTTAACCAAGTATGCAAACTTTCTACACAGATTTAAATTGAAACGTCTAGATTGGTTCGTTAACTTTAAAACAGCATAGGGTCATATCCTTAAGTTTAAGTTTGTGTACTGGAAATGCCCTTAAAACTTTTTTGAAGAAAAACAGAAATTTAAGAAGATTGGTTTAATAAAAAAATTGGTTTTAACAATAGACACAAGCTTTATGCAAGGGTTTTTAATGTTTTAATAAGGTGTATTACCTCCACGTGCCTTTAATATGGATTCTAATCGGTTCCGCATAGATTTGATTAGGGTTCTTCATCTTGCGGAATATTGTCCCATTCTTCAGAAAGTGCTGTTCTTAGTTGTCCCACTGTCGTAGGCACAGGATTTCTCGCATATACAGATCTTTTTAAACTGTCCCAAAGATGCTCAATGCTATTAAGATCCGGGCTGCGTACTGGCCAATTCAATGTACGTATCCCAACCTCTTCGCAATATTGTCGAACTTTTGTAGCAGCGTGCGGCCGGGCATTATCCTGCATTAAAGTAAAATTTTCGCCTATAAATCCTATGTAAGGCACCACGTGATCTTCTAAGATCTCTGTTATGTAGCGATGTGCAGTCAAACCCCCTCTTCTACCGTTTGTTACCGACGGACCATGTCTATTAACACAAGTTCTGTTCGCTCGTTCATCGATATGCCACCCCAGACCATGCACGAACCGCCTCCAAAAGGAACACGCTCAACGCTGCAACTTTGAGCATATCGCTCCCCACGCCGACGATAGACTCTTCTGCCACCATCTTCACCATATAAATATGTCCTACACTCGTCTGTGAACAATACGGAGGCCCATTGCTCATCTGTCCAATTGAGGTGATCACGCGCAAATCTTAAGCGAGCTTGTCTGTGAGCTACAGTCAACTTTGGACCATTTGCTGGTCTAAACGGGGTGATATGCGCTTCCTTTAACCGTTTTCTTATTGTTCGTGCACTAACGTTTACTTCACGCACTTCATTAAGCTCTGTTTTGATGTTAACTGACGTGAGGAAACGATTAGGGAAGTTGTAACAATAAATCGGTCATCACGACCGGTGGTTGCTCGAGTTCTGCCTGTACCACGTCTCCTTTGTAAGAACCTGTCTCCACAAACCTTCTATATATTCTAGAAACCGTAGACTGGTTTAAATCTAAATTTCTACCAATCGTTCGTTGATTCAAGCCCTCCGCACCAATGCTACAGTTTGAGCAGCTTGTTCGGACGAAGTATCCATATTATGGTTCAGAAACTCTCGATGAGTTATAAAGCTAACCCAACAATTCTGCTGATAACAATAATTCAATTGTCAAAAGAAAAAAAATCAATAAGAATCAAATTTTAAAAACACGCAAATCTGATACTACGAGTAAATTTTTTTTTCCGGCTATATTCATTTGTTTTACTGCAGTTCTATTTTTAAATATTGCTTTTTTTAAGATTAAGGGCCAGTCTCTCCATATTTATATAATTTAATCTAAAATTTGCATACTTATTAAAAAAATCATTTCAAAGTAATCCTGAAGTTTGATGCAGTTTATGAGTCCGTCAGTATATTAATTATTTAAGATGTCATGTGGAACATGGTGTAATGGTTGCAGCTCCTTACAAACATTGTAAAAAAAATTGCAAATAAAAAAAATGGCGCAGAGTTTATTGCCAGTTCTTCTCGTCCGTTCTACGCCCTTGATTTGAGAACTGGCAGTAAATGTAAAATTAGAAGCATTTAATTTGTATTTCTTTATTGACGTTCATAAGTGTACATTGTGTTACCTAAATGAATAAATGATTTTGTATTTGAATTTGAATATCTGATCTATAAATGAAAATAAATCTTTCTATTCAAAGAAAAGAAAGCAGAAGTCCTTTGCTTTCTCTTTGCGTTTAACTCCACGGTCGATGACTAAGGGACCTTACCGCTTACTCTTCCACGTTGCGGGCTTTCCATGCCAATAGGTCGATTCAAAACCTGGTTTGGCCTTTGAAAACTGGCAGTAAATGTAACTTTAGAAGAATAAATGTTTCCTGGCGTTGAATATGAAAAAAATATATATTTTGATTCGATTTGATTAATGAAAAAAGAGAATTATCCATTAAAATTTCATAATTAATTGGCGCTTGAAACATCATTAAACATTAAAATCAGGCTCAATTAAGACTATAAAAATGTAAAATACTATTTCTATTGAGGCAAAAAAGTCTGTGCATGTGTGTGTGACTATATACATTTATTTTCTTTCACAGAGGAAAAATGTTGCAACAATTCAAAGATGAAAAAATACGCGAGCAAATATCTATGGATGTACAAAATGCCCTTAGTTCGCTGAAAGTTATACCGAACAAGTGTACAATAAGGTCACACAGAAAAGTACCGATAAAAATTCAGTTCAAACCCATTGGAATGATTAGCAATCTTAACGTACAGGTAACGTTAGATATTTTATCGAATAACATACTTTTAACATAGAATATCGAAATTAAACATATTTATATATAAGTAATCTTATAGCTCACATATACATATTAAAAAAAAAGAAAACACTTAAACAATTTACAAAGTCAAAAAGGATTACATTGTTAAACAAAATATACGGAACAAAAAACATTTGTCAATTAAGTACATGAAAAATAAAAAATAGTAAACTGCATTTAACCATTGAACAAACTACAACTTAATATTTTAAAGAAAATGGATATTGTTCCTACTGCTAAATAAAATCATAGTTTTCCCGCTTCCTTAAATATTTCCCCTCACCCTCTTTGGTATGGTGGAGTATGTATCATCTATAAATTGATTTGTTATTAGCTAAAACCCGAAACATTGGCGATTTACGCAAATAATAATTCGTGTTCGTACGAGGCACATGAAAAAATTATTGTGAATATCTTGTCGCATATGGTGAAGGGAGTCTTAAAGAATTAAATTTAACAAGAAACTTTTAACAATAAAGTACTATGAAATAATAGTTTATTGCGATATATTAGGCTAGTATTGGTATACTCTATACCAACTGTTTTACAAGAGTTTACCAAGGAGTATTTATTATTACCTACTATAGTAGACAGTGACATATTCCAATATTTACTAATCTATTTTGGGCAAATTTTGGGTCTTGTTGACATTTATTGATTATAAGTAGTTTTAATATAATTAATCTATATAAGTGATAACATATATTGATTTCATATATCAATATATGTTATCACTTTCAGTTGAACATGAAAGTTTTTCACTTCGAGAGGCCGCTAGTGCGTTTGAGTGGCTGCGCAACCGGCATGAGTCTAAGCTTTAGTCAAAATTCTTTACAATTTGGTCGAGTTCGGAAACGGGGTTGCAAGATTCTTAAGGTTATGTTGCAGAATAAAGGTGATTTCGGTGCAAGGTAAGTTAAAGATGAGTGAAATAAATTTTATTTGAAATTTATTATCATATAAATTAATTAATACAACAAATTCAAGTTTTCTTTTTACATTATCTGTATATTTTACAATAGACAATGATGTATATCTATGGTGATAGTTTTTTGGTGGCGCCAGATTCTGGAGCTTAGCGTCGATAAGGTTGACCATTATCATGGCTTTGTGCCATACGCCAGTAGGGATGTGATCATGTGACATTGTGCATAAAAAATCGATTTTTTATTAATCGATTGGTTTTTTAACATGAAAAATCGATAATTAAATAATCGATTTTTATCAAAAAAATAATCGATTTTTTTCCAATTTTTGAAATAATTTCAAAATAAACACCTTTTATATTTTAGTTTTCATGATTTTATTAATTAAAAACAAACAATAGAAATTATAAACACAAATTAAAGTTTTAGAATAATCAAAATTGAAATCTCGACCTAACCTAATCTCGCTTTGATAGATTTTAGGTGAATTTTGATCGATGCTGAGTGTATGCCTTTTCAGTAGCACATTGCAGTATTTTTATTATCTTTTTTTATTGTTTGTAACCTTGTGCTGCTAAATAAATTTATTTTACTTTTAAATTATAATATTTATAGTGTTCAATTCAAACTTTAGTTTTTGTGAAATTAACCCTTTTGTGGTATCACATCTTCAAAGCATCGGATCTATTCAATGTATCGCATTAACATCGATGTATATCGAATATCCCTAATAGTTCGAGGTCCGGGTTATAAAAGACCAGACATTGTGTCGGAGGTGGCAGATAATAAATCGACTATGAGTGATTTTCAATTATATAAATAATCGATTATTTTCAATATTAAAATCGCGCACAAAAATCGATTTTTTCCATAATCGATTATTTTTTTACATCCCAACGCCAAAGCTGTCTTGAATCTTAATATTAAAAATCTTATCTGCGTGAGGCTATTTAAAAAAAAAATCTATATCTTATCTATAGACACTAAAATTTACGATATGCGTAAGATAGAGAAGGCCCAATCTCCTACTAAAAAAACTATAAATGATTAATGAAACATTCTATCTACGGGAAAGAATCCTTGGCGGTACTGAATTATTTTATATGTTTTAATATTAGAATGTTTTGAATTAAAAGGTTTTGGTGGCAGCCACTTAAATCCGATGAGTTTCAAATATCACCGAGCCAAGGAACAATCGCAGCACGCACGAATGTCACATTCACTATTACATTTCGTCCTGTGAAACATAATCCCTTTATTAAAGTATGGGTAAGTTGAGTAAAAGCCGACTTCAAGTTCCAATGTTATTTCTTTTTAATACTCACTACATTGTTACTCTTCCTTATAAATTTGGAAATTAATATAGCCTATGTCAGATAATGCATCGTTCTAATGGTAAAATATCCTAAAATCTATGGGTTGTTTCATTACAAATATATAGTACGAAACTATCCTCTTTATAATTTTACTAGGTCGCCGTTTAGAATTTTTTCGAATCTTCAGAACTTGAATCTGCCACATTTTTCATTTACTCACATTTGGATGAAGCTGCAAAAAGCATATTACTCTATATCCCGTTCACTTCAAATAAAAGGCGATTAATGAATGCGATGAACATAAAGCTGGATTTACCATGATTTGTTTATAAAGAGAATCAAACTATAGAGTAAAGACTCTTTATAATAAAAAAAAATATTCTGATTATAAATATAACAGGCCAGCTGCAATATCGAAAACTATCCGCCTCTCGAATTAGCACTGTACGCAACATGTGTGGATATTGGAAACATTCAGAACAAATCTTTATATCTAGAGTGTCCAGTGAGAGAAGTACAAACCGAATATATTATAGTTACTAACCCGTAAGTATAGTTATAATATAAAATTCCTAATATAATTAAATGACTACAATTACAAAAATTTAATTTACATTATTGAATCTAACAATTTTATACATTTAATTTTCAACAATTAATTGCGAGATACTTGGTGATGTTGTTTCCCTGTTTTTTTTCTAGATGTAAATACTCAGGTAGAATGGACTTCTCTATATCGAATCTTTTAGAATATATTAGTTAATATCTTGCGACGTAAACGAGCCAAGGCTGTACATTTTTCTCACTTAAGTTTTCTTAGTTTTAAAAGCGTAGCGAATTCCTGAATCGTCAGAGTTTTGTCCCGATAGTATAGCCAGACACAGGCAATTTCTTCAGATTTTTATAAGCGTAGCATTTCAACTCATAATAGCATTTAATCATTTAACTTAAATTTATTCCATATAACATACCTTTGTCCCAGGAAACATAGACGATGTATTTTTTGTGACCTAAATATAATTTATTTAGTTCCGACGACATGTGGCTAGTTCTGTCGGAAATCTCGGGCGGGCCGTTTGAGACATTGAAAGAATTTCAAGTGGAACCAAATTCCACCTTCGAAATACCTGTATACTTCAAACCAAAATCCATTGGCAAACATGAGGTTTTATGTTCTATAATTTAGTAGATTTTTTTTAATTTGACCACCATTATTCTAATGAATACAGTTATTTGCGCATCGGTCGATTTTAAATTTGTTGTTACAGTATTAAAAAACTATAATTCAATTTGTTAGACTCACCGATTGTCATATATGGCCTTGGTCTTGTAGAAAACAAATCCATAACTGAGCGTTATTTAAGGCAGTTTTGCCGCGCACCACCACTATGTGGAACCAGCTACCCACTAAAGTATTTCCGAACCAATTCGACTTAGGGTCCTTCAAGAGCGTAACAATTCTTAAAGGCCGGCAAGTTTTTTTTTTTCACGGTGGTGAAAATTTAATTTAATTTTACTAGTTAAAACGCAGAGGATAAGCTGTTTCCCAACCTTTGAAACAACTTGAAACTGGCATAAAGTTAAAACTATTGCCATAAAATTAAACAAAAAAAAAAAGGCCGGCAATGTGAGTGTCCATGGTATCACTTAACATTAGATGAATCTCCTGCCTGTTTGCCCTGCTTTATAAAAAAGGTTTATATTGGTTGATTTAATTGTCAACAGAGTCAAGTTTTATATTCACCATTGGGTGAGAGTGCTCTCTTTGTGACATTAATTGGCGCTGCAATGCACCCTAATCCAAACGGAACGATTAATATCTCAGTGTCTGCAAAAGAATTTCATACTGAGGAACTGTTTGTTTATAACATTACCGAGGTATGCTTTCATCATATTATGTGTAGCTCTAGTTATAGTAAGTAACAGTAGTTTCAGTGTGCAAATTGTGCATACCTAGTCGGCGTAATAAATACCGTGGGACACTGGTTAAGTTACATAGAATTAGATATAATCTAGACTTGTAAGAGAGTAAACGTGCTTTTTTTATTATTTTTTTAATATCGTTAATAAATCTTTATTTAATAAATGTGTTTTTTTAAAACCTCCGGCGGCAATTATAATTATTTTCAAAACAATTCAGAATAGTGACTACTAAAATATACTATAATATGTACTATTTTATATAAGACTTTGTATGACTAAGATGGTAACATAGTATGTCAATGTTCTATTTCTCTAGATTAATATTATCAACGAACATTTTTAATATCAGTATTACTGTGTAGGTACATCACATTATACGAGTATATCAACTTCATTATGAGTACTTCAGTACTCACATTCGTCATTCTTACAGTTTAACTAAATTAGATAAAGTAAATTTAAGAAAAAAACTTCTGGATAGATAATCTTTAATTTTATTTTAATAGATCTGTGTTTGACAATCCGTCGTGTAAATCGATCAATATGAATGAAATTTTGTTTTCACAGTTTCCAGAAGAATACGTGGTATCCTCGGAAATTGTAAAAATAATACCGGACAAATTCGAAGGGCATTATGAAATTAAACACCCCGATACAGTTAAAGTCTGGGGAGAAGCGGCCGCTACGTGTAGGTGGACGATAGTTTGTTTCGAGGAGTGCGAGATACAGGTCAAGGTAAACATTCTGAAAGTACCCACATCATTTGTAGACAATAAAAAGCATTTACACGTTACTTTTAATTCAAACAAAACAACGAATTTTTGAGTCTATCTTTATGTCTTAAAGACTTCTTTAATCGCGGATTTATATATATTTCAACAAGTTGTGCCTGTTATCATTCAAGTTAATTTTGTCATAACGTGGTTTTATATAGCCTATACCTAGCCTTCTTTTTGTTATAGATCAGTGGACAAACGAGTCGAAAGTAATACCGGCCCTTAGCCCATGGACACTCTCAATGCCAAAGGGCTCGCGAGTGTGTTGCCGGCCTTTTAAGAATTGGGAGGATTATTTATAATCCAATTCAAATGTATTTTATCAGAAAAATTAGCGTGATTAACCAAAACTCTTCAAATTCATATTATCGTATAGATTAAATAAGAGCACTGTTTTTAGGTAATCTTCGTAAACGTGAAGACACGCGAATACCAATTCTACAATATTATAGTAACCATAAACCCAAGTAAAATCGTGGATACTCTCACTTTTGTATCCCGCGCCCGGGAGTCAGCTCAAATGGAGATTTCAGTGAAGAACCCACTGTCTACGGACGCAGAGTTTCAGATACGATCTGATAAAATAAACTGTACTGACAAATTGATTGTGCCCAAAAATTCTTCGGTATGGAATTTTATATTCAATAAAAATAGATAGTCCTGTGTGGCTACAGCCCTTTCGTTTTATATGCTGATCAGCTTTCTATACAACTTATAACTTTTTGTCTCTCACATTAACCCTACGAGAATGTTACTCTACATAGAAAAATAATTTTTTTGAACTGAAATTTTACTAACATCGTAAATGTAGGGAGTATGAGTGCCTTCTACCTCTTCTTCTTCCTTCAAGAAGGCAGAAGAATTTTTATTGGTAGCTCTTCTTAAGGCGGCCATTCACGGGCGATCCATATGGTTTTTGCGTCACGGGCTCGATACTCGACGTCGCGCCGAGCCAAATTCATGCCATTCACGAACGCGCCAGCGACCCGTTGCCTTTGATCATTTTGAGTGTAGGCGTCGATTGCACCGGACGTTTTCATAATGAACTTCGATTCACAAAATGAGTTTTATTCATCTACCATATCGATTTGTCTAGTTTAAAAAAAAAGAAAGTGGTGTAAGGATTGATTGCTGAAAAGATCGCAACTCACTCACAAAAATTTAATGAAGGAGTTGACTTTTTTTTCTAAACTTATAAATAAATTGAATAACAAAGTCACAGTTTGAACTCATTGCGAAAACGATTTATATTAACAATGCGTCACGTGCTATGGCTAAACGCAAACTAAAATCAAAATGGCGTGTTTGGCTCGCGAGTTACACCACTCACGAGCGAGCAATTCAATCGCGCCGAGCCAATGCATTTGGACCGACAGTCTTTTCACATTCATGGACGAATTATGGATCGACAGCGTGCCAAATGGATCGATGGATCACCCGTGAATGGCCGCCATTAGTAAGCGGTCTTTGAAAGAAAAATAAAAACACCCTAAGTTAAATCTGTTCTGAAGAAGTTCCCTAAGAAAACGTTTAGTTATTACCATAAGCATTTACGTACAACCAACATTTGCAGCTACAAATATAATATAAAATTTTTCTAAGCAAATAATGTATTTTGTAGACTGTTCTTTTGATGACGTACTCGCCTTTAGTAGTGGGAGAGTCTGAAGACTTTTTAGAAGTTAGCAACAATTTGGTTGGTTCATATATTTATGGAGTCGTGTTGAAATGTCTGCCTGCAAAGGAAAAGTGTTTGGAATTTTCCACACCTTTAGGCACTTCGATACCGTTACGTTTGAGGGTACAAAATAAAACTGATGCGAAAACTGAATTTGTTGCAACGGTGGGTAATGTATACCAGCTAAATTAATTATTTCATTGGTAAATGTATAATGCACAGAATTGGTTAAGAAAAACTAATGAAATACCCTATTTTATCTTAGTTCTACGTCTATACTTAAATTTACGGTCGTCACTCAAACTTAAATCTGCGTTCTAGAGCAGTCGAATATTTTTTTATATTATAACATATTTGACAGAGCTTACGTGGAGTTTGAGACTTGAGATATCTTTTAGAATACTGACCTTCTTAGGAGAAAAATTTCAATCAATAGCAATCATTGCTTTATTAGGTCCCTTTACCCATTAATTGGTACGCAGATTTATTTCGGCGTTTCATTTATAGATCGGTTGTCAATCTGATACAGCTGGAAGTTAATTATATTGTTTCACCGGGAATTGAACCCACCTTTACAATTCGCTAACAACTTAGTCACAGACCTATTAGGTACTAGCTAGATGACTCATGGACTTTGCACCATTTCGTTCACGCAAGTGTTAAAATTCAAGGAATTTCGGTTAAATTTTCTGAAGAAAAAGTTTATTTTTTTAACGGATATTTCAATTGCTAACGTGTTTGATGAGAAACAGACAGAAATATATCCTGCAGTAATTAATTTGTATAAGTATAGGTGTCCCATCCATCAATATTGCTGGAGCGAGAGTATACATTGTCTGCGTTTGAGAAGGGAAAGTTCAAAGCTATCTTCGAACCGACGGAGATGGGCGTTCAACATTGTAAAGTGTCTTTCAATTCTGCCGTCGCTGGGGAATTCGTGTTAGTTTAACAAATATATTCACTTTAACAGTTTAAGAGACTTTATATTATTCATTTAATACACTTTGTTACATAAATAGTCCATATACGTACTAATGAAATAGAATTTTCTACTTCTGACTTTTTTCATGAAACGCTCTTGTCCTCTTGAAACAAGGCAACATGCCATTATATTATTCACACTTCGTTACTTTAAAAATACAATCTAATGCGGTAATACCGTAGATAAAAGAATTTTTTAAATATTTTTTTATTAATTTTCTGAACCACTTGGATTTCTTTCTGGATCACCTGATATCGGCTTGCCGTTAACTTGTGGGGCACCTGTATTTCAATGTTAATTAAAACATACATATGTAATATTCAAAGTTAAGTCCGATACATTAATTCTCTTATATAATACAACAGGTTTAAGATAAAAGGAACCGCCACTACCCCTAAGCCTCAAGGCCCGTTTGAGATTAAGGCTGGCGGATTCGCGATGATCTCATTCAAGAATGTATTTCAAGACCATCGGATGTTCAAAATAAATGTCGATAGAGAAGACTTTTATGTTAAAACGTTGTATGAACCTATAAAGTCTAAAAAGGTATGAATAAAAAAAAACATTTCATTTTAATGCGCCATCTATTGTGTCAAAAAGTTAATCTAAGCCATTCAGGGACGGATTTGGTGCTAAATTTTATTAGACAGTTTTGATATTATGTACATATAAAAATTAACTATTAATTGATCCATTTAAGGCTATGTTCAGATGGCAAAAATTTGACGCGCGTTTTCAAATCGCGCGACTAGACATTGTGGTATTTTCATACAACTGTTCACATGAGCGCGCGTTAACGCGGCGCTTAGAGAAAGGGTACGTTCCGATGACAAGCGCTCAACGCGTCTTTTGATAACGCGCGTTTACAACTACATAACAACTTATTCAGGCCGTACACATGCTGACGCGCGTTTCATTAATACGCGCGTTGAACGATGCGCTAGCGCTCGACTGTTGTTTTCCATACTTCCGAGTTCCGTTCAGTTGAGCGCGCGCTTTCGACGCGGATGGACGTATTTTAGGGTTCATCGGGTCATCCAGATATCGTCCGAAATGGAAACCGAAGCTTTTAACACGGAATTATTTATACCAATTTACGAACGAAATAGAGAATCGTCCGAATTGCCTTAATTTAGGATACAAGATTATGTACTGGCTTTCAGTCAGCCTGCTTGACAAAATTGGGTGGACCCAATATCTCCGTCTTCAACCGTCGGTATAATATCACCGTTAAAACTGTTTCTACGTCCATCTTCGACAAATTAATAACTCGACTGACTGAACCATGGTTGTCGCGGCAACGCGCGTTCAACGCCTGGCAAGCGCGTGTCATGTGAACACTATACAAAAATTTTGCGCGCTTTGATATTAATGTAATGCCCGTTTGCTGTTCAGTTGAGCGCGCGCTTTCATCGCGATCGCATGTAATTTTGTTAATTTTCGTAATTATATTTTGTTTTCGCATTTAAAATGAGTGAAATTTAAGATATTGACATCGACTTACTAATCGATGAAGTAGAAAAAAGGCCAGCAATTTAGGTTCGGAATCCTATAAAAACTAAATTTTGAAACGACGTGCTTGGGAAGAATTTTCTACGTTCTACCGAACTCGACTGACGAGTACTCTCGCAACGCGCGTTACATGTGAACACAGCCTTAATCATTAGAACTGTTAGGCTAAGTTCAGATGACCGCGCGTAGCCGCGCGTCGCCACGCGGTTGGAGCATTCACATGACGGTATATGTACGCGCGCCAGTGTGGCTTCAACATTGATTGACAATGGACGTGGAGGAGGCAATTTGCTTATGGATTTTATATAGAAGACTGAGACGTCGCAGAAGAAGACAAAGACGATACTGGGTGCATCCAATTTTAAGTGACAGACTTTCTTCCAGCCTGTTTGTCACTTTGTATCCCGACTTGAGGTTACACGAAGATAATTTTTTAACTATTTTCGGATGACAGTTTTTCCTCCTTCCTTTGATTTTTTATACGATTCTATTGAAAATGATTTAAAATCCAGTGAAGATGCTATAAGATATTGCATATCACCAAATACTTAATACCATATCTTCGGTACTCATTTTGCATCGATCTATGTGTCTTTCCGTCTCAAGCCGCGCGGATCAACTGAACAGGTCGATACAGGTTTGCAAAACTTGTGCCGCGCGCGGCCGCGTGGAAGCGCGCGGTTCAAGATCTTGCGCGCGGGTCGGAGCGCGCCGCGCGTTGGCGTGCGGTACCGCGCGGTAATGTAGACGATAATTACCGTTTATATTGATCTTGTACCGCGCGGCCATATGAACAAAGCCTTAAACTACTAATTACATTTGACTCCACAAGACCTAAGACAATATTTTTTTTGTTTTAATATATTCTGTGCTCATATTTTTTTCTAATACACGCATTTCAGGATATAAAGTTTCCCGTATATTTGAATGAACATATTGTCTCTGGCGAATACCCAACCGGTTGTCTAACCATAGAGACGTACGAACCAGCCGATCCGAAGGTGCAGTGGACATTCTTCCTTCAAGGAGTCCCGTGATTTGATAATATTATTAAATATTTTTTATTGCAAATGTATTTTATTAACTCGAGTATTACAGGGAATTATTAGTAATAGAAGGCAGAGTTTTTTATCGCGTCACCCTCGATTATATTCCGTCACAATCATTTATACTTTATTCAATCTCATTTTACACACGACAGATAAAAATCAATTGGTATAATTTTGACGACATATAGGCAAGTATCTGTGTACCTTGTATGCTAAGATAAGTTTTAACTCACTGTACACACAATATGTAGGGGCACCTCATCTTATACACAATTTGCATCATAAGTAGAAGTGAATTAATGACATAAAGTGAGGCAATGATAAATTGATAACCCAAAAATGCAAGAGGCAAACGAGCAGGCGGGCCACGTTGAATATAGTGTTACGCTCTTTTCTTGAAGGCCCCTAAGTCGTTTCGGTTTGGAAATACCACTTCTGGTAGCTAGTTCCACAAAGAGGTGGTCCGCGGCAGAAAATGCCTCAAAAAGCGCTGTTGTGAAACGCCAGGCGTCGAGGTGGAAATTATGGAATTTACATTCTGTCTCGACGTCTGATCATGGAAATAAAATTGAGGTAAACCCGAACAATTCTACAGAGCACTTACCATGATAAATTTGGTAAATGATGCCGATGGAACCAACATTTTTAAGCAAAGCCAAAGGATCAAACCGATCGGACGATCTGCAAAATACTTTTTTGTCTAACCCAACTTTGCCCAATTAATAACAATGCTATGTTACTGTGCAGGAGTAGAACCATAGATAACAAGCTGCGTAGTACGTGCGGAAAGATAATCGGCGTGGCTTATATGCGAAACTAATATTAGTTTTATTTACTACGTCTATTTTTATTTATTCACAAAATTATATACGTTGATTTGTTCCATATTCATAATGACGTAACAGTGTTATCAACAATAAAAAAGGTAATTTAGCACTGTTGCGATCTCATATAGTCCTCTCTAAATAGACTCTACTGATTAGTTTGCAAAAGGAGCTGTTGGAATAAAAAAAAGCGCATTCAGTGCATACTGATTTATTACCAGTCATTAACACTTAGATCTTGTACAACATCCCCTTTATCTTGTACGTTGACTGGCACATCCTTTGCCTTTTTCGGTTTTTTAACCTTTTTCTTTACATTTTTAGGTTTTGACGTTTCTTCCTCTATCTCAAGGTTTTCATCTTCACTATCCGAGGGGAAGAGAACAAGCGGACCTTTCGGTTCCGGTTTTTCCTCCGAATCGGGTATTTTTGGCCTCTTGATCATAGGCATCTCTCCAGCAATTTCATCATTCTTAGTCACTCTCTTCCTTTTCTGTATCTTGTTTATTTTGCTCCAGTTTTCGTAGAATGCGATAAGGGGTGTCCCCTTCGCTTTAATGCTTGCTTCCCAGGCGGCAACCATTTTTCCTTCACTTAATGCAAAGCTAATTTTGGCTCGTTCCCGCTCGATAAATTTGGAGTTCTCTTCTATTTTTTCTAATAACTGTCTTATTTTCTTTGTATAATTTGCAACAGAACATGACTTGAGGAATTGTTTTATCTGAAATAAATGCAACATATTTTAAATAATGAAATATGATATTTAAATAAAGGAAACGTTTGTAATGCTCAAAAGTTTTTTTATGATATTTAAGGTTCACACATAGGCCCTGCTTATTCCAACAAAAATGATAAAAATGCTCCAATTGGAGTAATTCCCTATGGCAAATGGCTGTGATTTTTTATCTTTTTTAGTTTATATGCCCTTAGATCGTACCCTTAGTAGAACTTTGCAAAAGTTTTCTCGACGTATTTGTATACGTCGACAGCTCAAACGCATGGATTTATACACAAAATATGTAAAGTTTACTACACGATTTTTTTTTAAACGATATGTTCTTTCTTCCGTTTAGTTTTAAAAAAGCCAACGAAGCGCAGCTTAACAATGACTTCAAAAAAAACCGAAGGAGGTTATCTATTCAAAATATTTTTTTTTCTAGAAAGTAAGACCTATACACCTGTATTATAATATAATTATACAGGTAATAATATTAGTATTACATATTTAATTAAAATTTACAGATTACTAAACAATTCATAACAGATAATATTATTATGAAGTCTGTTAACAATTTTTTTTTGAGAGAATACGTGTATGGTGCGGGTGTGTATTTGTGTGTGTGTAGCATAATTATACCTGTAATATAGCCAATAAAGTGATATCCGGAAAGGCAATACTATGCGACTGGTTGGCCGTATATTCCAACAGAAGACCATACACTCTATCAATCGCCGAATCTTTGAAACCATTCTCGGCTAACTGAGACTTTGCCAAACGGAGAACGCAAGAAAAGTCCAGTGGCTTCATTGACACTTTTTTGTGTTTTTTGTTAAAGTCATACGAGGTTAACACCTGCAAACGATTTCGATTAAATGATAATAATTTAACAAAATTCTTTAAATACTTGTCAAAAATGACTTAGGCCTACATACAATATATTATATACTGAACAGAGTTCATATATTGGTATACGTTATTTAAACAAATGGAAAAATTTTCATTGAACATTGGAACCTAATATGACATTTAGTTTCTAAGAAGTTGGTGGACATTCATTCACTTAGCATTATAGTGGTTAGTCATCACACCCAAATATTATCCAATTCCAACAATATCACATACATGTCAAAGTAATATATTTTTTTATGTCAGTTAAATAGTAAAATAAAATATAGTTATAGTTGGCAGTACAGTATTTTTAAGGTATCTGCGACAATGATGTTAATTCAAATTCTAGGAAAAGAAATAATTTAAAAGCACTGGATATTAACAAACGTAATATATATCTTAATTATTTTGGGAAAAAGTATAATACCAAATTAATATTGTAAGAAAAACCAAGTTCTTGGTTTAATTATGTTTAAACCTGGGGATCCTGGGTTTGATTTTTGTGAGATCTTCTTTTGAAAGGCAAATGTAAGATTCGGTAAATTTTCCATAAACAGACAATAATTTTTAACTGTGATAGATAATAAAAAAATAATATTAATAATAAGTACTAATAAATTTGTTATTTTTATATGAATTAATACTCTTACCTCTGCTAGATAGGGTAGAATAGGAATGAAAGTATTAGTGTCTTTAGACACATTGATCAGAATCTCAGCACAGTGGAACCTCAATGGATAGTACTGATGAGTGGGTACCAATTTAATGGTATTTGTTATGACCATCACCAACGGGTACAATAATGACTGCAGTTGAGGCTTATTTGACGTAGCTCCTATCAAATCAGCCCACAAATGTAGTGAATTAATGAACTGCCAATTATAAACAGCTTGTCGATTCTCCACTTTCTGTACCACTATAGCATTTCTCAAATGGATTGCCAATTGCCTGATGTAAAGGAAAACATATTGGTAGGATACATTCAGGTCCAATGCAAACATTTCCACAAGTGATCTCCTCATAAAATTGATTCCTGGCCATGTAGAGGGACTCACAAATTTTGAATTCTTCACATATGTCATGTACATCGCTTTTAAAACCAAATCCAGTAATGATGTTTGTTGGTTCCTCGTAATTCTAAGTATACTCAAAAATGCTAGCACTCGGACAGTTTCTTCGCCAGTTGACCATAATGATATAAGCTTCTTCAAAGCCATTTTTGATACCCTTGTAAAGCAGGCAACAAAAACTGACATCTGATGCAGATGCTTTAACATAACAGTCAATATGTTCTCTGAGCTGACTCCGCCAAGGAGTTTGAGTAAATCCTTAAGATATGCCACTAAGGGCCCTTTCAGTTTCGAAAAGTTTTTGCATTTCTGAGGATCTTTACCAGACTGTTCCATTCCTAAATAGCTTTTTAGGGCTGAAGGTAAATACAGCACACACATTTGAATAACAGCGTTGAAGACAGATGAACCTAAAATAAAATAAAAAAATTATTGCATACATTATCGCTGATACTTTGCTTATATAACTAGAACTCTCAAATTCTTCATCGTTTTCTCAAATCGTTTTTTTTTTGAGGTGCTCATCAGATATAAGGCTAGAGTAAGTAAAAATGATTTAAAGTTCACTTTATGATTTTTTATTGCATAATCCGTTCAGTAGTTACATTGATCACTTAACAAAAAAAATATTTTAAATATTTGCATAAATATGATGGGAAAAAATATACAACCTTCAACTTTAAACTCTCCAGTTGAGGTACCATCTACACTGGTTGCTCGTAGCATTGCTGCATTAAATACTTTAATTACAGTCACAATTGTAGTTCTTTTTACTTTGCCTTCAGTTTGTAGTTTATTTTGCCATTGTGCAACCATTTTAAGTGTAACTTTACCTCGCGCAGATTTAGTAGTTTCATCCTGAAACACAAGAGGATGAAATGTAGAAGAAAGATAAAATCCAATCACCACAATGTTAAGACAATATGTGATTAGCCCACTACTTGGTTTATTGATATATATCTAATAAAAAGTTGCAGAAAAGTTGGGAATTACCTCAAAATCACTTTCATCACTGTCCCCAGTAAGAGGTCCAGGTAAATGCACTTTTTCATCTTCATCCTCATCGCCTTTCTCTGAATCATCATCGCCCGACTCTACGTCAAAGTTTAAGAGATTTTCGTCATTTTCTTCAAGAAAGTTGTAAAAGTCTGGGTCTGTTTTCTTTAATTTATCCAGAGATTCTTTATGTTTTTCTGGGTTCAGCTCTTCTTCGGAATCAACATCTACAAATTTAAAATGTAATTGCATTTAGTTAGCATTGGACTGCATTTTTAAATATTAGTAGAAATAAGTAAGTATGGGAAGCACATAACCTGATTCATTTGTCGGCATCTCAACTTTTTTACTTTTCTTCATATTAATTTAAATTAAGAATATCTTAAGTCTGACACTGGATTTGATAACAAGTTTAATATAAAACGTAACTATTTTGTAAATAGCATTTAATTCATATTACTTTACACACAATCCCAAGTAGGAACTAGGAACTAGTAATTACGATAACCATGTGGTTTTGACATTGATAGTAGAGTCAAGAGTGCTGTGATTTGTCATTAATGATCCTAAATTACTTCAATTGTCAACATTCTTGACAATTGTCAACAGTCAATTTTGCAATTGACATTTCGAAGACCTTCTAGAAAATAGCAAACAATTATCAACAAACGAAAAAAACTAGCAGCACGCACGAATAGTAATAAATCCAGACTGCAAAAAATTATTGTTTACGAAATCCAGTTTTTAAATTTATTGTCACTGCTACTAACATCCCTAATTCTTTTATAATTGCGTCACACTGTAGTGTGTGTTCATCAGTCTTACGTTAAAATTTCCGTCACTCATCAGTGTAATAGGCAACTTTTGACCACCGGTAAGTTAAATTGTTTATATAACACAAGTTTTTTAGGACCAAGAATCAAGTTGATAAAGGCTACCTTCAAAACATATTGAGAGTTTTACTTTAAGCAAAATAATTTCATGAATCCTTTTCAGGTTGCATCATGTTGTCACGATTGTGCGTGTCTCGCTCTACTTTTACGGTTACCCAAACTTTAAAATCTCCTGTGCCACAAAAGTTTGTTCCAAGGAATTATATTGTTAGGAACTATGCTCGAGAACCGAGATCTCGCCTTGCCACACGCACTCAACCTACTATGTGGGAAAGGTTAATGGCACCAGCTGGGCCTAATGGTTAGTGTTAATAAAACGAATGTGGTAGTTCTTAAACAATGCGTCAGTCAGTCATGTAAACCAAATTATCTAATTCAATTTTGAGTCTTAGTAATAATTATTATGTTAAAGCTGTGTAGCCCATGTGTCATACATATCAATATATTGATTACATTTGTATGTATCATCCACAAAAAGCTTAAAAACATGAGGTTTATGTGTGTCTGAATTTAGCTTTCAGTTTGGGAAAAGGAGCTTTAGCTGGAGCATCTGCAGCTGGTCTTGTAGCTCTCTGTTATTATGGCTCTGGTGTCAAACCAGGAACTCTACAAGAAGCACAGTAAGTATAAAATGTATAAAAATGTAAACAAATATTTGCTGATTATACAAATCTTTATCTGAAAATACATCATTTTCTTGACATTATTAAATGCCATGTAAATCAAGATCATTTGATTATTTATCCTAACACATAACAAACACATTTTAATATACAAAATTTGCATCTGCCCCATTTCTGTTATTAAGTTTTGTAGCATTATCATTGGATTGAAAGTTGAGATATTGAGTTGTCATCTGTATGTCAATAACATTGCATTTTACATATATAAATGATAGTTTGCTGTAAACCTTGTCTCAATCTTATTTTAAGATTTTGCTACTAAAAGTACATAAACAAATTGTCCATACCACAAAGCACACATTGTATTGTATTAAGTAAAGGTTGAAAAAACTTATTTAATGGGATAGACCGATAGGATAAGGGTAACTTAGAATTAAGTGGTTGACTCTTCCTATGGACACCGGCAATGCAAAGAGGGTCAAGGGTGTATTGCCAGCCTGTAAGAGAATTTTATTTTAAGAAATTTAGTTGTTTTCTTGAAGGCCCCTAAGTAATATAGCTCTACTGGTAGCTAGTGATGTGCGGTAGAAAGTGCCGTAAAAATGTGTTATGTTTATTAAATAACAGAATAATGTTTTTTTTTTTTCAGTCTCTGGCCTCAATATGTAAAGGACAGAATCAAGGCCACATATGGATACATTGCTGGATCAATCCTTTTGACAGCTGGTAGTGCTATAACAGTTTTCAGAACACCTGCTCTATTAAATCTCGTTGCACGTAATGGGTGGATGGTAAATAAATAGACGATTATTTTATTAAGAAAGCTTTTATATTTTAGTTAAAGGTCTGATTAGGGATAATAAAAAACTTGTCCATTACAAGGAATAATAAATACATTTACTTTTCACAGTTTACAAAATGTTTTGTGCATTTAAGCTGAAACTTAAACCTTTAGAATTATTGCAGTTTCAGTCAAACTTTAAATAGGTATTTTTGTATGTGTGTGAGTTTGTTGTTAAACAGAATTTTATTAATCTTGGAATTCATCATGTCTCCAGCACTGCTAACTCAATTAAAATGGTTGTAAATTACTTTTTTTTTGCAGTCAATTATTGCAACAATGGCATTAATGATTGGGTCTGGCATGGTGGTTCGTGGAATGGAGTATAAGCCAGGATTTGGTGGTAAACAAATTGCCTGGATGGTCCATACAGGAATTATGGGTGCAGTCATCGCTCCAATGTGCTTCCTTGGCGGACCAGTGTTGATGCGAGCAGCTTGGTATGTATTTATGAATCTTTTATTAAAATTTTTAAATTAAACACAAAAAAATCTAATTTTATATCTCATGATCTCATCATGAATCATCTCAACCATTCTCGAATCTACCCGAACACACACAAAAATTCATTAAAACGGGTCAGTTGTTTAGTAGGAAGAGTTTAATTACAAACACACGCACAGAAGATATATATATAGATTGTTCTAATGCTACCGAAATATTAACGAAAATTAACTAAAAAACGAATGAAAACGATTGCGATCCTTTTCATTAGTTAATTATATTTTAATCTAAATTTTATTTTTATTTTCCTCATAAATATATATAATAATCTCTTGGAATACATTGCGATTCCATTGGAATATATTTACGAACACTGAAACTACTATTTTGTTATCTAATATATAAAATTCTCGTGTCGCGGTGTTTGTAGTTAAACTCCTCCGAAACGGCTTGACCGATTCTCATGAAATTTTGTGTGCATATTGGGTATGTCTGAGAATCGGACATCTATTTTTCATCCCCTTAAATGTTAAGGGTAGTCCGCCCCTAAAATTTTTTTTTTAATATTTAGATAAAAAAAAATTTATGATACAGCATCAAAAAATACATACAACCCCTAATTTTCTCTACGATCAACCCGCATTTTTTATTTTAAATTATATACATGGCAAAACGAAGTTTGCCAGGTCAGCTAGCATTAATATAAATCTTGACTTTAGGTACACAGCCGGTGTAGTGGGCGGTTTGAGTACGATTGCGGTGTGCGCGCCCTCTGGTGAATTCTTGAACATGAGAGCTCCACTGGCCATGGGCCTTGGGGCAGTATTCGCAGCCTCCCTCGCGAGCATGTTCTTGCCACCCACCACTGCGCTTGGAGCAGGTATTGTATTTTTGTCCAACTTAAAAAGTTTATATTGTTAGAATTTGATATTTAAGTACGATTTATATCGTTAGTGTATGTATGTTTCTCCACACATTTCTCTTAAATTAATGTGACTTACGCTGAGATGCATCCAAGGGCCCAAGTTTAATCAAATTTGGTTGAGTAGTTTTTGAGATATAGACATTTATAATAAGGTGCCTTGGTAAATGATGTTGACTTTCATTAAAAGTTTAAGTTTTTTATTAACATTTATTTAGATACTATTGTGGAAAAAAAATACTTATATATTATAATTTATAATGCTTGAAGCATTGTAATACTTTTAATTTTTCTGTTTTTTTATGTAGGTATTATTATGTATCTGTTAACAATGAAAAACATTTTATTTTCAGGTCTATACTCTCTTAGCCTCTATGGTGGATTAATCGTTTTTGGAGGTTTCTTGTTGTATGACACTCAGGCGATCATTAAGCGAGCTGAAATGCACCCAATGTATGGATTCCAGCCATATGACCCGATCAACTCGTGAGTATTTTTTTATTATCTCTGTACTAAAAATATTTTTTATTGTATTGATTATTTTATTAAGATTTTTGAGACAATAGGGCCGATGATAATTAATTTTTATCACACTAAAAATATGAAAGTTTTTGTTACATTCGGTAAAATACGATTTTTTATAAATTTTAATTCGTTCCGCACCAATAAAGTCGGAAGCTACTGAATTTATTTTAGAATTTTTTCGTATGATAATATTGGATGACTGGAGTACTCAGCGTTTAGTATGTTTAGTTTTTTTAAACCCCAATTCATTCAAAGTTTTATTAGTATGCCGTTTTAAAAATTTACCCTCGGTACATAGTACGGCATTCTAATCCATTAATAACTGTGCTTAGGGATGTGAAAAAATAATCGATTAAAAGTAAAAATCTATTTTTTTACGCGATTTTTATATTTAAAATAATCGATTATTTTTATAATTGAAAATCAATCATAATCGATTTTTTATCTGCCGACATTATGTCTGGTCTTTTATAACCCGGACCTCGAACTATTAGGGATATTCGATACACAACGATGTTTACAATGCGATACATTGAATCCGATTCTTTGAAGATGTATTGATATACTCGATGCATTGATGTTTTTTTTGTAAAACATCAAAAGGATGATAAAAGCAGTTAATTTTACAAAAACTCAAGTTTGAATGGAACACTATAATTTAAAAGTAAAATAAATTTATTCAGCAGCACAAGAGTACATACAATTAAAAAGACAACAAAAATACTGCAATGTGCTACTGAAAAGGAATACACTCAGCATTTATCAAAATCTATCAAAACGAGATTAAGTTAATTTCGATTTTGATTATTCTTAAACATTAATTTGTGTTTATAATTTCTATTGTTTATTTTTAATTTAAAAAACCATGAAAAATAAAATATTTAGGGTGTTTATTTTGAAATTAATTCAAAAATTAGAAAAAAATCGATTAATAAAAAAAATCGATTATTTTTTTATGAAAAATCGATTATTCGATTATTCATGCTAAAAAAATAATCGATTAATAAAAAATCGTTTTTTTTTAATGCAGAATGTCACATCCCTAAGTCTGTGCTTTTATAGTAACGTAAATAAAATTAGGCCCCACTTTATTTTGTACCTGTTAATTATAATTTAAAACAATTTATTTACAGAGCAATATCGGTATATTTGGATATCCTGAATATCTTCATGCGCATCGCGATGATCCTGTCTGGCGCTGGCGGCAACAAGAAGAAGTAGAATATTATCGTTAAGGCTTTAAACTTCTATAACTTGTATTATGCGTTTTAGAGTCAAAAAGAAATGTGATATGTAAAATATGCTAAGTTTTATTTAAGTAGTTTATGGTTGATCATAAATTAAAGAGTAATGAAGACAATTGGTGTTTTATTTTTTGTTCTAAGATTGACAATGCTTGTAGTTATTATTTTAATACTATACTTGACGACATTCGTGCAGACTAAATAAGATAATAGTTTACTAATAGCAAATCAATGACGTTTCATAATGCGTGTTAGAAAGGTTGATATTATTTAGTAAAACATCCTCGTATTGTCCAAGTGTTTCTTTAAACTCGGGCGTCTTATTGGTGAAGATTAAGGGTCTGTTTCACAATGTACGGATAAGTTCCAAATTAGCTATTTATTGGTAGGATAAACACTATTGTTGAGTTTCACGACTGTCAGATAGCGCTAATCGTCACGTAAAGTCCATCTTAAGTTATGAGTCCGATGAATGTCAAATAGCACAATTTATCTTCCAAATAATTTATGTGTTGCATAGCTATTTGGTACTTTATCCATACATTGTTAAACAGACTCTTAGACTTCAAGTGACGTCCATGAGCGAATAAATGAAATCCAAATGTTTAAAAATTTCACTTATCTCTAAACGTTTACTAATGAACGAAGTGGCAATTTTCTGCTCTTACGAAAAATAAATTTCTAGTCGTTAGATATTAATTTAATTTTACCGTAACTGTATTGTACTAAGGTAAAAAATTATATATTATAAAAAATGAGAGTATGCACAATTAATAGTTTTACAATGAAAAAATATGGGTTATAATTAATATCTTTATTAAACATAATATAATACTTGCACAATAATAAAAATAACACCAATAAGCTAGTATACTTGTCAAAAATAATTTTCATCAAAATAAAAACACATTTAAATTTTACACTCTTGCTGTATTGGCGAGCTTAGTTAGTCTATAGATAGTCAACAACCGAAAAAGTTATAAAGTCATGTTATCTACGAAAATGTTCTATAATATAATATATTAAATTACGTTGAAGAATATCGGCGGCCTACTCTTGAATATATTTGTCGATTTTTTTTAAATTTATGATTAATTCAAAAATAAATTAATTTTACTATAAATACATACTTTTTTTTGGTTTCTCCTTTAAACCGTTTCCGATAAGCTATTCTTAATGACAGTAACTACACGTGGGGTGGCACTTTTTCCCTTCAACGCCGCACTTACACCCGCCACTGGTGTCTCCCCGCCCACCTGGACCCCATCTTCTTCCTTTTGTGACCCAACAAATTTCCGTCTTACACGCGGAACATTTAATCCAATCACATCCCCATTTTTTAGTGATAATAGCTTGGCATTCTGGGCATCGTAATGCTTCCCCTCGAGATATTAAAGAATCGAGCAACGCTTGTGTCCCTTCGTCTGTACTATCTGCAGTTACTTCACGCAATTTCTTTTGATATTGTTCGCAGGTTTCACCATCATGCAAGGCCTATAATAGTTTTATAGATTTAATATAAGCACAAACTTTAAAAAAAACCTTAATTCTTATAAACTGTTTGAAGAATTAAATTAAATTATATATTTTATAGTCTATAATTTACTATAATAATTCAAATTTTAAAGGGCACCTATACGTTGAAAAAAAATATTAAATTGTCTTTGTGTACAAAATTAGCTCAATTACGTAGGTACACGTTTTATTCAATGCGTGCAGCCAGGAAGCAAAAGTTCCGTTTTGCGTCTCTAGAGTATCTAAATAAATAATTTACAACCTCTAGGGGGTTATGAGCCTTTAGTGCATTGATTTCTCTAGATAAAAATAAATGATACTTGGTTGTATCTTACCTGACACGGTATACAATTTTTCTTTTTACAAACAGGGCAAGGAAATACTCTGACTCCGGGTTCACAAAATGCCCAACCTAAGCAATCTGGTGTTCGGCAATGAAAGTTATTACGTGTTCCACTTTCAGCTACAGCTAAACCTCGAGCTAACCATTTGTCGTAATCCTCTGCTGATAGTAAAGCTCGAATTTCTCTGTCTTGTATAACTCCAGGACAACCTACAGCCGGGCAAGATATTATTGGCTCTTCACAATGTCGCACTGCATCCGATAGACATTCCCTACAAAAAGTATCAAGACAATCACGGAGAACTGCTCCGTCCCCGACAGCACATTCTTCAAGACATACTCCACATTCGAAGTTTTCAGCATTTAATATAAGTGCCTGTTGCTCCAACTTTATTAATTCCGTGTAAAACTCTCCGAACTTTAGTAAACTTGAAGCCTCTATTTTTGATGCTTTGTTTTCGTCTGAAAATATGATTAGATATTAATCCATTTTTTTTAAATAATAATAAAAAACACTAGTAGGTACTTGCCTGATTCAACTAAACATAAATAAAAAGGTGCGTCGAATGCTGTCCCTGCTAATGAAATAATGGGCACATTATCGTCTGTGCAGAGAGATTTGCCCACGATCCAGCGCTGTAACCGTATTTCTATACCGAGATAGGACAATGCTTCTCTTTTTAAATCTGCAACTGTAGAACGTTGGGAAATATTTAAACGAACAGGTCCTCTAGCTGCAATTTTATCCTCTATCCAAACTTCAATCCTGCAAAATGTATGTTTAATGTGTAATAATTAATAACACAGTGTAATATTTTTTGATAAAAGAACTGATTGTTAATTTTTGTGTTTAATAAAATTGCAATAGTTCTTCTACTTACGGAATAATATCATTAATTGCATCATTGTGATTCTCGTTTTGCTGAACAACTTCCGTTGTATTATTTGTGTTATTTTTATTTATTTGTCGAAGACCCTCCTTAATTTCTGACTCCAAAAATGTTTTATTTTCTTGGGGATCGACGTTGTTTTTGTTTATGAGTTTTTCTTGCTTCGGTATTGTAATACCTGATGTAGAAGGTCCAGCTAGTATTTGAGATGAATAAGATAGAACAGAACATGAAAGACGTAGTTTAGCTAACTTCGAAGCAGCCTCAGCAGCTGCCGTCTCGTCCCCTTTAGCTATAGACGATTCAAGTTGATTAATTAATTCCCTTCGTTTTATATATTCCCCACTTCTAGCCGCCTCGATCTTTGCTTCATTTTCTTGTAACTGTTTTTCTTTTTGTTCTATAGATTTTTTAATGATTTGTGATACTGTCTTGGGATCTAATTTTATTTTATTAGGTAACGCATTTGTTGGTTCTTTTTTAAATTTAACTTTTTCTGCATTAGTGTTATCTAAATCTTTGGCTGGAGTTTTTGTTATTAATTTCAATTGTGAGGAAGTAACGTCGCTATTTAATGAAACTTCCGTCTTAAGCTTAGTGTTTAGGTTCGTTTTCGAAGCCACTTGGAAACACTGCGCGCTGGTAGTTGCTTTCGGCTGGTAAATGGGATTTAATAACGACGATATACTCAGCGGCGTATGCGTACTTAGATCACTGTTAGTATTTGTTGTAATTTTATTTTCCTTTATAGCTTGGGTTCTGTCACTATTTTCAAATAATTTTAGTTGGTTTTTATTGCTAGCTCGTAAGAGGTTGTCGTGATTAAATTTTACGGAATTTTCTTTGAGGACCTCCCTACTCTTAGATATTGCAGCAGCCTTGGTATTAGATTCAGAATCTGCGTTTGGCTTAGCTTCGACGAGAGGCTTTTTTAAATTACTTGATGTTATTATAGCTCTTATTAATGATTCAGAGTTACCTTCAAGTGAACTCTTCGTTATTTCATCAATGTAAGTATGCCGTTTGTTGTTAGAATGGTTTCCTGTTGATAATGCAGCAGATGTTGATGGTTCTTGATTTAATTTTTGTAATTTATTTTGAGCAAGAGGTTCTTCCTTATTTTCGTTTATTGTAGTCCCAATACGTAAAGTTGGAGTTTCATTTGATGCATTATTGAATTCAAAGTTAATAGTGTGTTTTATTTTCTTCTGACTTGGTTTCTTCGGGAGAGAGTCTTTCATTTCTTTAAGAATTTCTCGCAATTTCTTTTTCTCTTCAACATCCTTAGATAGTTGACGAGATAACTCCGTCTGCGTAGATGAACTTGAGGCTTTAGATTGTGAATTAAGAATTTTAGTCAGTTCATTTTCGTTAGGTACACAATATACACATGATTTAATTGACGTATTATATTTCCGCAAACATTTAGTACACATCCACATTTTTTCAGAATTACTTTTTATTGCATGTTCTTCGTTAATAAGTTTATTATCTTCTTGATAAGTATAATTGTGTGTAAGCTTATTATTTTCTATTATTTCAGCTGCCTGTTTATCAAGCTCACTAATGCTAGGCAGAAATTTTACATGCGAAATATCTGCAGAATGTCTCTTCTTATTTTCAAATATTTGTTTGAGAAAACTTTTTTCGGTTCGAAATTTTATTTCTTTGCGTTGTTTGTCTAAAGTTTTATGTGTTTCTGTTGATGGAGGTTGAGGAATAAAAATTAATTTAGATGAATTACTGCTGGTTTCTTGGACATTATTTACTATATTCTCTTTAGTTGAATTATCACTAGAAGGCGTAGGTGTAAGGAGCAGCGTATCGTTATTATTTATTTCTATATTTTCTTTATTTTCTGCAATCGCTTTCAATGGAGGTTTAGGAGCTGGGCGTTTTCTCTTATAGCTACGAGGTAATGAGGTTGTAACAAACGTAGGGGGTGGAGGAGCGTGCCTCTTTCCTGGCACATACGCAGCGCGTCGATGAAAACATTCACTGGTTGCTCTTCGGCATCGTTGATTTCCGTCAGATTCTGCAATGTTTTTATTAGCTGATGGTAAACTTAAGCCGTCGTACCCGCCCTCTTCTCTCCAGAGCCCGTATTTTCTATGTAATGTCACTCCACGTTCTCTTTGCCGTCGCAAATTTCGCTCCTGAACTCTTCTCTTGTAGGAATCGGTTGGCGAATTTAGAGGCAATGTTATTGGAGCTTGTGAATTAGCATAATATATCGGTGCCAGAAAGTCGAAGCTGGCAGCGGTACGATCAGAACCTACGCTGGAAATACTTTCATTAGAAGATGAGCGTTCTGAACGACGGAGCCACGAGAAAATGGTCCAAAGACCAGCGGATAGGGGACGGGGGCGAGGCGCCTCTATTCCCACGTCACCGTTCATTACCCCTGGAAGTTTGTAAATAATAAACAATTATCACAACGCTCATTAGTAGAATTAAAGATCACTTATGATAACTTCGACTAAATATTTCGAATGAACCAATAAAAAATTCAATAGAACAATAGTATAAAAAGGAGTTCATATTACTTACAGAGTGCAGAAACGTGAGCAGAGAGGGTCAAAAGCCAAATCTAGAGCATAATGATTAGCTTAAATAGTGGGCTGTGTTCTGATTATATTATACAATTCATTCACTTACATTTTTTAACAAATTGTTTTAGGTCACAATGCACATGGTACCTTTGTTTTAAATAAAATTAAATAAGATTTTGACGTTATTGTTCGCGAGATATACCTAACACAAAGCGAGGTCGACTCATTCGGGCGAGGTAAGCGCCCCGACTCACTCGCCGAGCTAATTTTAGCAGATCTTTGCGATTCCACTTTTGCTATTTCTACTTTATTCTTAAACCATAAATTTCGAGTGGTTTATAAATCTTAAAGTTCATTCAGCGAATATAAACACCATCGGTAATCATTTTCTAAATTTTTAATACGCTATTTATATTCTTTATTTTTAGATTGGCACGGGTATAGACACGTACATCTTCAAGTTTGTACAAATTACGCTAAATTAAGAACTTCCCTCCCAACGCGATGACGGCCTCGTCAAGAACAAGCTTTAGTCAGAAAATAAAACAAACTTTTACGCATAAGATTTTTATTTTATATCGATTTCTACAAATATTCTACATGAAACTTTTGCGGACTTTGCGCCCTAGACTAAATTAAAACCATCTGCACTTATTAACATTTATTAAAGTATACCACTGTGGTTAAAATTCACTATCATGATTCCTCTGCTTTCTTTTTAGCCTTTTCTGTGTGTAGTTCTGTTGAATTCTGTATGATAAGAAGTGACGCCGCCACTCGTGACGTCAGTTCTACTTGGTTTAACTCGTGAGCCCATGGAACACGACCCCATCGTTGAAGCTAAAAAAATACGTAATATTTATAATAATATAATTTAAATCTTCCCCAAATATTATTTCACTGGGAATCGAACACAGAGCCAGGATTAAACGCCATTTACCTTTATTAAAAGTGTTTTGACCTAAACATGTCTCATTCAGATAGACATACATACAACATACGGATTGAAAACGTCCTCATTCGGGTATTTAAGCCCGTTTAAGATAAACCTATACACTTACGTCTTAAAGTCGAGGTTGCAATAATTAATCAGGTTCTAAATTGGAACATTGGTTTAAGACATTAGTGGTGCTAGTTGGTTAATAGGTTAATGTTACATGGATTTATTAATAACCAATGTAGTCTAAATAGTTACACATTTGGTGTTATCAATGCGATGCGATTATTCATGTGAAATAGAACATGTTAGGGAGCGGTCAAGTATTACGTAACGAATTTTTGGGGGGTCCTTTTGTAAAACGTTACAATGAAATAATTAAATAAAATTATGCGTTATTGTTAATATTATTTTCGACTTTGCAGTACTTTACACCACAGAATGGTAACTTTTAGGTATAAAGAGTCACTAGGTGGTCACAAAACGTTTTACTACACTTGGGTTCAATACTGTATTCAATAATACTTCAGTAATACTTAAACGATCCCTTAATTATGAACGCCATTTGTGTGTTCCTTACTTTTCACTAAGTATAATGAAGATAATGTAGCCGGCGTGTGCACAAACGGAAAATAAACATATTACAATTATGTGTCATAATAAACATCGATTCAGTAGTTCCTGACATTTACTACAAAATTGTAAACTTTTTATAATACAATACATATCATAGACCTAATTAGTGCATAGGAGAAATTCTTCTTGAATTGAAGAAAAAACTTGATGTGTATCCAACAATGACGTTAAACAATAAAACATATTAGAGTTGTGATTTATAAAAAATAAAATAAATAAAATTTACTGTTTAATATTAACAATGCTGATTTATTATGATTCCGTTTTTATCATGTTATGGAATCACATGTCAGTATCTATACCATATTATTATCATGTATAATTTTGCTAGTCCTTTTGATTTCTGTGACAAGAAGTCTATGAAGACACACATACACAGCTGCAGTATCAGCAGCAGCAGTTTAAAATTGTTTGGGAAAACAAAATTATTCCCTAGTTTATAGCCTTCTTTTGTAGTTGAATATTTTATGACTTTTATGGGCATCACTTCACAATTATACCATTACCCCCACACAATCCTATAGGAAATAACTTACCTGGTATTCTTCCTCCAATCTCGCTAGCATCACAGCTTCCTTTGGTTGTAAAAATCTATCCACACAGGCCAACATTAATATTGGAGACTTTAACGCTTCTGTTCCAAAATTCATAGCTAAAATACAATGCTTATGTTTAATATTGGTGTGAATGTCAAAGAGTCTGTCACATCATTTTTTATATTAAAAAAAACACATTGATACCTTTCTTTATATGCCCTCTGACTTATTCATAAACATGTTTTTTTCAATGATGGGTGTGTTAAGGACCAAGGTACCACTTTTATTTCAAATATTATCTTACATGACCTTAAATAATTGTTATGATTAAAAAATGTTTCAATTATTAAGTTCTTAAAATTTGTGTAATGTTTCATAGGCATTCACAGACACAATTTTAAGTCTGATTCATTGATATTATAATTATCAGTATATAAATAGATTGGTTGCCAACTCCATGCTAATGTTCGTAACATCTAGTCTGATCTGAACATAAGGTGTATAAATGGATAGATGTTCAAACTAGATCAATAATATATTCTGTGTTCTGTTCCTGTTCGGACTACACTTTTGCAATTACTGAAAAAAAATCTCTAAATTACACTTACCATTTAATGCTGGAAAGTCGTATGAAAGAAAATGTCTAGCTAACACTGCTCTTGTTTCTGAAGTGACAGGAGGAGGCTGGAAGTCCCTTGAAACTTCCTGCTTAATATTAAACCTCTTTTCAAACCATTCTAAAACTGGGCCCCACTTTTGTTCCTGTAGAAGTCTTAACTCCTCTTCCTCCTACAAAATAAGGGGCCTAAAGTCTCTATATACCTTAGGTATAAATTAGTCATGAGTATGAACATCATAATCAATCAATAATATAATAGTTATAACGCTTCTTCAATTTTAACTGGTAAGGTAAACAGGTTTGACCCAATCCAAAAACAAAATCTAAGGTAGGTACTCCTGTAGAAGAATACACTGAAGTAATCATGCACATGTTATACAGGATACAGAATGCAAGGGTCTCTATAAAAATATTGGGTACCCTAGGTTGAAGGGGTGTATTAATTTAGCTGATGGTTAGTTACTCTTTAGATAAAACAAAATAAATAGCTTACATCTGAGAAGAAGAGGACCGTATCTGTAGCTAGATATTCAAGTAGGTGGATAGCTATATCATGTTTGTTGAGTTTTCCTGGATTGTCCAATGCAGTATTGCATAGAGCAGTCTAAAATAATGGAAGAAGGTTATCAAAGTCCAAAATAACAATTGGTAGATATAATAAATAAATCTATCATTTATTTTACTTATACACTTTGCATTTATATATCATGGAGAACATGCAATAATTGTTGTAGCAATTAGCATCTTTTTAATATAATTTGACAGATTATGAGAATGCTTGTTTTCACATGTCTTATTACCCTGGAGATAGGTTCCGAAGGTACTTAAAAACATATTACCTACAAAAAATGTATACATTAAACATTCAGTAGTTTATTGAAATAGATAATATGTTTGTACCAGATGCATTGAAGGTTGAGAGATTCCGTCGTGCTGTGCATCCCACTCTGCAGCGATTGCTCTTGCTAGGCCCTCAGTATTAACGTTAAAAACCAGACCGTTGGGTGTCTTTAACCTCCGATGATCTAAGGTAACCTCCCATTTGTTTTCGTTTTGTACTATATCGGCACGTCGGTAAAACCGTTTGGCCGTCGCTGCAATAGAAGATTGTACACTTTAAAAACTATTTATTATCAGAAAAAAGCACACACAAATTGACTAACCATAATTTCTGCCTCCATTCTGCGACTGCTTACTTAAAATTGAAAGTAAAAACTGTCTTTGGAATTTTGTTGATAGCATTTTGAATGTTTCCTTTTCAATTAAGTTTTTTAACATAATGCTCAAAAAATCTCAATATGTACTTAGTATGTGTACATTCATTCAAATAATTATATCATCCTCATAAATCTGAACTGAACAATTTAATGATATTGATACTAAATACTATTAACACTGATAACAGCTGATCCAAATCAACTTTTTGAAGTTTCAAAAAATTTAATTGATAATTTGATATATAACCATTTCTTTTTTTTTAATTTATTTATTAGCCGGATACAAAGTCTATTGGCACATATCGCACACCCAGAACAATACTGAATTAAGTCTTAAAATCCCAAAATCGACTTATTTATTTAGAACAATAGGCAATTTTTTTCCGCGCATACATCTAAGACAGCCATATCTATATTTGCAAAAACAGCCAACAGATGTCGCGCTAAGTCTCTATTAGTGAATTAATAACTACCGAGTCGTACCGCGAATATGAATCTAATTCCAGTTGGGACATGTTCGTCTATGGAAGCAGCATGTAGTGACGTTACGAAACAGTGAATTATTTCGTAATAATTAAGTATTGTTAAATGCAAGTAGAAAATTACTCCGAATTATTTAGTTTTAATACAGTGTTGGTGAATTTCCTGTTTCTGCTGATTTGATAGTATTTCTAAATAATACTGTATTGGTGACGAAGGTATGTTATATTTTTTTAATTATTCCAAAATAGTACAGTGTTGTTTGATAAAGGTAAAAATTAGTTCAATGATGCACTATTGTTGGTAAATCTGAATAATGTTATAATTTCTGTAAAAAGAGCAATATTTTATTTTTTAATACTAAGAATTACTACTTATTATCTAAACTAAAAGAATACTTTTGAAAATTGGTTTTTTAATTTATTTAAAAGAAGATCTAACATGTTTTTTGAGATAATGCAGTATTAATGAATGAAATTTAATATTTTATGTTATTTGGCAGATGATGAAGGGTCGGGGTCTATTGTTGCTTGAAAAAGCAATGGAAGCAACCTCAAAAGAAGCTGGGTCAACTGCTCAACAAAGAAAAATAAAAATTTGTGCTGAAAATGAAGCAAATGCATCACCATCATCACTCGTGGTATCACCAGTCACATCATCAGCTATCACGGTATCACCTATTGCAGCATCAGCTATCGAGGTATCCAACCTATTGTAGCTTCAAAAAAGTCTTTAACGCCCGATAAGAGTAATGAAAGTGATTTTATAGATGATTCGGATACGGATCCTACTTTTTCTATCCAAAAAAGACAAAAATCCCGGCCACCTGTAATACCTAGACGAGTATCTTCGTCTTCCTGCTCAAGTACCTCTTCAGACTCCAGCTCATCGTCATCAAGCTCTAGCAGCTCGAACAGTTCATCTGATAATGAATCCAATAGACCAGGCCCATCTGCAGCAGATACCCAAGTTGTTTCCATTGAACCTGCTCCAACAGACCCCAAGCCAAGAAGAAAACGAGTACGAAACCCTGCTGCCTGGAAATCAAAGATTGCTAAAACATTGCGCAATACAGGTAAATCTTATGTTTCTCTATCAAACCCCACAAAAAAGATCGCAGAACGTCGAATCCGTCCATCTTGTGGCGATAAATGTAAGTTAAAATGCAAAACTAAAATAAACGAAGAGGCAAGGCAGGATATTTTCGAAAAATATTGGCTTCTGGGAGGCAAAGAGAATACATTGTCAGGCACACGCAAGAAATAAAACCAAAATATAGGTACATTACTTCTCAAAAATTAAGAGCTTTGAATTCGGCGTATTATTTTGAAATAGATGGTGTGAAGATTAGGGTCTGCAAAGATTTTTTTAAGGCTACACTGAGCGTATGTGACAGATACATTAAGACAGCCCTTTCAAAGAAACGAGATGACGGTTTTATAGACGCTGATGCTCGTGGGAAGCATGGAAATCAGCGCAAAATAGACTCTGAAGTAAAAGATAGTGTGTTCAATTTTATAAACTCTATCCCAAGAATAGAGTCTCATTACCTAAGAGCTCAAACCACACGAGAATATATCTCATGCGAGAAATGCCTAGCAGACTTGTATCGAGATTATAAAAACCTCAGAGAGCAAAATAACGTACCCCCTGCATCAGCTTCAACTTTTAGTAGGATATTCAATGAGGAGTTCAACATTTCATTTTATGTTCCAAAGAAGGATCAATGTGACCTTTGCGAAAGTTATAAAAATGCCGATGGCGAAGACAAGGCTAGGTTAAGTGAAAATTATGAAAACCACCTGAAAGAAAAAGGACTGGCCAGATTGGAAAAGGAGGCTGATAAAAACAATAAAAATGTCGTTCTAGCAGTGTACGACCTCCAAGCAGTTATGCAGGTTCCTAAAGGACAAGTTTCCCTGTTTTTCTATAAATCACGTATTAACTGTCTTAACTTGACTGTAAGCGACTTAAATGCAAAGGATGTTGTTTGTTTTTTCTGGGATGAAACCGAAGCGAAGCGTGGTGCAAATGAGATCGGTAGTTGTGTCCTTGCATACATTGAGTTGATTCTTGCAAAAAGTGATCCTAATAATGACGTGGATATCATATTCTATAGCGACAATTGCTGTGGGCAACAAAAAAACAAATACTTACTATCTGTCTATGCTTACGCAGTTAACAATATGCTAAGAGTTAATTCCATAACACATAAATTTTTGATCCGCGGACATTCTCAAAATGAAGGGGACAACGTCCACAGTGTAATAGAAAAACAGATTAAAAGACACTTAAAATCTGGTCCTATTTATTGCCCACAGCAATATGCTACTTTAATTCGTACTGCGAAAAAACAGGACAGCCGTATCATGTAAAAGAACTTTTACACAATGACTTTTATGACCTTAAAGTCCTTCAGGAATCTTGGGGCAATAATTTTAATGTGGATGAGGACAATAACCAAGTCAAGTGGATTGACATTAAGCAACTTCGCGTTGAAAAGCAACATCTTTTGAATTTCTTCTATAAAACATCGTACAGTGAGACTGATTTTAAGAAAGTTTGTGTTCGAAATCGATCAAGGCGCTACAAAGATCAAAACTTTTCTCCACAATTGCTTAAAGCATATACAGAAAAACAACCTCTGGCTGAAAACAAAAAGAGAGATATAATGGAATTAATTGAAAAAAAATATTATTCCCACTTATTATGTCAACTCTTATTACAAGACAGCATTAAATTTAGAGTAGCACAGCACTTACAGGAAACCTAATTTCGATATCTAAGTTATTATTTTATATTTTATAGTAATTTTAAGGCAGTCCATAGATAATTATTATGTAAGTAAACCTGTGATGTTACACTGTTGTGATTTAAATAAGACTTGTTAAACTAAAAAGACTTGTTAAAGTAAGTAGTAGGTATGCTCTTAGAGTTCTTTGTACATAGGTACAAATAAATATATATTCTATGTTCCTATTAGGCTAACTTTTTATTTAAATGTCATCTAGTCCAGTTTTTGGATTATTTTATGTGGGTAGCTAAGCCATTATCGCAGCCATGTTCACGAGTGTTAGCAAAGTACCTACCACTTAAAATAAGTAATAAGTAAGTAGGAAGTTAAAGTTTGTGCCTCGTTTTATTACTACCTTTTGAATCTTTATCTTTATCTTTGTTTTTTTTCTTATTTGAATCTTTGTATATTTTTTGGTTTAAAATTGTGTTTTTTTTGCTTTGATACGGGGTCTCATACGACCACAAACATGTAAGACTGTTTTTTTCATAACATAGCTGATGACACTGTAACAGTGTATAATAAAAGTGCATGCTGATTATCATACACATCGTTTAGTTTATTTACCGTTTTATACATTCTATATATAGGATACATTCCTGAAATTGAAACAGATAATTCTTTGCTGAATATTTACAACCAATATATTATGATAGGATTACACTGCATTATTTCAGAATCAATCAGTAAGAACGGAGTAAATAGAAATATTTTTTATTTTATTGGTTCAAAAGTTTTACAACAGTGAATTAACTTGAAAACTAAGGATTTAACACTATGTGAACTTTTTACAGTAATTAACTAATGCCATACTGATAAGCATTTGATTCATCACACAATATCTAAAACACCTAGGAATAACTTTTCATCTAACATGAGAGAACAGTTTTTAGTCGATACTCAAATAAGTCCTGTTTTGACAGTGCAGTGTTGATCTGGGGGTGCGATATATAACCATACTGTATTGCTAGTCCCGATAGTAAAAAACACAAGACAGTTCAAAAATGAAAAAGTATCAATTTGTTCTCGGCCTTTGAGAGGGTTGTGACTTGTGCGGTACCGGGCGAGTTCCTAAACCGTACATGGAGGACATTGTCGAATTTCTAAGGCAAAAAAAAAAAGCGAATTATAAAAATCTTATACTTGACGCTGGCTAATGCACAAACCGTGCCAGAGCCATAAAAAAAAAGTATCAATCGTCACGAGAAATTTTACATTTGTAGAAAACTATGTACTTAGTTTTATTATTTTATATTTTTTTATTGTTTTATATTTTTATGTGGCACTATATTACACAAAAATATTTATTATTATTTTTAAACAATCTCTAATTTATTTTAATGATTAAATAGTGTAGACAAAGAGTGAATAACGTAAAAGTAATGTATAACTGTATAGTCCAACTTACTGGTGAACTCTACCACGCGCTTTAAAATCAAAGACTGAGTTTGATTTACACCTTCTTTTTCCTTTATTTTATAAGTATAAGTATTGAAAACAATATTTCTCGCCTGAGATCGATTTCGACATTTTCATCAAAACAACAAATTTCAAGAAGATAATCACAATTCACAAAATCTCAGGAGCGGTTGACAGATCTCGTACTTTCGCCGATGACACTTGACACTGCCAAATGAAAATCTCATTTTTTTAAATTTTGTTTTATGCCATGAGATTTCGGTTTTATCAGGCCATAAAATTATATAAAAAAATGAGATTTCGATAGCGGTTAGATTCGACCCATACCAACTAACGGAATAGCTAATGTGATCTAGAACCTGAAAAACTGATAATAGTCTTATTGAAAACATAAAAGTTAGTCAAAACATAAACAAAGTGTTTTTATTTTATTTTAGCCATTTTGAGTCATTGACCCAAATACATGTCTCTAAATGAATAGTGTCTTTTGTATTTGCTTTATTAACCATCAAAGCAGAAACGGTGTCAACATTTAGTCTAATCTGTTTTTAATTATGTTGAGTTGACAAATAATTCTTTCTACGTATGCATTAGAAAATGGAGACCATTCATTGAAAAGAAATCCCGGTACTCCTAAACATTCGGAAATATATTTAAATCTTTGTGGCCATGAAAGCATGGGTTTTCTATTCCCTTTGTGCTGCACAACATGTACATATTTTTTAGGGTTGGGAATATAGTCAAAGTTAACATTTTGAGTCTTGTAACATAGAGGTGACATGAGAGGGTCAAAAGTAAAATAGAATGTTACAATAGTAACAATCTGGCAACGCTGTATATTAATTAATAATTGTGAATTACTTCTAAAAGTTATACTTAATTACTTATGTGGTTCCTACTATATTACCTTTGTATAAGAGCTATTACGCACTGTCGACTTGTCGCCGGCGACTCGGTCGCTGGCGACTGTGAGTTTCTGCAGTTTAAATAGATGTCTACGCACTTGGTCGTCGGTCGCCCAAGCGACTGGGCGACTCGCCGCGTCGTGGCGACACACAAGCGACTGCCGGTCGCTGGCGACCAATAGGAGCATGGCTTCAATTGGAAGCATTCACACTGCGAGCAACTGTCGTAACGACCGGACGTCGCGCACAAAAATGGAGAAACACATGGTCGCAAATTTGTATCTGTGCCAGTTATGTGGTTTCAAAAGACACAATAGCTTATCAAACGAACGCACAGACATTCTTGCGTAGTTGAAAAATTTACGAGGGTATTTTCTCACGTCTCCATAAAATAGTTAAAAAAATTCCTTTTGATCTTCGTTCTTGTAACAAAGGATGTACCCAATACTCTCTTGATTTTCTTTTATTTTTCTTTCTCTTGATTAGTAGCGCTACTGTAGCAGCTTCTTCGACATCCATTCTGCACGAATGTACTTGGAATACTGTCGCTCGGCTTTGTCTCCTGCCTAGTTGCCTATGTTTTGGTCGCCCGAGCGACCGAGTCGCCGGCGACAAGTCGACAGTGCGTAATAGCTCTAAATAACAACACCACAGAATACTTATTTACCAACTAAATAGTAGTAGTCTGTAATTTTTATCTTGAATTTTTATAGTCTATTGATGATATCCAAATTCTATAGTCTATACTATACGTGCTTTTCCTGTGTCTTGTTGTGAAAACGAAAAAAGTGTTATTATCAAGTTATTGCTATTCATTTAAGAAAACACATATTTCTTATTTTTGTGTACTCCAGTTCCTATAATCAACATATTTTGGGAAATATTTTTAAATAAAGGGCTTTTACAATGTTAGATATGGATTTTTACGTTTAGCATTGGAAAGTGTTTGTGTCGAATTGGAACAGTGACGCGCCATTGTGTACACATAACGCTGTGAAAGAATTCTATAAATACTCATATTAACGACCTTAGTTGTTCAAAAACCTTAATTAATACTTATATTTGTAATGTACCCGCATCCCATCAGCGCGGAAGAAGACAAGAAGTCGAATTTAATACCGAGTGTAAATCTTCTTCACTCTAAAAGAAAAGGAATATTTATACACCCCTCTGCTATGTACAGAAGTAGTGCATCGTGCACAAATATAAGTTTACTGTTTACAACGAGAAAGCTGTTTGGGTAAACAGTTCATTACAAAGAAAAAAGATGAAACTTTTACAAAGTGGTCGCTTGGAAGCACTGAGCAGTGCACTGTCTATACTAAATGGGGACAGCGCTGTACAAGGCCGAGTAGAAAGCTACAGCTGTAAGATGGCTGGTGGTGAGAAAGCTTTCTACAAAAGGTTCACAGCAGCTGGTGAGACGACTCACAACCTTCAGGCTTTGTCTCCACCTGAAGGTTTCTCTTATAGGTATCAAGAAAAATTTACTTAACTACAATTAAAAAATATGTGAATTTGCTACTTAAGTGTTCTAAAGAGTCACCCAAGTTTTTTATTGTAAATCCAAATTAAATAATTAAAATATGACCATACAAGGAATAGCTTTTATAATAAATATACTTCAAGTAGTTTCATATTCCTATATTTTTCAGTCGGAGCCTTTCGGGTGATGAGGAGGGTATTCTATGTGATACAATATCACGAAAAACATTGTTTTACCTCATTGCTACCTTGAATGCTGCTTTTCCTGATTATGACTTTTCAATGGCCAAGGTAATTAATTGTTATAATAAATATAGTTTAAAAAAACTAAAAAACACCCTTTTAAAGCACATCAAACTAAAAAGTGAAAAATAATTCCTAATTTAGGCTGAAAATGGTAATGAACAAAAAATACTGGTATTATTGTGAATAAGCGTGGGGCGCTCTGTGCCATATTTTTCGTCTATCGAGCAACCCTGGATTGTTTTTTCGAGATAAACCTATGAAATTATTATATTGTCGCTGATTCTTTATAAGTGTACAAAGTTTCTAAATATCTGTCCGTTTAAAGTGGGTCAAAATCGAGTCTGAAGGAGTCGGTTACATACATACATACATACAGGTGAAGCTAATATAAAGAGTGTAAAATGGTTCCATTCTTAATCAATTTAACAAAAAAAATATGACAAAAGTATTAATATAAATTTTCATTATACACAGCTTAAGCTTCTGCATGGCAATGACAATAGGTCATTTAGTTTGTAATCCACAAAGAACTTGTTTAAATGCTTATTTTGTGTGAAATGACCATAAACCTTTGATTGTTACCAAAATTTAAGTGATAATTATTCATTAAAAGTAATTAGATTGTAATCTGATTTATTTGTTTTATGCTGTTCATATTTCTTAATATTTTAACTTTTTACAGAGTAGTGAATTTAGTGCAGAACCATCACTTACATGGGTTCAAAGTGCTGTTGATGCTGCCTTGTCTGCTGTTGGTGGAGTTCGCTGGAGGCAGCTTAAGCCAGCCCTTTGGGCAGCGATTGATGAAGAGGTGCAGTTGGCCGACTGTAGAATATATAGCTACAACCCCGACCTAGCCAGTGATCCATTTGGAGAACCTGGATGCTTATGGACTTTTAACTTTTTCTTTTACAATATAAAGCTGAAACGAATGGTTTTCTTCACCTGCAGGGCAATGAGGTATTATATAATAATCAGTAAAATATTTATTGCATTTTACTTTTTTGTTATTTTAATTAAAATATTTCTGTTTTTTTTAACAAATATTTGTTTTTTGAGGAAATTGTCATTGTTCATGTTAGTACATTACTTTTCTATTTCAGTCCTGTGTGTGCTGATTCGGGTGTTGATTTTGCAATGGACGAAGATGAAGAATATGACTAAAGTGCTCAGCAATTTTTTTTAAACTTTTAAACTTTTCCATAACATTTCATATTTTACTAATACTAACAGCTATATATATATCTAAATATAATGAATATATATTAAGAATGGAGTAGGAAGTTGTTTAGTTCTTATTATGTAAGTAGGTATTATCAAATATTTTCATAAATTTTTTGGCCTAAAAAATAAGATCTCAATATTGTGCACAAATTCCTATTTTGGAGATATCATTTAAGTCTTAAATATTACCTTGATTAAACTCTGTACCTGTCATCTCATCTTTTCAATAGATGAATAGTCTTAAATATAGAAAATTATAAGAGCAGGGTTGGATGAGCAGTGACACTTCGATAAGTATATTTAAATAGTAAAATTATTTTATTAACACAAATTTACAAGAATTTTAAAACACTTTTTCTGATTGGTGCACATATAACAAAATTGTATGCATAAATACTAATTTAGTGTTGAAATTCTTTTATATATCTAATAAAAAATTAGAAAGTAAATTGTTCTAAAGTAGAAGAATATTGTCTACAAGGATTTTGAATGTCTAGTTCCGCCTATTGTTTCGAGGCGTTTTTAAGTAGATGTATTTAGAATAAATATTTGTCAGCTGCTTAGGTGTTTAATTTTATCCAAAGTAGTGAAAGTGAAAATAAAAGTGTATATTTTTCAAAAAATATAATTAAACAATCAAAATATATCTTTAGAATTATACAACAGTGAAAAAGGGACTTAATAAAAAAGAACTTACAATAAGTTTGACAACTAAAGTAGAACTAAATCTATTTACAATGTCCATTTTATTTATTTACAGACTTATAAATGTATATAGAAAATTATTATGTAAAAGTAAAATATAATCTTAAATTGATTTATCTTTTGATTTTTATTTCATTAACTTTGTGATAGGAATATTTGTTATATGACAATATTTTGAATAAACAAAATGTCCAACAAATTTCTGGAATAAATTCATCGAAACCCAGGCTATTTATTAAAAAAAATTGGGTATAGAATCAGCACAAGACAAATCATACAAATGCTCACAAACCATATTGCATGCCACACTAAATCAGTGATTATATTTATGGACAAATGTGTTATATTATATTTAAAATAAATGAATTAAGCCTCAATTTTAACCTCACACATTAAAAAATACCCCCCACTTAATAAAGCAAAACATCACATGTACTATTTTCCTCTATAATGATTCTATTATAGATAATTGCAGTTTGTTGTGCAATTGCATTAATTACATGACCATTATATTAAAAATACTATAGTAATTATTTAACCGTCTTAGAATACACTTATTTTAGTTTTTTTTAACATGGCTTTGAGTGTAAAAATTAGAACAATTTGTATAATAAAACATTTTTTATCTATATATCAATATCGCTTTCATTATGTAGTCTGTTTTGTCATTTTTATGAGAAGGTAAAATAGTACTCTTAAATGATTTATTTTAACATTTTGTATTTCATGCATTTTACAGATAATAGTGTTAATGGAAATCATATTTATTAAAATGTTTGTTGTAAAGTTAGATATAGTAGATTGTGGTCTTTGTATTTTGTCGTCTTCTATGTCTTCTCTGAATTCATGGCAGTTTATGGTCTTTTTGTAATCAATATACTTGCGTAGTATATGACCGCTATACGTGTTACACGCAGGTTCAATATGTAAAATACGTATTACAATACGATTATTCGATTGACAATACGTTTTGCATAGGAAACAACGGATAGTGGTAATTATTAACGAAATTTTGAATATATAGGACCTTAGTCTACCCGCATTATTTATAAAAACTAAATCAGTCTAATTAAATTATTTTACTTTTGTCATGGAAAGAGAAAAAGTTTCAATTATTACCTTGATAAAGTATAATATCATTTCAATAGATGAATAATAGTCTTAAATATAGAAAATTATAAGAGCCGGGTTAAATGAGCAGTGGCTATTTGAGAAGTATGTTGAAAAGGTAAATACATTTAAAGAACAGAATATTCTAGATAAAACAGAGATTGATTTAGTTTTTATAAAGTTCTATTTGTGTACCTATGGTCGTTTATCCGGCGCTGGTGTGTCAGTTTCGGGAGTGGGTGCTGGAACAGCTGGAGGATTATCTTCAGGCGATCGTAATTTAGCTCTGGGCCTCCAGGCGTCCAGTAAAGCCTCTACTCTGTCCTCAGTGGGGCCCCATCGAGCGAAGCCGGCTGCGTTTTGAAGCCACACTACTACGGTCCCACCACCCCAACGGAAGTATATCTCGTTTCTGAAATTACAGAAAATTCTTCATTCATTTATTCAATTACAACATATGTAAAAGCATTAAGATTTTATAATAGGGGAAAGGTTTTAAGATATAAGTTTTTGACAAACTGTCAGGTTGTCAAAATATATTATATTTAATAATAAATAAAACACTTAACTAAAATTTGAAATTATGCATGCTGATTTGAAATGGTTGATTGTACTACTATCGTAGACGGACTATGGTATAGACCAGGCATCAGCGTACGGCGTGTGAGATAGCGAATGATTGACATAACTTCATAATGTATATCTATATGCCACTAATATTGTCGTATTTACAGTTTTAATTCATTGAAGATTGCTTATTATTGACCAAAATACACATTCGAATGAATAATTCTTGAACAAAGTTACTGAGTTGTGACAAAATAAGCTACTTACCGATGAAAGGTTATGATTCGTTCTTTACGTTCACTATAGCTTTTACAGCCAATTATGCAACAATTTACCATGACTGACACTTTAAATACACCTCTTATAAGGAAAAAGTCTTAAAATATGGGTTTGACTTGGGTTTTACAGATTTATCAGTAAGCGGTGAAAACTTGTTTACCACCAAGGGCGTTAAGTATTTCACGTTAATGCCTTCTCTCTTTAGTTATTATTGTTATTTTAGAAGCTCATCTAGTTCTATACTCTATCTACGACTACTATTAAGAAAAATATTTATATAATGACAACTATATTAGTAGGAATTCCGCAGCTATATTCATATTTTAATTTTTCAGTTTAATTACAGTTTTAGCAGTTATTTAAATGTTTAGTTTAGGTTCGTTTGGGTTCTAAAAAAAGATTTGTTGATTAAGCTATACTTACTTCGGAAGCAAATGTTGAAAACCGTGACGATACTCATGTTCAAATGCAGGAATAACGACCTGAAATGATATTCTATCGTTTAGGAAATGTTAAAGGCAGACCTATTAACAAAAGCACTCATACACTAGTAAGTACGTAAAAAGTACTAGTTTTAATGTGGGCCTACAGGCAAGAAGGAACACTCATTTCAGATCAGAGATGTATTGAAGAGTCCCATTGTACTTATGAATAAAAAAATATTATACTCATCCAACTAGATTTACCAAATTTTCATAAAACCCAGGTATTGTCTTTGTTAGTATTATTCAAACATTAAAAAATACGAAATAAAATGCGTCCATGCGTCGCGTCGGGTTGTTTCTCTCCCTGAAATATGGCGAGGAGCCGATGGCCATGTGTCATACTTGTGAACGGGTGTTACTTGTGACTGACTGGTCGAACTTGAATTCGTGTATGCGGTGATGTTAGTTATTTCGACTATGTATTTGCGTGTTGTTCCCACGAGAATGTAAGTCAGTGCCATGCCTACTGCCGATAGAGGACAAATCTTGGTTCTTTAATAGTTTTAACTTTTTTATGGTAGAACATGGTGTAATGGTTGCAGCAGCTCCTTACAAACATTGTGTAAAACAAAAAAAAATATTAAAAGATTAAAAAGAGTGGCGGAGAGTTTATTTCCAGTTCTTCTCGTCCGTTCTACGCCCTTGATTTGAGAACTGGCAGTAAATGTAAAATTAGAAGCATTTAGCATTTAATATGTATTTCTTTATTGACGTTCATAAATGTACATTGTGCAATCAATAAAAACACTTATTTTCTTGATTTATCCGAATAAATACAGTATAACAACATTAAACAAACCTGTTTCCTTTTAAAATGGCTGGCCTGCAATTTGTGTAAGGCATGAGTGGGTCTATCTGGCCACTCCGGCAAGAAGACCACGAAACTTAGTGGTTCAGCCGAATCCTGTAATAGCCTCTCCATATGCCTTAACGCAGCCTCAAGCAAAGGCTCACAGTGGGGCGGATGCGCAACCAACGACCCCGATACAGGTCGGAGCTCGAGAAATGGCCTGCGATGTCCGAAAACATTAATCGCCTAGGGTTCTACCATGTGTTTGCCAAAGTATATACTCTTTAACGTCATTCGTTATAACGAAAAAGTCTCTATAACGTAAAAATTAGTTAAAGGTATTTGGTTTAACCCAATACCCATACTTTAATTCTTCTCTCCTTATAACGAATAAAAATGCTCGGTCCTTGATATTCGTTATAAAGAATTTACACTGTATTTGAATGTGGTTACGAAAACAGAAAATTTCTATACAAATATTTGACTTGAGCTGTCAACACTGAGGTCGTGCGTTCGAATCATGACTTACACCATTGGATTTATTTTGTGTGCGCAATTAATAGTTGCTCGTATGGTGAAGAAAAACATAGCGAGGAAACCGGAATTCCCTGAACCACGTTTGTATTACGAATACTTTGTACAAAAAAATAACATAGCGCGTTTCGCTTGTTTTCTATTGGCCGAACGGTAACTTTCACGTTTTTGTTCGGAATAGAGCTGACGAATCGCAATCGAAAAAATATTCATTTTTTAGTTCAGCAGGCAAGAATAATTAAATTAGAAATAAAAGATTAGAATTTTGAAAAATCACAAATTTCTATGCATTGTAAAATGGACCATAACATAAAGTAAAAGTATGTGTTCATACAATAGCCTGCATAAATTTTTTTGAAGCCACTCCCAATTTAAGAAAAATGTATTAAATAATAGAATCACATTTCTGCATTTCATACATCATTTTGTTTAGTCTTTTTATTTATTATATAATTATTGTTTTTTTTTTTCAGTAATCGAACCCGTTTACCATACTCACCCTCTCGATCCAAAATACGAGTCGGTATCGGCGAACGCAGAGCAATACTGTCTGAAATAACAGTCTAATGGACTCGCGAAGCATTCAAAAGTGACTCCAAAGCATCTCTGGAGGCACTCAAGTACTGGGACAGGTGCCGACATTTGTGCCAAGTGCGAATCACCTCCCCCTGCCCCCACCCAAGCCGCATATCGTCTAAGTAAACACCATACGCGCGATAAAAATAATTCAAACTTCTTATCGTCGAAACAGCTGTATCGGTATAGATGTTCCTGAAAGAGGTTTTATAATGTATTCTTTTTGTCGTTCTGTTTTAACCTAGTAATTTTCAAAATGGTGTTTCCATAATTAAATTATAATAAAGTTGTCCCTAATTATTACTGTTCTTTTGACGACTTATTTCCCCATGATTTATTTCCTTACACAAATATTATTTAAAAAATACAATATATAGGTTTCGTCAAATATGAAAGGAAATGCTTCTAAACATGGTTCAAAAGTTTGAAGTGGTTTGAAACTGTCTTGAGGCTTTAAATACAATAAAAAAATTAGATTGTTTTTTAAACAGTAATTTTTAATTGGCAACACTTTCACAATTTGTTGCATATTATATCGCTTTAAATTTTTAAATGTACATACCAATTTCTGTAAATAAGTAGCGTTAAGGACTTGCGTCTCTCCAAGGTACCGCAGTAATACCTGATCGCGATCAATAAAATGTTCTACTATTGGCGGCCTGGGTGCCGGTAACGCGAATTGTACTGGATAACACCACACTTTACGAAGAGCAGCTTGCTGGAGTGGAGCTGGCATTTCCTGAAATAAATATATTTTATTATAGAACCGTGGGAAGGTTTTAATTTTGAAACTCAGTCTTAATCGACATTAAAAGTTACTAGCCATTAACAGCCTACATTTGTAGCCACGAAATCCTTTTTTTAATTAATTGTATGAATTGGATAATATGTAGGTATTTATAGGTCCACAAATTTATCGAAAACTAAGTCATATAATTATAATATCAGGTTTATAGTATTGTCTTTGATTAACATAACTTTTATTCATTTAATAAAACACTATTTTGACCGGATTGAAGTTATGTATTATTATAAATTTACAACTATTTAAAATAATTTTAAATTTATCCGACGTTTCGCGTGCTTTACAGCGTGCGTCACCGTGACCGTTGTAAATTTATAATAATACATAACTTCAATCCGGTCAAAATAGTGTTTTATTAAATATCAGGTTTGTTTAAAATCGGTTCAGTAGTTTATGCGATGCATATTTCTGGCGGTGTCTCTTCTTTTTATTATTTACCTAGATAAATAATATCTTTAATATTTCTTCCTATTCAGTTAACAGATATAAATGTTGAGTTGGATTAATTCTTTTTTTATTAATTTTAATTCTGTTCAAGTTGTCATGACTGACAACACATAGATTGTCCCAAGACATTAGCTAGTTCGTCCTGAGAAACTTCTAGAAAGCTCTTGTTACTCTAATGTATTAAAAAACATTTAATGATTCAGAACTCCAATTGGGTTATAAGCATTATTTTTAGCCTATTCTGTAAAACTTTGAAACATAAGGATCAAACTGGAATCTTATAAGACTTTTGTTTGATTAATACAGGATATCTTTTAAGAAAACTATTACCTGAATTCCATTTTCTTTTAGGAGAACACTGTGCTTTTCTCTTATTTTTCTTGCATATTCTGCAGATAAATGATAAATTTTAAGGCAAATTCCTTCCACTGAAGCTTTTGCTGTTTCTGCCAAGTGAGGCTGACATTGCCGCTGAAAATATAAATTAATTATGAAACTGAACAGACAAGAGGAAGATAATTTGTTCAAGAAAATGTCATACCCTTAAATGTGCTAAGCGATCTTGAAAATCATCATAAGTAGCACCAACAGTACGCCGGAGCCATTGAAATGTATCTTCTGCATTCCATTTAACCACCTTTCGACTTTCTGGAGATGCATTCCTTGATTCTATCATTTTCTTTGCAGCTTCAGCATAACGAGATAGCTGTTTTCTTGCATCTCCAGTAAATTTTGGGTGAGTTAACTTTATTGGTATATCGTTCATAATTTCTTCATACATAGATCTTGATATTTCTGGAAAACAGTGGCTTGGCAACAGTGGATCAGAACCTCCCTGATCATTCACTTTTCTCTCCATTAACCAACGGTTAAACGATTCTTTTGGTGCATCTATGCTTTCTCTTGTATGACAAAGTTCTTGATAGCATTGCCTTAATTTATTAGCAAGGGTAAACCTAAAGCCTTCAACTTCTGGATGAGGATGAGGACAAATTGTAGGAGGGCGTTCATAGATTACAACATTGGTTGGTACCTCAATATCCCATGGACCAGACAGAACAAATTTTTTAGGGGGAGGGCCATTATCTTCTGAGGGTCTTCGTTTACTAGCACTTGGAGTCATATTCCCTGGATTTGGGGGACCTGTGTGACATATTCCCAAAGGGTCTGTTATGGGATCAAAGTCTCTTTTAACAGCGGGCAATTCCCACATAGATTCACCAGAAATTTTATTCCAAAAGTATGGTCTGTTTTCTCTTTTAGACCAATACTTTCGCCAGCCTTGTTGGATGAGATCAGGATGCAAGTCTGCAGCAAGATGTGGCGCCAAAGGTGCTGGAGCTCCCGGTGTTTGTGGAGTTTCTCCACTTCCACCGGGTGAAGACTGAATTTCAGGAGATGAGTCGCTCTGACCTGCACCACTTTCCCATGTGGAAGATCCAGCCACAACTTTGTCTCGGACATCGTTCATATCGATGAAATTGTATAAAAAATTCTTTGTAAAACCTTATATGATAGGGTCTCTTATTTATATCGACGATTTCTAACTTACGTACTTATTATTTTCTAGCTAAAATTGTCATTTCTGTACAATTATATTTTTGTTAGAATACATAGTATTGTTACCGCCAAGATAATCAACGGAGCTTAACACGCTAACATTAGTGAAACTCATGATTATATAAATTTTAAATGGAGAAAAAACACATTATAGAAATTATTAAGCACAGAAACACTAAAAGTATTAGAAAACACTTTAAAACATCGAAATGTTTTATTAAAAAATTGGCTGGCGTAGCTCCCCAAGCACTCTCTAGACACAGATTAAATATGGAAAATACATACAGAATGAAGAATGTACCTAAACAGAGACCTTAATTTAACAGACTATAGAATATCTTTTACTATCCGAAGCTAACATAATTGATCTGTTCCCCTTCCTACCAATATTTCGTTACTTCTTCGAGATTTAAATCCCCTTGTATATAGTATTATAAGTATGTTTATTGTAAATAATAACATTAAACTATAATTTTGATTTATTTTTCCCTTTATGTAACTATTCTGATTTTTTTGTAAATTTAATGCATTTTCAATCATTTATGTTATGTCGCGATAAGTTTCCTTCGTTTTTTATTATTCATAAACTGTAAATAATTAAAACAGCGGATTATAAAAATCTTATACTTGACGCTGGCTAATTCACAAACCGTACCAGAGCCAAAAAAAAAACGTAATTGATGACATTGAGCATTGAGGTTTTAACTTTCAACTTTCACTTTTCAGTTTTCACTTTTCATACATATTCTGACTGCTGACATCTAATGTCTTCTTACTTCTTAGCAGTCGGACGCAGTCTGTGATTTCTCTAAGTTTAAATTTTATGTTTTAAATTTCAACAAAATTATAATATTATAATTATATATTTGTTCACATTATACAACATTCTCTACTTCTTATTTTCAAAGTATGAATTAAATAATGCGTACGCATATAGGCGCACTATATCACCTATAGTAAATGTATATTTATTGGAAAAGTTCAAATAGTCAGCCCTTCAGCAATTAGAAGTCATGGTTGAAATAGAGACACTAGAAGTAAGTTTTGTTGAACTTCCAACTATTGATAAGGTTGAAATGGAAATTCGAATTATAAATGATGGTGAAATGGTTTACGAGGATTTTTATAAAAACTTTATGTTAAATAACTCTCCATGTGTAATAAAAAATGTTTGTGGAAATTGGAAAGCATACAATGAGTGGGTTCTAAATAATAGAATAAACTGTAAATATTTCATACAAAATTATGGCGAATTTGAAGTTCCTATCTCAGATTGTGAAAAAATTGATTACAATGCTCAGTGTAAATTCACTATGGAAGTTAAAGAATTTATGGAATATTTAAAACATAGCAATAAAGAAAAACTCTTGTATCTAAAAGATTGGCATTTAAAAGCCAAATTAAAGGAAATGAATTTAAGAAATGATTTCTACAAGGTTCCTGAATATTTTGCCTCTGATTGGCTTAATGAATATGCAGAAGATAATGGAGAAGATGATTTTCAGTTTGTTTACATTGGCCCAAAAGATTCATGGTAAGTTAGTATGTGAAAATGCCATTAGCCAATTCATAAATTTAAAAACTTATATTTAATATGTATAATACATAAATTTTGCTATAAAATAATACATTCCACTTTTTTACCTGTTGCAGGACACCATTGCATGCTGATGTATACACATCATATAGCTGGTCTGTTAATATTGTTGGGAAAAAGAAATGGGTATTATTCCCACCAGGTGAAGAAGAAAAACTCAGGGACTCTCTTGGAAACTTGCCAATACTATTCAAAAAGGAAAATTATGAAAACATCAGATATTCAGAAGTTATTCAAGAAAGTGGTGATGCTATATTTGTTCCAACTGGTTGGCATCATCAAGTTGTTAATTTATATGACACAATTTCTATAAACCACAATTTCATTAATTCCTGTAATATAGAAAAGGTTTGGAATGCCTTACAAAAGAATTTGAGTGATGTTGAAAAAGAAATTGAGGAATTTAAAGATAGCCCTGAATACTTAAAACAATGTCAACTTATTTTAAAATCTATATTTGGTATGAATTTTAAATCTTTTGTGAAATTAATTATGCACATAGCTGAAAAGAGATTGAATCAAATAAATAGTATGCCATTTACAGTATTTGATTCATATAATTTTGGTAATAACCATATAATGTTTGATTTACACATTTTGTACAAAATTTTTAACCTAGTAGAAAACCATGCATTATTTAATAATAGTTTAATTGGAAATATATTATCACAATTTCATGATATTAAAGATAGGATGAAAAAATAAATAAAAGATAAGTTATAAATATTAGTTCTGATTTTACAATATGAATGAAAATTGAGAAATTATTAATATGCATAAATTCTGTTGGTATTTCTTTGACAAATATTTTAAAAGGCTCTCAAATATTTTCTATGGTTGTTGATGTTAAACCAAACTTTTTGTTTTTTTTTATATTAAAATAAAGCAAATATAAAAGCAGTTGTTGAAGGACTTTACTATAGATAAAAACTATCAATAAAAGATGTACAAACTATATTTAAAAATGTATTTTTCAACATTCATTCATAAACATTAGACTTCATTTGAATGTTCTCTAAAAATGACAAATTGCATTTTCTTACCTGAAAATAAATACGATATTATCCAACTACTAATATTGTTTTGTAAAGATCTTCTTTTCAAAAACTAGAGAACAGATTTTGTACAGCTTTCACCCATAGGCGATGAAGGAAGGTTAAGATTTATATTTTATGGTTTTACGTAATTTTACTGAAGTATAATTATTATTGTTTATTGTTGAACGTTAAATATCTTACCAAAATACACAAATTCCACGCGGGCGGAGCTAGTTAGTTCATGAATTTAAAGCATTCTTGAATAATAACGAACATTCTTGTTTTGCATTTTTATATAGTAAATTGTTTTTAAAATTTTAGTTGCCTGCCCTATTATTGCACTTAATCATTTGCATAAAATTAATACTCCTTGTTGAGACATACGGAGATTATTTAGAATCATCAATGTAATGTAAATGTAATCGAATAGCGAAGTTTCCATCACGGTCCGTTTAACAAATTTATAGTTTAACCTTATGCCCGCCTTTCACTGCGAGCGGAACGGACCCATTACGGACTCCACTATATTCGTAACGATGATTTTCATACAAAATGTGCTTCCACCGAAGCGCAGACGAGCGGAGCGGAGTGAGCGAGTTGAAAGAGTCACATACGAGGTTAGCGAGTTGAGCGAGTTTTCCACGGACTACGGAACTCGATGAACTAGTTTTATTATATTTCATACAATTATTACTTCCTCTGCAAAAGAGTAAAGCAGAGCGGAGCAAGCGAGTAAAGCGGAGTCCGCTGTGTATGCTCTTGAAAACTAGTTTTGAACGGAGTCGCCTTGCAAATCGCTGTACATTCGTAATAAATCTCCTTTTTCGGGACTTCCTCGAATGTGATTATTGATCCAAAATCTTGATTTGCGCCGGATATGCTTCTTTTTATACATTAGTATGATTTTATTTACCATATTAATATAATCATCTTCACTAGAAGAATCTGACATAGACAAATTCACAACAATGTCTTGATGCTAAAGGTCGCAAAAGGACGCACAGCCTCGCTGGATGGAGCGGGAACTAGGCAGAAAATAACGGATAGTCGTTCATTTCTCGCTTCCCGCTCCGCCTAGTTGAGCTCGTTGTCAGTGGAAGGCGAAATGAATTATTTAAAAAACTCTTTCTTAGTGGAAGGCAAAAACTATTATCATTTCAAACTCCGTTCCGCCGGTCAACTATTTCTCGCGCAACACACGCAGTGGAAGGCGGGCATTAGTGTTAAAACTTTACCTAAAATATATTTGTGAGAAATTTCACAGCAGTAGTGAAGAATAAAACTAAAGGTATAAATATTTATATATTTGTTTCGTATGTGTATTTTGACAATGGCTTATACAATACTACTAGAAATAGGTTTTGGCTTAAAGTTCAGAGGCGTGAATTGAATGTCAGTCAATGATAGAGTTAATGATATCGACTTTAGTCCTTCAAGAAAAGAGCGTACCAAGTAAAAGACCACGGTCTTGCGAGACTTCTGGCAGTGTGAGTGTCCATTGGCAGCGGTATGACTTAACATCAGGTGAGCCTCCTGCCCGTAAATGAGGCAAACTTTCTATAAAAAAGGAGATACTAAACGAACAGACTCTTCATTTGTTTAGTATCTTCTTCACTGTAATAAAGACGAAGTAAGACCTCTTCCACAAGAAGCGACAGCGAAACGTTGTCTTCATGACAATTATTTAACTGATCATCGAGTTCAAGCCGCGCTCTTTCCGCTGTTCTAACAACATCCTCTATACGCTGCTTCAATTGTTCTATGCGATGTTCGAACCACTCCTTCTGTATGTTATCAGAACATAAGATAAGCACAACTGCATATTAAGAAATTTACAGCTAATAATTTAGTCCACTGAAATGTTACAATTTGAAGGCCAAACTGAACATTTGTTAGAGGACGCAATTTTATTTATGGAATATGTAGGGTAAACAATTAAAATTGTTGGAATTGAACAAAATTTTTCCAAAATCTGTTTAAAATAACGGAGAGATCATAAAAGTAAAGTAAAAATTTTGTTTTAACCGGCTTGTCATGAGCATTGACGAACCCGGTCAACTTTGGAGGGCTGTAACAGCGTTTCGGGTGAAAACACCTCTTTTTCCAAGATGGCGGCCGGGAGACAAGAGCGCCAACCCCACAAACTTGGGTTTAAGATTTTTCTATGAATAAAATTGCGTCCTCTATCAAATGTTCAGCAAATGTAACATTTTAATGGACTAATTGATCTATTTACTGAATCTGTTTACTCGCTTAGTGGGGAATAATTAAATATTCAACGTTTATTTTTTCCCATTTAACTGGACCTTGGGAATCCAAACATCCGCGATGAGAATAGGACCGACAGTTTCACCGCCAAGTTCCTAACTTAGGGGTATTCAAATAAAATTAGTTATTTTTACCACCCACAACAACAATCCTCTGAAGACCTCGTGATCTGCAGTTGAATTACCAAAACACTAGATACAACCAGGCATATGAGCCGACAATGATAGACAATCCAGTTACCTCTATAAGTTTTTTCTGTCTAAGCTTCATGTATTTTTCGCCAACCGCTAATAATGCTTTGTTAGCTTCAATAAGATTTGTATGGTTTCTTTTCATACGATTTCGTAATCTACTGATTGTTTCCTTGTGGGAGGTTTCTAGATTACAACGTTCGTCATACTCGCGTAATAAAACATCATATCGCGCTGATAGTTCTTCATAACTAGAGTAAAAGATTTAGGTACGGGTTAAGTAGAAACGAAGTCTATGATTGTGTGTTGTACTGATTTTCCAAAAAAAATAGGAGACTTCACGCTACAAGAAATACATTTTAAAGGTACCTAATGGTAAAAAAATATTAATTTACGATATGATTTGACTTTCAATCCGAAATCACTTTACATACGAAAGTGATACGCAAAATAAGCCTAAGCCTCGTTTGGCTATTTTTGTATGTCATGCTCCAAAGAAGTAATGCAATACGACTTAAAAATGCTACTCTGAAAGTTCTGATAACTTTCACTCACTGATATTTGAGACAGACAACGTTCATAGAGGCCCAATCATTCGCCAAATCTTCTGAGCTCCTTGATGATACACATTTTTCTAAAAAAATTAACACCTTATTACACGTAGTAAAAACGTTAATTAAATTAGTATTAAATGTTTAGTCTTTATTATTCTCGTTTAGACCGTAATAGCATTTACTTGCAATAAATCACCGGGCTTTGGTAACGCTTAAAAGCGGGCACTAACCAAAATCACTCATCGTAGATTTGATATTATCTATGTATGTGACTATAATTAAAAGCACAATATAAACAAAATAAATTCCTGATACAAAAATAAACACAAAGTCACCTCTATCTTTTGCCTAATTAATTTTTATTCAATCATGGCGAGTATTACGGAGCCAAAAAAGACGAGTGACGTAAGTATGTGTCTCAATTTATTTAAAAAACGTAATTTACCTTCTGAAGAATCGTTTTTGTTTGAGAAGACATGCTGCTCATTGGTTGTGTGAAAATGTTTACACTGACACTTTAACAACTGGTCTTCGTAGTTTTGAGTCTTTTTCAGACTTCTCTCAAGACTACATAAAATATTTTTAGCATTTAAAACTCCATTGAGAAAATTATCGCATGTTGCGGCAGGTTGCTGAAAAAGATATTACTATACGTTTTAGACGATGGGCAGTATCACTGTGCATCAGATGACCCTCCAGCTTCCCTACAAAAATGTGTATAGCTTATATGAAGCGAATGACAGTTTTCCTAGCCATTTTACACGATACAAAATTCTGCATGAATGAATAAAAATCATTTATGACGCCTCTCGCTTACTAGGTATTGAATATATACTACTCTACGCTCGAAACAAGTCGAGTTTTGTATGTAATAGTCTTAGTAGGTAAAGTAGTTTGTCATTCTTGCATGAGCCAAAGAAAATATTTTTTTTTTCGGACAGCATAAATTCGTGTTAGTAGGATATTTTGTGCAACGCTTTTGAGTAATCTTTTTCTAAACACGATTCGTAAAGAAACCAACTACAGTAAATGAATATGCCAATTTTCCATAGGACCACTTACTTTATTTATTTCTACATATTTGAAGTTTTCCGGTGCAAATAAGTTATTGCCATAATAATTTTGATGCATAATTAATAACCTTGAAATTAGCTTCTTCGTATAATTATGATTGACGCAAAATGACGTTTAATCAAAAAGCAAAAGAAATGATAGACAAAAAAATGCAAAATAAATTATAATCTAATTTGTGTTTGTGAAAACGTTTTATTAGTCCCGGGCCCCAATTTTATTTAAAAGAAAAAAATATACCATAAAAGTTTATTCAACTACAACAAAAGGCATAACAATTATAACTAAATCAGTCTAAAAATATTCTACATCTCACTACATTTCATATAAATCATCTAAAAAGGACAACTCTACATATGGTGTAATTGCACAAAATGAAACTTAATTAAAACATCATCAAAAAGCAAATTTTCCTATTTTTGGTACATGATTCACAGGCATTTTAAAATATGAATAAAATTAAACATATATAGCATAATTGCAAATGAAACAATATATTGTTACAATATACTAAATAACCGCAACCTACAGACCAATATTCCTAAGATTTGTCTTGATTAACCCAAAAAAATATGGAAGACATTGATCGCTTTAATTTTTTTTTTGTATAATTGTAAAACACTTACCAGCAGTAAGGCATTTGGTTAATTTTGATCAACAAATACTACATAAACTATGTAACTATATATAGAAATAAAAAAGAAAACTTAAGTCACTAGTCAGTGTTTACAGTATAGAACACAAGTAATAACGAACCTTAAATAGGCACCTTTTGTAAAAAAAATTGTATAATATACTAATAATAGTAATTAGATTCTAGATGTGATGTTGGGTATATTACAAAAATTAACCAGAAAATAATTATTTCTAAAGCTAATTGTAAAAACATAAATTTATAAATTGTCTCATTCTACCTGTCCTGCGAGGGAACCAAATAGTATTTTTTTTAATGAAAGTAGAATGATAAAATAATTGGAACCTGTTTTTATAAACCTCTGATTTCTAAAGAGACAACAGTATTGTTTGTGGAGATAGAAACTTGGATTTGATCTAACAATTTTATTTAAACTAACATTTCAAATTTACTTAAACATATTTTAAGATGTGATAACGATTTATTGGATTTATTCAAGAATTTTTTTTTACCAAAGCTATTTGGTGTTCAATCAATCATACCTCAGCTTTACCAAATGATAGGTTGAAAAATTAACCAAGATTATACAAAGAGAATTCTACCAATTAAGTAGAGATTATCATTAAGTTTGTCTTGAATAAGATACATATTTTATTGTGGGATACAGTCTCTGTTAATCTAGTTAAACTAATTTCTTATGCAACTAGTAACTGGTTATATTAAACTCTATTTAACAGTAGCGAGGCACTTCTTTGGAAAGCTTTAGATATGTTGTGCAAACTAATGTATGTTCTTTTGTAAATTAATTCATCAAGCCAGCTTCGGCAGGTACAAAAACATGTAACAATAAACAATATATTACAGATAAAAAAAGTTTAAAAGATAAAATCTGTACAGGAACTGATCATGATAAAGCAATCTTATAGAATATTGGTTCAAAAATGGAAAAAAAATGTTGAGCTTTGGAAAATTTTCATCTTAAGATAAATAGTGTTACCTACTGAGATCCACAATCAAATGTAGATTACTAAATTTACAAATGGTTAAAACTGCACATATTTTAAATATATCTGCAAATTTTTAGATCCTGCAATGTGATATCAATCTTTGAGATAAATTCTCAACCAACATTGATACAAAAATATATGGCATTCTTTGGTTTGTCTGATGTGATTTGTTTAAATCTAAAATTTGATTAAAACAGCATTTTAGATAGATTTAAAATGTAAATATATAGCCCTATAAGATCCTGAATAATAACATTTCTCACAGTACAGTTTGCTTGATACAAGAAATGTAAAAATATATAAATAATTCAGTAAACTACACTTGACTGTGACTTACGCTACCGAAGATTTTTATTTAAATCAGGTCTTGTTTCATAGGGAGTTTGTGATGTTTTGGAACAGTCTCTTGCCCCACCATGCCTCAAGGTCGAAAGGCTTGAAATCTTGAAGAACTGGGCGTGGTTCATCATCTTGATAATATAGGCTTGTGGATGGGGCAGGCGATGAACTGCCTGAACCTTGAAATAATTTAAATATTTTCTTTGGTAAGACCAGCCTATAATTTTTCAGTTAGTTGTTATAGATTGTTATTATGAATATGATTATTATTTACATTTAGCTGATATTTCGTACTATACAGCTTCCAGTAATTGGGAAGCTAAACTAAGCTGTCACGATTCCTTATAAGGTAAACACTCACCTATTGTACTTGTAGGGGTTGTCGGTTCACTATCAAAGTTTGCTGTTTGAGTCCAAGCTGGAATAATATATTACATTTTATGCATTTGCCTTATCGTAAATAGTACAAAAATCCCAATAGATATTCAAATATATTTATTTTGGTAATTTAACCTCTATGCCTTCTTCGCTAAATGTTTTTTCATAAACAAATCACATAGGACCTGGCAATCAAAGCCAAATTACCTATGTCAGGACTAGCAGTATAAGAGATGCATAATATGATATTAGGTATTATTATGTTGTGTTTACTTACTTTCATTTATGTATCTTATCATTTCTTCATGTTGAGGAGTTAAAACACTGTGTGGTATTCTTTGATGTACTGTTTTCTTTCCATTGGAATGAAAAATTGGCTTAGGCATACTGAAATAGAGGATTTGAATTGATACTTATATTTTATTATAAAAATTATAAGTTCTCATAAGCATTATTATAAAAAATATTTGTGGGGTATTATTATTGTATTTGCGTCACTGTTAAGAATAAAAGGTTTATTTCATTCCAAAAAACAAACGTGATAATTCCGGCGAAGGTTATGTAAAGAACTGTGGTGAAATAACTTATACCATTCAAATTGCATCATAGTTAATTAAACAAGCTTCACTCACCTAATAATTTCATCATTATCAGAATCAGAAGACTTCCTGTTATAATCCTTTCGGCTATCCAAACGTTCCAAATTCTGTGAAAGACCTATTTAAAATAAATAATATTTTTTAGATATTGAAAGGTTAGATAAACATCTTAACTTCTCACTCTCAAAAGTATACCTCTTCTTGTTTTGGCAACAATCTTGCTAGGTCCCTTGGATACAGTATACATTTTAATTTACCAAAAATTTCTATAAAAAATTATATAAATTTATAAAATTGTTAAATTAGGGCTGCCTATCGACCGCTGAATGCCTGATGGAGTTCATGTGACAACTGACGTTATTTATAATGTATTAAGAAATGATTTTGACTTAGCATTTTGACAGTTATTGTTGTCTCATCATGGTATTGTCAGTAAGAAACAGATAATTAAACTTAAAAATACTAAACTGTTTTATATTTGATTGAAATTGAAACCATATTATGTAGGTAACACCCTTAAATAAAGTCAGACATACAAGTTGTATCCAGTATATATGTACTGTATCAAATGTAAAACCAAATTCTGACAAAATAATACGGACAGAATCATTACAAATCAAGCTCAATATAGCCTTTATGACATAAAGTTTATGCCCTCATTTAATTTTTATTTTGAAGTGAAGCTTCTTTAGGCGCATTAGGGTAAAATTTTTACAGGTAAAATGCAATAATAATAATATTAGCGTCACAAAGTTGTGCAGCGTTTTTGCCGAAGAAAAGGGATAGAGCGATTGAGACCGATTGAGAAAGAGTGAGAAGGGCGAATTACCTTATAGAAATTCTATTTTTAAAAATTTAAATTTCATAGAGAGAATTGATGAAATATAAGTATTTTATATTTTATACAAAATAATTTATTGAAATCTCAAATGATGAATTGTAAATTTAAATGCCAGGTGTTTTTATTATCGAAGAAATAAATTAAAAAATTAAATTTATAATTTGCAATAATTTTCGACACTTTTAATATTATAATGACAATTGAATTAATTAAATTTCTAACATATCCTTTTTCCCTCCCTCTAAGTCACGGAAATCTAAAGTTTTAGATTTGTATAAATATGAACAAGACTTAAAAATTAGTTTGCCAAAGAAGTTTCACTTCTGACATGTGTACTTTGTACGCACGCACATTTTTTTTTATGACGCACTGAACCTATCAATAAGAGGGTAAATAAGTTTGATTCCTTTGACTACAAATTTTACATATACAGAGTGGAGAAAGGCAGCTGCTGCTCGTCCTCCGACCTAAACGGAGAATCCTCCACCAGACTCATCATTGCAAGCCCGTGCCCCGAAGGCGCCTGTAAGGCGGCTGCAAGTTCGGTACAAGTTCAAGAAGTAGTATATAGCCATGGCGGTTGGAATAACTTTGTTAGCGCCTTTCAGTATCGCAACATCATCTATATAATTACAGCAGCAAACATTAACGAGATGAGGATTCTACAATTTCTATCAATAAAAAATCACCACAATTTGCGGTAGCAAGTTCAAGCATTGACAAAAATAAAATTTAGTGTCCTACAAAATGAAAAATCAACTTTTGCGTTTTTATTTACTCTTATATTTTTATGTATGAATGTACGCTAACTCTTTTATTCTAGGTATTTAATTTATTATCTGTCCACGTAGTACATAGGTAGCACAAATATAACACAGTCAAAAATATTATTTTGGAAACAACTTATCTCAAAGGCGAAGATGTCTATTCATAATAGTTGTTAGCCATATGAGTCCTAAGTACGTGAACAATTGCTAAATTTTATTCAAAATATGTATCCATACAGTAAGTACACGTGGAATAAAGAGCATTTGCTGCTTCCCCCGTCTTGTGGAGGCAAAAAAGTTACTACCTACCTTCAGTCTTTAAATGTGCTAGCAATGTCCCACAGATCATAGACCTAGATATCCTCAAGTAGGTACGTACGTCTTTTTAAGCCTTTATGTACAACAAAGTATTTTTCTTCTTTTTTCTTGAAAAATAATAATAAAATAATTCACTACTAATAGATGTTTGTTACTGAGTCACTGCGGCAATGTTATATTACAAAACTAAGTAAGTACTTTTAGCTACTTCCTTTTTCCATTGAATGAATATTCAATCATATGAACATATATTAGCGTGATTATTTCCGATTAAATTGTAAACAAATTATGAAAAACTCGGCTTTGTATGGAAGAGTTGCGTTATTTCCGTCAATTACGTGAAGCGACGACAAAATTGTCGTGACGTGAATTAATAAGACATGCAACCATCATTTAAAAGGCAAGTGCTTCCTGTGGTACTTATTATATAATTCTAATTTCTTTTTTAGTTTTTACATAAATTAATCAAGTAAGAGTAATAATAATCAAAAAAGGCTCTGGATTCGTTCCGATGAACTAACTTCTAAGCGCTGATGAACGGCCAATTGTTCTTTCTCTACCTTCTCGTCTGCTATGAAAATTAATTAGCAAAATAAACATACAATGTTTCTGTTTACTATGCTGCTTTGTTACTTAATTCTTTGTATGTTGTAAGTTCCATCAATCATCATTCTGATAATTTTTTAGCTTGCTGGTCTCAGGGCCTTCGGCTTAGATTCAGAAGCGAGACTATCTCAAAAATCCAATGCATTTTTGACGTACGGGTCTTAAATCGCAGAAGATACAAGCTTCTTCTAATGCCCGTTCTTAATTCTAATGAACTTTGCTACTAATTCGTTTGTAGGCGCATTTAAAATAATCTTCATCTTCAGATTAATCAAAACGCATACTTCAATTGAAAATGCCATAAAAGTTATATTATTCTTAAGGTCGATTTACATCAAACGAACATAGAGCTAGAGCTAGAACAAGAGCATTCTTTCGTAATCTTTTAGTGTAAACGAAAGCTAGAGGTATCGATTTACATCAAACGAACATAGAGCTAGAGCTAGAACACAAGAACGCTTTGAAAAGACCGCTCAGTGGCGCGAGCACGTCCGAACACGCTAGAACGCTCTAAGCAACTGTTCGCGCGCTCTTGCGCCATTTACATCAAGCGAACGAGCATTCTTAGAATATTCTATAGAATCTTTGCGAACGCACTAAGAACAACGAAAGAATGCTCTACGCCTGTTTACACTAGAAGAATTTGATGTAGTGGGGATAGAATGAGCATTCGCTCGTTTGATGTAAATCGACCTTTACTGAGCTTTGGCCTTCCGAACTCCGAATATTATAGTTAAATTTTAAAATAAACGCCTAATCACATGTGGAACGATTTTAAACTTGTCAAATTTCTTATAGAAAAACAAGAATCATTTAAATGTTATGAAATAAATGTGAGTAAGGTCTTAAAAATCATTTATAAACGTAATTTTTTAAGCTTATTAATAACAATTAGATATAATAAGTCGCGAAACCCTGCAAAGAGGGTGAACCAAATGCGGCCAGTTCTCTTAACAAAAGATAATGCAAAAAAAGAGTAGAAAGAATCTATATATATAAAAGGAAAATGGTCTTCGTTTGAGGCTCCTTCACGCCTAAACCACTGAAACTACCACCATTCGATGCGAAATTTTTCCTAGATGGTTTATGGCTATTTATTTATTAAATTCCAACGTTCCTTCATTTTTTTATTGCTGTTTTACTTTTATGAAAATTTATCCATACGGACTTCACCGCGGAAACATTCGGGGAGGCTTCCTAGAACCTCTAAACGTCAACATCTGTTAAAAACTCGATTTTCGAAATATTTCAATTTTCTTAGCGGGAAGTTAAAAAGAAGAATAATAAAAATATGAAAAAAAAATAAAATAATGAAACATAAAATTTATTTTAATTCGTCCAGCAAAGCGGGCGCGAAACGGCTAGTATTTATATATATACACTATAACTGAGGCAAAAATATGTCCAAAAGATCTTAACGCGCAATAATTTGATAACAATATTTATATGGTTATAACTAATAGATGCACGTGATTCATTTATGGGCCGTTATCAAAAGTACATATATAATTTAATAAATCATACTGCTATAGCTTTCATTTGTGTCATTCTGTGTTTTTGAACCTGACATTTTCGCCGCAAAACGAACCCGGACGCGAATAAAGAACCAGTGGCGCTACAACCTATTTAGCCTTTAGGTCTCTGCCTCAGATTTCTGTACACACACGCCGTCGATTTTTTTTGTCGCAGGCGAGCCGGTTTTCTCACGATGTTTTGCTTCGTTCGACCGAATGTTAAATGCGCACATAGACAGAAAGTCCATTGGTGCACAGCCGGGGTTCAAATCTACGACCTCAAGGATGAGAGTCGCACGCTGAAGCTATGCCAACACTGGTCTTCCGGATGAGAATAAGTGTATTTAAAATCCCAGCCGGTGGCTTTAAGTTATTGTAAGTAGGACTCATAAATGTAAATTTAGTACTCAAAGCCAGACTTTCCCCATTGTAACTTTCACTTAACGAGTGTTTGAATGCACAATTGCGGATGTATCGAATTTTAACTCGTTTTGCAGGAACCGATTTAAGTGGTACTTAGTGGAGAGCCACTTAGTAAAGCGATGATAATGTAAATCGTTGAACAAGTTTTTATTGAAATGTAAGTTAGTCACACATTGCATCAATAGGTTTTTAAATAATTTTATGTTGTAAGTGTTCGAAATACATATTTTTATATAACAAACTCTTGATGAAGGTGATGCATAATATTTTAACTCGGCCGATCGTCACATTTGATTTATCTTATTTTTTTGTTTCGCTTGGTTTTGGATGCATTTGAATTAGATTTTTGGCATTTTAATTTATTAGTCACGCCCTCAATTCTGTAATTTCTTAGAGTGCGTATTTTGAACTCTTTCAAAGCAAAGTATTAGTTACTATATTATCAGTCTAACCTATTATTGTTCCCATACTAATTTCCTCCTTATACGACTGACAAATGTGTGCCTTTCTTCATGTTAAGAATATATCAAAACGAGGTATGTACTCAGGGCTTATTATTCTAAGATAAAATTGTGAATCAACACCGAACCGTTATTTGTGGTACATTAGGTTAAATTGCTGTTGGCATTTTTTTCATATCTAGTGGAAATTAGTTTCCATACCTTGCAACAGGCGGTACAGATATACCTAGGATAAGATTCGTGATATGCGTGACCACACCACTTCAGGAATTATGCTTCCTGCTACTCAGGCAGGAATATATATCAATCTCGGCCAT